CAAGGATAGACTGGATAGCCCAAGCTGATGTTTGGCGGGATTGTTGTAGGGTCAGGATAGATTGGCACAAGTTTTGGAAGCGATCTTCTGGGAGGAAGGCCTTCTGAAGTGTGGAGTCTATAACGGCTCCTATGAATTGGATGCGTTGTGTTGGGGTCAGGTGAGATTTTTCGTGATTCACGACCAGACCCAGATCCTGCAAAAGAGATAAAGTATAATCAATATCTTTACACAATTGTGGTCGAGAGGACGAGCAGAACATCCAGTCATCCAGGTAAGGAAAAACTGTGGCGCCTTGTTGGCGGAGGTGTGCGGCTACAACAGACATGCACTTGGTAAATACTCTTGGTGCTGTGGACAGTCCGAATGGGAGAGAATTGAAGGAGAAGAATCTGTTTTGGACCGCGAAGGTAAGGAACCTGCGGTGGGAGTGTCTAATTGAAATATGGAAGTAGGCGTCCCGGAGGTCAACCGTGGCTAACCAGGAGTCTTTGGGTATGAAGGGGAGAATTTTGGGAAGTGTTACCATGCGAAATTTACGTGGTGTAATGAAAGTGTTGAGTTTACGTAGATCAAGGATGGGGCGTAGACCACCATCTTTCTTATCTACCAGGAAGTAACGGGAGAAAAAGCAGGTGTCTGCATCTTGTGAAGAAGTAGGCGAGATGGCGCCTTTTTGAAGGAGAGAGTGAATCTCTTCCCAAATGGTTTGGGAAGGTGGGGTTAGTAGTATATTGCCCACTGGAGGGTAGTTGTCAAATTCTATGGCGTAGCCCCTTTCAACGATGTCCAAGACCCAGGTGTCTGTGGTTATGGACTGTCATGTCGGGAGAAAGGTAAGTAATCTGTCCAGGTATGTAAGTGGTTGGATGTGGGGTAGGAGAATGGCAGTAGGTGTAGGTGTGTTAAAAACGACGTTTGTTGGTATTGGGGGGCCTGGCACCGCGGTACTGACCTCTGGATGGCAAGGGCGGTCATCTTGACGATGTGGAGGGGTTGTAAGGCCTCTGTCGTCCCCTGTAGAATGAGGTGTTGTAGGGCCTATTGTAATATTGAGGGCGGTAGTAGTAGGATCCCCATCGCTGGCGCTGGTAAGAGTATGGTTGTTGGTCATACTTGTATACTGTTTGTTTCATTTCATGGGAGTATTTCAATTGAGAATCTGTTTCAGGATTGAAAAGGCCTGCTTCATCCATGGGGAGATTCTCAATCAGGGTGCGTTGTGATTGAGAAAGGATAGCTGCTCTCAGCCAGGCGTGGCGGCGAAGGGCCACTGATCCTGCAATGAGTTTGCCTGCGGTGTCAGCAATATTTTTGGAGAGGTCTTTTTGTAGGGAGGCCAAAAGGAGAGCTTCTTGTTTAAAAGCTGTGGCCAGAGGTTGTTCGGTTGGAGGTAATAGGTCTAAATAGGGAGCTATTTTGTTCCACAAGGCAGTCTGGTATACGCTCATGTATACTCCATAGTGAGCCATGCGTGCAAAGAGGCATGCTGAGGAGTAGAATTTTTTGGCCATAGCATCCAATTTCCTTCCTTCTTTATCAGAGGGAGAGGTTTGGTTAATTTGAGTTGGTTTAGGTTGAGCATCAGTCACGACAGAATTTGCTTTAGGCATTTTAGCCAGCCATGAAGCTGAGGAAAGATCAATACGGTACAAGTTTTCAGGCCTCTTAGGAGTTGCCGGAACCGAAGCCGGGGCAACTCCATTATTTTTGAGAATCTTTAATAAGTAAGGTAGAGTGGGCAACACAGTGGATGAGGGTTGTTGTTGTTCAGTAGAAGTAAAACACGGGTCAGCTACCGTATCGGTAGGTTCCGGAGTAGCTAAGTTTAAAGTTCTAGTCAGTCTTATTAAGAGAGCTGAGAATTTCTTAAATTCCTCCAAATTTTTGGGGGAAGGGTCAGGTTCAGGTTGGGTGTCTAGAATGGCAGGTGTATCATCATTGGATTCAATGTCAATGGTTTCTGAGTCTGGTAAGGGTGGGTTGTTGGGATCTTGTTCTGTTGGATGAGTTAGGGCCTCAGTGTGATGTTCTTGAGGGTGAGAGAGTGTGGCCGTGGGAGGCGCACGGGGGGGCTGGGGGTATCTAGGGTCTTCACCATGAGAGGTATCAAAACCTCTATAGTGATCAGGGTGGGGAGGGTAATAGAAAGGGTAAGGGAAGGGAGGAGGAGGGGGGTAAAGGTGGTAAGGGTATTCTGGGTACCCATATGGCTGAGGGTGCTCGGAGGAGCGAGGACGGGGCCTTTTGGGAGGAGGAGAGGAGGGCATTGCCGGTTCCGCCTCAGGAGAAGGGGATCGGCGGCGGCGGCGTGAGGATTGCGCAATCGGCGCAGATGGAACCAGGGGAAGGAGTTTCCCTCGGGCCCGAGGTTTGTGGAAGGTTAGGGGATGGGAGGGGGGAGGCTTGGGAGAGGGGAAGCGGTGGCGGAGAGGTTGACCGGCCTGCGGAGGTCTGAGCTTCCAACTCCGAGGGAGGGGCGAGGAGCTCGAGTGGAGGGAGGTGGGAGGGGTCATCCAGGTGGAGCATGGTGGGGAGGGGCTCTTGGAGGTGCATCACGGAACCGGAGGAATGGAGCATCGGTTCCAGTCTGGGAGGGCTCAAGGACTGTGAGTCAGTGAGTTGCCGTCCCTTTTTTTGTTTATTTGGTTTCTCTTTCGTTTTCCCAGGCCTCGTGGCCTGTTTGGAAGATTTTTGCTTTTTTGCAGGCGGCTCCACAGAGGGAGCGTTTGCCTGATCCAAATCACGCCTTTCCCCAGCGCGTGGGGAGGGAGGCTGAGAGGGCTCCAGTATTGGGGATAGGGAGGGGGTAGGGAGGGATTGTGGAGCCAGAGCGCGCTCGTAAAGCAAAGCTTTTAAACGGGCATCTCTCGTTTTGCGAGCCTTTGTAGTGAAATTAAGGCAAATCTCACAGGATTGGAGATTGTGGAATTCCCCCAAGCAAAGGAGGCACTTTGAATGCCTGTCGGCTTCGGGGAGGGTGGCTCCGCAAGCTGAGCAATTTTTGAAATAAAGGGAAGACATCCTAGCCTGAGGTGAAGGAGGAGAGTAGTCAGCCGGTCCGAGTCAAGGGTTGGAGAGAGGCAGGTCGGTCAAAAAATCAGTCCAAAGTCAGTTGAAGTCAGTCCGTATGAAAGAAATCGAGGAGAGCTGTTCCGAGATGCTGCTAGTTTAGCGCGGAAAAAGGAACTAGATAATGGCGGCGCCGCTTGGCGCTTATATCCGGGGGGCGGGGAGATGGGCGGAGCCTATATGGCTCAAAATAATCATTTTTAATTCATTTAACTTAGAAATGTTCCGAGTTTCTGCACATGCGCAAGGAAGAACCCATAGGTGCGCATTTCACGGACGACACGAAGAATAACTATAAATCCCTGCAACAACAACTCCCTAATGTCAAGGTCTATTTTCCACAAACTCCACCAGTGTTCACATTTGGGCATATTGAGTATTTGTGTCAAGTTTGGTCCAGATCCATCATTGTTTTGAATCCACAGTACTCTACATGTAGGTGAACTACAACTCCCAAACTCAAGATCGATGCCCACCAAACCCTTCCAATGTTTTCTGTTGGTTATGGGAGTTCTGTGTGCCAAATGTGGTTCAATTCCATTTTTGGTGGAGTTCAGAATGCTCTTTGTTTGTAAGTTAACTATAAATCCCAGCAACTACAACTCCCAAAAGACAAAATCAGCCCCTCCCCCAACTTCACTAGTATTCAAATTTTGGCACATAGGGTACTTGTGCCAAATTTGGTCCTGTAAATGAAAATACATCCTGCATATCAGATATTTGCATGATGATTCATAACAGTAGCAAAATCACAATTATGAAGTAGCAAGAATAATAATGCTATGGTTGGGGGTCACCACAACACGAGGAACTGTATTAAGGGGTCGCAGCATTAGGAAGTTGAGAACCACTGGTTTAGGTGCAACCTCTTTTCCTATAGGTTGAATCCATGGTTCCACTGTGTCCTAGTCTCTAGAGGAGCGGAACACTAGCTTGCCCCCATCCCCCTCCTCAAGTGGACTCTTGAGGTCTATTTCTCATCTTGAAGCGAAACATACCCAGGTCGGATCCATCAAGCCACTCCTCAGAAGGATCCATGGCGTCCAAACCTTTATTTATTTATTTATTTATTTACAGCATTTATATTCCGCCCTTCTCACCCCACAGGGGATTCAGGGCGGATCACAATGCACATATATATGGCAAACATTCAATGCCATGGATACACAACATATATAGACAGAGACTCAGATGCTATTTAACATTCCAGTTTCATGAGGGTATGCTTTTTGAATTCTGGCCACCGGGGGAGCCTTCGCTTCACCATTCACTTGTGACACTGATGGAGTACTTCCTCATTCTTTGCACACTGCTGGAAAGCTTTTTGGCATTGTAAATTAGTTAAATTAGCCTCACTGCATAAGCTGTACCTAAATTTCCTACTTGACAGATGCAAGTCTTTCAGGCTGCAAAGGTCGACAGCAAGCTAGATAAATGGATGCAAACTCACTCCGACCCGGTTCGCCCAGACTCCTCTTTGGTGTGACTTCTAGTCGTTCGCGCTCACCATCCAGCCCAAGACCCCAAAGAGCCTCTCACTACCTGTTCTTCAATGACCACGAGAGCTACCCACCTCAGAGACTGCCACGCAGAGGGCCGCTGCCTTGCTGACCGGATGCTTGGAGAGCAGCGTCCCCATTTCTGAGTCCCAGAACTGGACCTTCCCGGAGGAGTCGGCGCTGACCACGGTGTTGTCCGAGAGGAAGGCCAGGCCCCAGACCACACAGCTCTGGCCCTGAGGGGCCTGTAGCCCCCGCTCTACACGGATCTGCTGAGTGCAATGGCCTGGAAAAGGGGAAAGACACTCTTCACATTCAGACTTCCAAAATTCGAGAAGAAATTCATCACACAAAGGTCGTGATAGCAAGAGACACATCAGCAAGCAGCTTGGACTTTTGAGTCCTTTTAGGAAAGGGAAGTGGGATATACATCAATATAATAGTAATTAATGTCAGAAGTATTAAATATTAATTAGGTATTTTAATTACAAAAATGTAAGTCAGGCACTGAAAGGGTTAAATGGATACAAGGATTGAGCAAATGCTGCACTAACGATCAGCCACGACCACCACTCACAATATGCTGATGACCTTGGCCTAACAACACAAGCAAAAGACTTTGAAACAGTTGAAATCCAACTTACTAATGCCTTGAAAGATCTCTCCATCTACTGCAAAGATAACCACCTGAAGCCTAACCCTGCCAAGACACAAATTTGTGCTTTCCACCTATACAACCGTGAAGCCAACAGGAAATTGAAAGTCACCTGGAAAGGTCAAGAGCTTGAACACTGTTTCCATCCTTTGTGTTACCTTAGATCGAATACTAGCATAGAAGAAACACTGCTTGAACACCAAGCACAAAGTAATTGCACGCAATAACATCCTGCGGAAACTTACTGGCAGCACATGGGGTGCAGACCCAAAATTAGTAAGAACATCAGCCCTACCCTTGGCTTACTCAACTGCCGAGTGTGCCCGCCCTGTTTGGCATAGGTCTGCGTGAACATAGCATTGAATAAAACGTGCAGAATAATCACAGGATGTCTTAAACCTACACCTGTTGATAAACTCTACAAGCTAGCTGGCATTGCCCCCCCCCCCCCAATGTGCGACGGGAAGTTGCTGCTAAATGTGAGAGAAATAAGGTTGAACACGTGAAAGCCATCCACTACATGGCTACCAGCCTCCTCCCAGTAGACTCAAATCAAGGAAAAGCTTTATGAGAACTACCACTCCTCTTGGCGTCCCCCAGCAACAGCAAGGGTATCCCTCTGGGCAGCTAAACCAGGAATTCCAACTGGATGGCCCCCCACAAGGGTCTTCCTCCAGGGGCAAACCAAGAATGGCAACTTGGAAGTCCCTGAACAGACTCAGAAGTGGAGTGGCAGATCAAAAGACAACCTGGCAAAATGGCACAACCTAAAAGAATCCCACACCTTGGGTGACTGTGGAGCAGAACAGACAACTCCACATCTGTATGCTTGTCCACTATGCCCTGCCTCATGTACAGAGGAAGAATTGTTGGAGGCTACAGACAATGCCATTGCTTGTTGCCCGTTTTTTGTCAAAAGATATTTAGTTGCCTGCGCTCTTTCTATTTTTATCAGTTTTATACTAATTTATGCAATTATTTTGATATGATAAATAAATAAATATAAGCAGGTGTGTCTATAGCTTAGTACACCTCAGTGTTACTTGCCCTCAATATGAAGAGGCTTCAGCCTGAGGTAAACCTCAGGGTTAGTAGGCTTCAGAGTTAGTAGGCCTCGGCGTGTGAGAAGCCCGGTGCGAGAAGGCTTCTGTGAGAGAAACCCCAGGTTGAAGACCTTGTGTGTGAAGCTCCACTGTGAAGGTTGCTATGTGTAAAATGTTACTGGGTGAAGCTTCTGTGTAAGTTTAGTGTGAGAAGAGGCTCTGTGACAGCAAAGTTTTTTATCTGCATGAGAAAGAAGCCCAGTATGGAAGCAAAGAAGGAAGTATAAAGAACTTTATTTGTGTTATGGAAGTCTTGTTCTTGTAAATATTGCAACCATATTATTTTTCTATAAAGAAAAGCCTCCAAAGGAAGAGATAACATTGGTCCATGGTTTTGTTTTTGTTCTTTTTATAACTTTGGGTTATGGGTGCTGGGTCACACTGCTGCTAATAAATTACTCTGCTGTACATTTAGGAGGAGGGGTCTTTGTTAATAAGCCCACTTGCCCAGCAAATACTTCAATTTCTTGTTCTTCTAAACCAGGCATGGATCAAGTTGGACCGGCTGTTAGGAATTATGGAAGTTGAAGTCCAAAACACCTGGAGGGAGGGCCCCAGTTTGCCCATACCTGTTGTAAAGGTTATTACTTATATACAAAAAGAGAGAATCCAGTGATTTGCTTGTACCCCAAAGTTTATACTATAGCAACATAAAACCCAGTTCGTTTTAATCATAAATTTTAAACTCATGTTCTGTGTTTTAATTTTGTGTATTATAATATGTATTTCATAGAAATACGCTTTAATATGTGTATTTATAAAATGTTTACCATGACTATGTATTTTTAAGAATGTTGTAACCCATCTCGAGGAGAGGCAGGTAAGAAATCAAAGTATTATTACGATTATTATGACCTCACAACCTCTGAGGATGCTTGCCATAGATGCAGGCAAAACATCAGGAGAGAATGCTTCTAGAACATGGCCATATAGCCTGAAAAACCTACAACAACCCAGTGGTTCCAGCCATGAGAGCCTTCAACAATATATTTGTTCTGTAACAGCTGTTCCAGGAGCTCCAGTTTTGTTTGCTTTGCACTGAATGTTTGTTATAGTCCCAAGTTTCTCTGCAGATAGGTGGCTTCTTTTGGCTGCAATCATAGGGCAAGCCACCCGTCAATTATAGTTAGGTTCCCTGGTCCCGCCCCCTTTTTGGGTTTTTGGAGGGAATAGGAGCCTTTTTTGTTCAGTCCACACAGCGAAGCCTTTTGCACAGGACATAAAACCAAGAGCTCCTGTAGCAAGCTTCGTCTTCTATGGCTTGGCCGGGGAGATATACAGCCTACAGCTTGGCCGGGGTTATACAGCCCTACAGCTTGGCCGGGGAGAAAAGGCCCCACAGCTTGGCTGAGGATTTTACAGCCTTATAGCTCCTTTGCTGAAGGACTTCAGCCAGCCATCACTGAAACCTGAGCTCCTTCTTTTCCCCTGGAAGTCTACAAAGCTCTGCTTGGTAAGGGTCGCTCGCGGAAGCCAGACGCAGTTGGTACCGGGTGCAGGTACTTCACACCAACAGAGGCAAGTACAGACTGCCCAGATTAGAAGTTAAGAATTTCCCCATTAGTTAGTATACAGTTATGAAGATAGTGCCTGTTCCCAGTGAGCAAGATTGCAAGAGCCAATAGACCGTTAAGAAAGCTTTAAAGTACCTGTTTGTTTTCATCAATAAAGAACTTTGTTGAATCTTTAAGCATTCTAGAGACTGTGTTTTAGGAAATCCAAAGGCCTTTAATCTGAGGCAGCCCTGGCGTCCCGTTGGGCACACGGAATTTATGTCCTGTCTACAGTCATATGCACAGGCCCAGCGTGCGACAGCACAATATGATAGTTATCATGATCAACAAACACACACACCACATATGGGATTTAGTGTTGGAGTATGTGTTGTTTTTATACGCTGTTCCATGACACACAAATGTGATGGTTTCTTAATTTTTAATATTCATACACTGTACTTCAATGCAGCTGCTCTATTTTTATTTTATGTCACGTTCACAGCTTAAGGCCCCTTGGTGGTGCAGTGGGTTAAACCGCTGAGCTGCTGAACTTGCTGACCAAAAGATCAGCAGTTTGAATCTGGGAGCAGGTTCAGCTCCTGCTGTTAGGGCCAGCTTCTGCCAATCTAGCAGTTCAAAAACATGCAAATGTGAGATTAATAAGTGCCACTTCTGCGGGAAAGTAACGGTGCTCCAAGCAGTCATGCAGGCCACATGACCTTGGAGGTGTCTATGGACAATGCCAGCTCTTTGGCTTAGAAATGGAGATGAGCACCACCACCCAGAGTCAGGCACAACTGGACTTAATGTCAGGTGAAACCTTTAGTTTTACAGTTTAAAGGAGGAACAAATATAACTAAAAATAAATAAGGGCAAAATGTCTCAAGGGCCATGCCAGAGATAGGAGGGGCAAGGTTGATTCCAATTGCCTGAAGCCCAATTCCAGAACTCACCTGATTTGACCTCAAAAATGTGGATGATGTCAAGGGAACCTGCTGCGATCTTGGTGCCAGAAGGGTGCCAGGAGAGGGACAGGATTTGGCCTGATGGGCACAAAAGAAGAGCACAAAGTGAGGGTCTCAGGGGGGAGGCCAACCAAGGTAAACACCCCTCAATCCCCCACCAGGAGACTCCACTCTTTGTCTGACTTAAAATACAGGGGATTCCCCCCAAAAAATGTATACACACTTTAAATCAGGAATAGGGAAACCCAGACTGTCCATTATTCTAACCTTCTTCATTGTAAATTTGCTTACATATCCTTCCAATAATAATAAAGAAAAGAAAATAATAAATGCAATAATAATAATAATAACAGAGTAAAATAATGGCCATGTAATAGCAGCAGTAACAGAGAAAAATAAATGTAATAAAAACAGTAATAGAGTAAAATAGTAAATGTAATAATAACAATTATAAATAGAGTAAAGTAATAAATGTAATAAAGAGAAAAATAATAATTGTAATAAAATTAATAATAGCTTAAATAATGTAAATGGAATAATAATAATAATAATAATAATAATAGAGTAAAATAATAAATGTAATAAAAATAACAGTAATAACAGAGTAAAATAATAATTAACCTTGACTCAAGTATAAGCCGAGGGAAGCCTTTTCAGCCTAAAAAAAGGAGCTGAAAACTATGCTTATACTCAAGTATATACAGTAAGTCGCGTGACTAGATCTCTTTGAAACTCCCTCAATGGTCTTTGCACTTTAACTATGTTTTTTAGACTTCCAGCATCATTTTGAAATGAATTTCCCTTGATCAAAGCTTAGTCTGGCTTCTATTGTTTATTCCAATGGGTTTAACCTGGAAAAGGAAAAAACACCCATTGGACTATCAGCTATTAAAGTGTGTATACTTTTTTTGGGACGCCCTGTAGATCCGTAGATGCCCGTAACCTACCTTTCTGTCGGTCCAACTGCCGCTCAAATTGGATTCGGTCCGGCAAGATGACAAAGAGTTTGATGGAGCCGTCATCGCAGCCAACCTGCACCAATGAATCCAGACAATTATCCTTTAAGAACAATCCTCCAAAGGATCTTAAACAATATTAATGTATTGTCGAAGGCTTTCATGGCCGGAATCACTGGATTGTTTTAGGTTTTTTCGGGCTATATGGCCATGTTCTAGAAGCCATTCCACTTTGAGTCCCCCTAGGGGTGAGAAAGGTGGTATATAAATACTGTAAGTAAATAAATAAATACAGCATTCTCTCCTGACGTTTTGCCTGCATCTATGGCAAACATCCTCATAGATGCAGGAGAACTGTCAGGAGAGAATGCTTCTAGAACATAGCCATATAGCCCAAAAACCCAATAATAATAATGATAAATTATTAATGACCTGCCTCTCCTGATGGATCAAGGAAGCAAACAAAACACAGACAACGTCATAGGACTATATTTTATAAAATCCATTATTTGGGCTGTGCATATACAAAACCAAGGCATATTGAAACCCATCAACACATACTTGAAGATCACAATTTATTTTCAATCTGGGCAGGCCGGCTGTAAGAGAATGGTCTTTACTGTTGATTTAAATTCAGGCAGCATCAAAGTAGTTTTGCTTTTAGTCCCAGTTACACAAGACCATGTGAACCAATGGTACTTACAGTAATTTACTGTAGTTATTTCCCTTACTTTCATCCTGATATAGGGACTCATGACATTAAGTCAGGCCTGGGCCAACTTTGGCCCTCCCTCCAGGTGTTTTGGACTTCAACTCCCACAATTCCTAACAACCGGTAGTTGAAATCCAAAATACCTGGAGGGAGGGCCAAAGTTGGCCCGGGCCTGCATCAAGTACTCAAATTGTGGGTCTTCTGCACTAAGAATGACACTGAGACTTGGGGCACAGCTCTGGTTGCATATGCCTTGAAAGAGGGGACGACTTCCAAGGGTCATCTAATCCAACCTCAATAGGAATTTCCACAGGCCTTACCGCAAGCTGGGTCCCATTGGGATGGGCCTCCATGCTCCAGAGGGGGCCTCCGAAGGCATCCAAGGAATATTTGATGCACAGCCTCTGCAGGTCGTACTCGAAGATGTCTCCGCTGAGGCCTGCGCCAAACAGGCGGCCCCCTGCCCCCCAGCAGAGTGCCTCCGGGACCTGCGTCTCGTGGCCAGGAATCACCTGCCGGGAGAGAAGAAGGCGAGGACATCATGGAGGGAGAGGCCCAACATCATTTCATTTCAAAATGGCATTCTATGATTCTGAGAAAGACGGAAGCCATTGGCCTGTCTTTGGGAGCACCCTTAATGTTTACAAATGTGGAAGCTTGCAAGTCATTCAAGAGCAGACTTAACTTCCAAAATATTCTGACTCTTGCAGAAAAGACCACTTGTTCCCCTGCCATATTACTCATTCCATGCGAGCATGGAGTCATGACAGCTTATCTTTGCTTATTTCCATTAATCCCACCCAGAGGATGCCAGAAATATTAAAAATTAACTGGGTATTTTTGATTACAAAAGTGTGAGTCAAGCACTGAAAGAGTGAGTATGCCAAAGCCTGTTAGAGTCAGTGGGCCAAAGCTAGTGTCATCCCAAGGAGTGTGAGGTAAACCTCTGTGTGAGAGAAGCCTTGTGTGAGAAAGCTCCAGTGTGAAGGCTGCTGTGTGTAAAGGTACTGTGTATTTGTTTATTTGTGTTATAGAAACCTTGTTGTTGTAAATAGTGCAAACATATTATTTTACTACAAAGAAAAGCCTCCTATGGAAGAGATAGCATTGGTCTGTGTGTTTTTGTTCTTTTTATCACTTTGGGCTACTGGTGCTGTATCACATTGCTGCTGCTGAGTTACTCTGCTGTACATTTATGAGGAGGGTCCTTTATTAATAAGCCCGCTTGCCCAAAACCATTTGCTCCTTGGATGACACATATCAAGGAAAGTAGGAGTGGAAAAGGAGAAATTGCTTGGTATCTTCTCCAGGGGCTGAAAAGGATGCTTGATAACATACTTTTGTTACTACTACTACAGACACAGAGGGTCCTTTCAAGGTGCAGGTTATTACTTGTAAGGAACTATACACTTCAGGTCCAACCTATCTTCAAGATCACATCTCTTTCTATGAATCAGCGCACGCTCTGAGATTGACAGGGGAGACCCTTCTCTCGGTCCTACCACTGTCTCAAGCGTGGTTTCTGAGGAGAGGGCCTTCTCTGTGGTGGCCCCCTGGCTCTGGAATACCCTCCCAAAAGAGATTAGCTTAGCCCCCACCCTTCAATCCTTCCGTTCCAACCTGAAAACAAGGATGTTCAGACAGGCCTTTGACCTTGGCTGAATGGGCCCATATGACGCTGACACTCGGCACCTTGTGAACTGACAGCAGTTAATTTCATCTCCTGTTGTTTAAAAATTTATTATTTTGATTTTAACATGCGTTGACGGGTGGTTGTTGTTATAATTTTATGTGGCTTGTTTTATACTTTTGTACTGTTTTCACCGGTTGTATATTATACGTGCACTCTGGAGTGCTTTGTAAGCTGCCCCGAGTCCTTTCGGAGAGATGGTGGCAGAATATAAATACTTTTTATTGCAATTATTATGAATGCTTGCAGAGCCTGCACCTCAAAGGTTCAGGGTGCAATCCTGGGCACTGCCTGTCCGAAGACTCCTGCCCTTGCTTGTAGAGAAATGACACTGATCCTGCTCATCTCCATTTCTGAGCTGAAGAACTGGCATTGTCCATGGACACTTCCAAGGACAACGCCAGTAGAACTGCATGGAGCACCATGACCTTCCTGCAGAAACGGTACCTATTAATCTGCATGTTTTCAAACTGCTAGGTTGGCAGAAGCTGGGGCTAACAGTGGGAGCTCACCCTGCTAGCCAGATTTGAACTGACAACCTTTTGGTCAGCAAGTTCAGCAACTCAGCGGTTTAACCTGCTGCACCACCAGGGGGTTAAATATTATATGTAATATTACTAATATTGCAATATCCTAATATGCACCAGGTGAGAAGGGCAAAGAGCCTCACTTTCTGGGAGACTGTTGAATATGTCCTACCCATGAAGGGCTGTTGTGACTGCCTGTTGTGAAGACCGGGCTGTGGCACGGCTAGTTAGTAGCCAGCTGCATTAAATCACTTCTGATTGAGAGGTCATGAGTTTGAAGCCAGCCCAGGTTGGAGTAAGCTCCCAACCCTTCATAGTCTAGCTTGCTGTTGACCTATGCAGCCTGAAAGACAGTTGGATCTGTCAAGTAGGAAATTTATGTGGGGAGGCTAATTTAACTAATTTATGAGGAGCCAATGTTGAATGCCACAGTGTAACCCCCAAGTCTTCATAGACTTGTCAGCAGCTTATGATACTGTGAACCACCGCCTCCTCCTGAGAAAAATGTATAATATCACAAAGGATTACCACCTCCCCCGCCTCATAGGAAACCTGCTACAAAACAGGAGCTTTTTTGTTGAGTTCCAGGGCCAGAGAAGCAGATGGCGGAAACAGAAGAACGGCCTGCCTCAGGGGAGCGTGCTTGCTCCATCCATGTTCAACATCTACACAAATGACCAGCCACTGCCAGAAGGGACAGAGAGTTTCATCTATGCTGATGATCGTGCCATTACTGCTCAAGCAGGGAGCTTTGAGATGGTGAACAGAAGCTCTCCGAAGCTCTAGGTGCTCTTACTGCCTATTACAGGGAAAACCAACTGATCCCTAATCCATCTAAAACACAGACATGCGCCTTTCACCTTAAGAACAGACAAGCATCCCGAGCTCTGAGGATTACCTGGGAAGGGATCCCACTGGAGCATTGCAGCGCACCCAAATACCTGGGAGTCACCATGGACTGTGCTCTGACCTACAAGAAGCACTGCCTGAACATCAAGCAAAAAGTGGGTGCTAGAAACAACATCATACGAAAGCTGACTGGCACAACCTGGGGATCACAACCAGACACAGTGAAGACATCTGCCCTTGCGCTATGCTACTCTGCTGCTGAGTATGCATGCCCAGTGTGGAACACATCTCACCACGCTAAAACAGTAGATGTGGCTCTTAATGAGACATGCCGCATAATCACGGGGTGTCTGCGCCCTACACCACTGGAGAAATTACACTGCTTAGCCGTATTGCACCACCTGACATCCGCCGGGAAGTAGCGGCCAATAGTGAAAGGACCAAGGCAGTGACATCTCCAGCTCATCCCCTGTTTGGGTATTAGCCAGCACGTCAACGACTTAAATCAAGACATAGTTTTCTTAGATCTACAGAGACACTCGATGGAACACCCCAGCAAGCAAGAGTCCAAAAGTGGCAGGCTCAAACCCAGAACCTCAATCCGTGGGTGATACCAGATGAGAGACTCCCCCCTGGGCACACAGAAGACTGGGCGACTTGGAAGGCGCTGAACAGACTGCGCTCTGGCACCACGAGATGCAGAGCCAACCTTCTGAAATGGGGCTACAAAGTGGAATCCTTGACATGCGAGTGTGGAGAAGAGCAAGCCACTGACCACCTGCTGCGATGCAACCTGAGCCCTGTCTCATGCACGATGGAGGACCTCCTTGCGGCAACACCAGAGGCACTCCAAGTGGCCAGATACTGGTCAAAGGACATTTAACCAACTACCAAGTTTGCAAAATCTGTGTGTTATTTTTTCTTTTTAATCTGTGTGTTTGTTTTGTTCTGTTAGAATTGTAACACAATGGTATGGTTGCTGATGACACGATAAATAAATAAATAAATACCCCCAGAAGGGCTTCCAAAGGACCCCCCGGGAAGGGCCTACCTTGTCCCGGAAGGCGTTGGCCTGGAGGTGGCAGAGCTCGAGGGCGCCGTCGAGGCGGGCCAGAGCCAGGAGAGGCCCCGAAGCGAGCAGGGGAGGCCCCGCGAAGGCCAGGCAGCGCACCCCGGAGGGCACGAAGCTGAAGAGCCGCGCCCGGTGCACCTCGAACTCCCCCATGGCCGGACACGAAGAAGAGAAACACGTGTCCCTCTCCAACTCCCCAAACCGGAAACTGGCTTCCCATCCGGGGCGGGACTTCCGGAAGAATGAGACTTCCGGAAGAAGGTTCCTTTCCCCCACCCACTTCGGAAAGCGCGGGAAAGGCGAACCCATTTGAAAGCCGAGGGGGCGGGACTTCCGGCGAAGGGGTTGGTTGGCTTTCTCCTGCCATGGTGCAGCTGGTGGTCGCCTCCAGGTGAGTCTCCCTGCAGATCCTGGCTGTTGTTGCCTGGAGGCACCCTCTTTGCATCTCATTTTTAAAATTTATTTATTTATATCTCGCTTTAGCTCTCCACCATCACAATCAAAAACATTACAACTTCAAATACACAACAATAAAACAGTATATCATTCTATATTATTACTAGCTGTCCCCTGCCACGCGTTGCTGTGGCCCAGTCTGTTGCTCTGGAAAATAAAGTAATGAGAAAGTGTTGGTTTCCAATATATGTAATGTCTTTCTGCTTGTGGGTAAACACTATTTCTTGCTGTTTCTTTGTCAGTGTTGATGTGGAGATTGTCTGGTTTGCCTACTCTGGAACAGGCAACATATCATTGTCCTTCTTTAGGGGTCCCTTTCAAATCTAGGATATTATATTTGTGTGTGTGTGTGAATCATATCTATATCCATGGCTGGATGGCCCTTTGCCAGGAGGGCTTTGATTATGTTTTCTTGCCCTGGTGAAGGGAGTTGGATTGGATGGCCTTAAGTATTTTCTGTTGGTCATGGGGTTTTGTGTGGGAAGTTTGCCCCAATTCTGTCATTCGTGGGGTTCAGAACACTCTTTCATTGTAGGTGAACTGTGAATCCCAGTGATTACAACTCCCAAATGTCAAGGTCTATTTCCCGCAAACTCCATCTGTGTTCATATTTGGGCAAATGGAATATTCGTGCCAAGTTTGGTCCGGATCCATCATTGTTTGAGTCCATGGTAGTCTCTGGATGTAGGTGAACTACAGCTCCCAAACTCAAGGTCAATGCTCACCAAACCCTTCTAGTGTTTTCTGTTGGTCATGGGAGTCCTGTATGCCCCAGTTGGTTCAATTCTGTCATGCTATTTGATTGTAGGTGAACTATAAATCCCAGCAACTACAACTCCCTATCTATTTATTTATCTATCTATCTATCTCTATGGCTCTTTGTCAGAAGGACTTTATGTTTTCTTGCCCTGATGAAGGTAGTTGGATTGGATGGACTTAAGTATTTTCTTATGGTCATGGGGGTTCTGTGTGGGAAGTTTGCCCCAATTCTGTCATTCGTGGGGCTCAGAACACTCTTTGATTGTAGGTGAACTGTGGATCCCAGTAACTACAACTACCAAATGTCAAGGTCTATTTTCCCCAAACTCCATCTGTGTTTATATTTGGGCATATTGAGTATTCGTGCCAAGTTTGATCCAGATCTATCATTATTTGAGTCCACAGTGCTCTCTAGATGTAGGTGAACTACAACTCCCAAACTCAAAGTTCAATGTCCACCAAACCCTTCTAGTGTTTTCTGTTGGTCATGGGAGTTCTGTGTGCCAAGTTTTGTTCAATTCCATCGTTGGTGGAGTCCAGACTGCTCTTTGATTATAGGTGAACTATAAATCCCAGCAACTACAACTCCCAAATGACAAAATCATAATTTTTTGAGTGATGGTCACTCCTTGTGCTGTGAGACGTTTTGTTGCCAAATTTGGTGTGATTTCGTTCATTGGTTCTTTTGTTTTTAAGGTACTCATTATGCACAGAGCATTTATATATATATATAGATATAAATATAAATAAATATATTATCGCTCTTTATTATATTTAAAGCATTACTATTACTGTATTACAATATTATTATAAATTATTATACTGTACTATTATTAGTATTACATTGTATTACATTATAATAGTTTTATCAAAAGTGTATGCTCCATGCAGTCAGGCTGGCCACATGACCTGGGAGGTGTCTACGGACAATGCTGGCTCTTCGACAGCATACCCCAGAGTCAAACACGACTGGACTTCATGTCAGGGAAAAACCTTTACCTTTAATTATGTGTATATCATTTGTATTATTAGCATAGCACAACATTCGTACTATATATTACTTTATCGTACTATACCACTATGCTGAAATATTATTAGTAATATTGTATGTAATATTTTATTATTAGTAATATTGTATGTAACCTGGTGCAGTAGGTTAAACCGCTGAGCTGCTGAACTTGCTGACCAAAAGGTTGCCAGTTCAAATCCGGTTAGCAGGGTGAGCTCCCACTGTTAGCCCCAGCTTCTGCCACCCTAGCAGTTTGAAAACATGCAGATTAATAGGTACCGTTTCTGCAGGAAGGTAATGGTGCTCCATGCAGTTCTACTGGCCACATGACTTTGGAAGTGTCAATGGACAGTGCCAGTTCTTCAGCTTAGAAATGGAGCACCACCCCCCAGAGTCGGACACAACTAGACTTAATGTCAAGGGGAAACATTTACCTTTTATTATATGTAATATATACTATTATTATGTATTATTATATATTGGGCTATATTGTTACACAGTTTAATATAATAATATATGGACTATATTATTATACCAGGGGCCCCTGGTGGTGCAGCAGGTTAAACTGCTGAGCTGGGGAGTGGGGTGAGCTACCGCTGTTAGGTCTACCTTCTGCCAACCTAGCAGTTCGAAAACATGCACATGTGAGTAGATCAATAGGTACCACTCCTGCGAGAAGGTAATGGCACAGCATGCAATCACGCTGGCCTCATGACTTTGGAGGTGTCTATGGACGACGCCTATTATTCGACTTAGAAATGGAGATGAGCACCAAACCCCAGAGTCAGACACAACTAGACTTAATGTCAGGGGAAACATTTACCTTTACCTATATATAATATATACTATTATTATACATTATATTTAACCATATTATAATACTACAATTATTATTATTATTATTATTATTATTATTATTATTATTATTTACCTTACTTATATACCGCTGTTCTCAGCCCGAAGGCGACTCACAGCGGTTCACAACAAATACGAACAGCAAAAATTCAGTGCTACAGTATAGAAACAGTTAACAACCTAACACATTACACAATTAATAAACAGTTACTACAATACCCATTCACTGTCGTCTCATCATCAAAAACATGTTCCAGATTCGTCATCTATTGTTCCATTCCAGTGTTCATTAACCAATCATTGCACTAATTATTCGAACGCCTGCTCAAACAGCCAGGTCTTCACTTTTTTGCGGAATACCATTAGAGATGGTGCTAGTCTAATGTCCGTAGGAAGGGCGTTCCACAGCCGAGGAGCCACCACCGAGAAGGCCCTATCTCTCGTCCCCGCCAGACGAGCTTGAGAAGCAGGCGGGATCGAGAGCAGGGTCTCCCCGGAAGATCTCAAAGTCCTGGTGGGTTCATAGGCAGAGATGCGGTCGGATAGGTAGCTTGGGCCGGAACCGTTTAGGGCTTTAAAGGCCAACGCCAGCACTTTGAATTGAGCCCGGTAGCAGATCGGCAGCCAGTGGAGCTGGCGCAACAGGGGGGTTGTATGCTCCCTGCGCTCCGCTCCTGTTAAAATCATGGCTGCCGAGCGTTGGACTAGTTGGAGCTTCCGAGCTGTCTTCAAAGGCAACCCCACGTAGAGAGCGTTGCAGTAGTCTAAACGGGATGTAACCAGAGCGTGGACTATATAATATATATATAATGCAGTACCAGTATATTATATTAGTATTATATGATATATTGCACTATAAAATAAATTATAGTATATATTTTAGTATCATTATTATTTCTAATTATTATTATTATTCTTGTACCTGTTGTAGGGCGGAGGGGGACGCAAGCCTTCCAGAGTGGGTCCTGATGGAGCTGCAAGGGGAGCTGGAGGCCCGCTCCGGGGCAGGGCTGGAGGCAAAGCTCCTGGGGGACCTCCACTACACCAAGGAGGTGAGCATCATAGACTTGGGAGAGGCACCCAGAGTCTATCCAGTCCAGCACCCTTCTTGCTGCCAGGCAGGACACATTCTAAACCCTCCAGACAGATGGTCACCCAGCCTCTGCTTAGAAACTTCCAGAGGAGGAGGCTCCAATGGATTCCCGGGTAGTTTAGATTCCACTACATTAGGCATGGGCTAATTGTGGCCCTCCAGATGTTTTGGACCGCAACTCCCACAATTCGAATTGTGGGAGTTACGGTCCAGAACATCTGGAGGGCCAAAGTTGGCCCATTATTATTTATTATAAATAAATAATAGGAATTGTGGGAGTTACAGTCCAAAACATCTGGAGGATCAAAGTTGGCCTATTATTATTATTATTATTATTATTATTATTATTATTATTATTATATAATAGGAATTGTGGGCGTTACAGTCCAAAACATCTGGAGGGCCAAAGTTGCCCCATTATTATTATTTATAAATAAATAAATAATAGGAATTGTGGGAGTTACAGTCCAAAACATCCGGAGGACCAAAGTTGGCCCATTATTATTATTATTATTATTATTATTATTATTATTATTATAAATAAATAATAGGAATTGTGGGGGTTACAGTCCAAACCATCTAGAGGACCAAAGTTGGCCCATTATTATTAATATTATTAATATTATATAATAGGAATTGTGAGTTACAGTCCAAAACATCTGGAGGACCAAAGTTGGCCCATTATTATTATTATTATTATTATTATTATTATTATTAATAATAATAATAATAATAATTAAATAAATGATAGGAATTGTGGGAGTTACAGTCCAGAACATCTGGAGGACCAAAGTTGGCCCATGCCTCCACTAGATTTGAAAGGGACCCCCACTTGAGTCTCACTTGCCCCCCTTGATTGTCCTCAGGGCACTCCTGTGCTCATTGTGGGGCACCACATCCTCTATGGGAAAGTTGTCCGCCTGGAGAAGCCCTTTGCCGTCCTAACAAAGCCGGGCGAAGCAAGCGGCTATTCAGTGACCGCCCTCATCAAGAAGAAGCTCCTCTTCAAAACCAGGCCGAAGCCCATCATCACCAACATGGCCAAGAAGGCCTGAAGTGGCACGTTCCTGCTACGGACAGAGTCCCCGAACTAAGGAACACAAAGGAATGGACCCTCTCGTTTGCCACCCTCCGTCTCCGGATGAAGTTGGGAGGAAACAAACTCCAAACGAAGCCATCTTATTTCCAAGGACTTTTATTAACTGTAACAAAGGCATTTGTCGTAAAAAACCAAACGGACCCAAACCTTGACCTCCCTTTAAAAAAAGTACAAAATGAACACAGGTTAAAAAATAAATACGTTTGTACAAATCGCTTTGAATTGGTCGGCTGTTGTCCTTACGAAAGAGCTGGACAAAAGGTCCTACAAAGGTTGTCTTAAATAAGAAAAACATGAACATAGAAAAAGGAGTGGGACGAGGAGGGAAAGCGGCCGGAGGAAGGGGCTGATGGGACATAGAGTCCTTCCCTTCGCTTTGCCTGGAACCAGCACAGGCAGCAGAGGGCAGCGGAGCTGGGAAGAGGAAAAGCAGCATAACCAGACATTCATTGCAAGAAAGCAAGCTGGGGTTTTGTGGGGATGGTGTCCCAACTTTTGTCACAGTGTTGGGCGAGGATGGGCTTTAAACGGCCCACTGACTGACCAGATGACCAGTCTGGTCAAGGCCAGTTTGGCTTGGAAGCCCTACAGAGAGAATGTATTTCTGCCACCTGAGACGTGCGCAAGTAAGTCTTCTCTCCTCCGGTCTGCTGAAAATATAAACAGAGCCCTACTTCTGTGCCTTTGAAGGCCCAATGCTTAGACCCTGCAAAGTCAAACCAAATTCCATTAAGGTTTGCACACCTCATTCGGAATCTAGTATCTTGTATCTTAATAGGTTATGACTTGGAATTCATTTTCACCACAAAATTGAGGTGAAGAGAGGTAATGGTCATAAAAGAAGTCGCATCCAGATACTGCAGAGATACTGCCATTCGCTCACAACTCTTTCACAACTATTGCTCAAACGTTATCAAAATGTTTTGTGAAACACGGATCATTTTGCCTTTCAAAAAATGTGTTTTTCAGAACTGAAGGAAGAATAGGAAGCCCATTTTCAAGAATCTGAATTGTCCACAACTAAACGTACGAGAAGTAATTCCGAGTAGCTACGTGCTGTCTTCCAAGTGCCCAGCAACACACAGGAAAGCCCAATAGTTGAGTTCCTTTCTGGGCTGTATAGCCATGTTCCAGAAGCATTATCTCCTGACATTTCGCCTGAATCTATGGAAGACATCCTCAGAGGTTGTGAGGTCTGTTGAAAACTAGGAAAATTGAGTTTATATATCTGTGGAATGTCCAGGGTGGGAGAAAGAACTCTGTCTTTTTAGGTAGGTGTGAATGTTGCAATTGGCCACGTCTGAGGATGCCTGCCATAGATTCACACCTACCTCAAACAGACAAGATGTGTTAGTTGGCCCTACTTGTTTTTTTGTCTGGTATTCCCCTGCTTTTTGAGTGTTGTTCTTTATTTATCAGTATTTAAAAAACTCTAAAATCATAACAGTAAATAAACAGGGGAATTTCAGACAAAAAACAATCAAGGCCAGCTAATCACCTCCCAACAAAGGATTCCCCCATGCCATAAGAAGCAAGACCTTGAAAATGCTAGGCCATTCCAAGGTGGCCAATTGAAACATTCACATCTACCTCAAATGGACAACAGTTCTTTCTCCCGCCCTGGACATCATTCCACAGATATATAAACCCCATTTTCCTAGTTTCCAACAGACCTCACAACCTCTAAGGATGCCTGCCATAGATGTGGGCAAAACGTCAGAAGGGAATGCTTCTGGAACATGGCCACACGGCCCGGAAAACTCACAACCCAGTGATTCCGGCCATGAAAGCCTTCGACAATACAAAGCCCAATAGTGTAGTTTTGCCATAAAAGATGCCCACCTCCTTTGGACAGAGCTTGGTGCCATCTACCCTCTGCTCCCCTGGAATGCCTTTTTGCTTAAAGGGAGAGCAATAGGTCAAGAACCAAAGGTGAAGCTTTCAGACAGAGCAAGAAAGGTAGCAGTGCCGCTTCTTTTGCTCTCTCTTTCCTCTGAGTTGGAAATGCCTTGTGCCTTGGGTTGGTCTAGCACCAGGGAAATAAGAGTGCTGGAAGAGAAGCACCAAGGAAAAGGGCCCGGATCACAGTATTAGGTTCTGCATGACTTTGGGAAGGGCCTGAACCCTTTTTGGATGACCCTCTTTGCCTTCCCTGCTGGTGCAAGCCATGGGCCGGATGTAAGAACGGAGCACCACAAAAGAAGGTTTCAAGGGGAACCCATTCCCTGCAAGAATAGTCTCCAAATGCAAGTAGGAATAAGTGGCTTGCGTCATGGAAACTTGGAGAGCGAGCCTGCAGTTGGGTTCTCGAGGGTTACAGCACCCAAAAACCAGTCCACTTCCCATGAATGAGGCTGCCCTGGTCCAAGGTTTACAAGTTTACAGCTGGTTTAGTCACATTCATTTTGGCTGTGGGTTTGCCACAAAAAGGACCCTGGGAAACTTTTCAAGTATTCTGTTGGTGCCGAAAGAGGCTGGTTTGCCCACCTTCAGCACCATGTCGCAAATGGACAGCGTTCCTTGGAAGGAACCACATTCGCCCCGAAGGAGACCTCGAGGGCCAAACCCTGACTGTCCAAAACATAATTGTTTCTAAAATTTGCCTCTAAAGCAACGTGGGGAACATTTTCCCCACGCTATTTGCCCTCCCCAAAAACCCAGAAGAGGCTTATTTAACAACATAAGGGGGATTTTCCCCTTCTGTTTGACCATTTCCTACAGAAGCCGCAAATCAGCCAAAGGCAAGGAACAGCTCCCCCATTGTCACCCCACTGGAATAAAAAAGCGGCCCCATTTGGACCCCCATTTGCTTGTCAGAAAAGGAATCAATACTTAAAGGTTCCTTGAAGAACTCCCCGAGGAGAGTCCAAAGTAAATAGCGACACTTCTTCGATTGGCCCGCAAAAAGGCTATTGCTCCAGGTAGGACCCCAACCCACCCGCCCTGGCTTCCGTTTTGATTATACCCTGAACAGAAGGGCCCTCGTTGCCCTGTTGCCACCCTGCTGTATGCGGCAGTGTCCTCTGAGCGGAATGGTACTGGCGAAGGATACAGATCCGATGGCAGTGGAAGCTTCGCTGGAGTCGGTGGGCTTTTTACAGGAACAGCACCAAAAAGCATCCCAACAGCACTCAAGATGGGAATCCCGGCTTCCTTCCTGAGTTTGCCATCTTGCTTTTGGGGCTGTATATCCTCAAAACAAAAGACAAGATGGGCCTCAAGACATTCTCCCCCAAGATAGGATTCCTGTCTTCCTTTCCTGACCTTCCAGCTTGCTTTTGGGGCTGAATAAGCTTCTATCAAAGTCACAATAGCTTCCAAGATGGGAATCCTGGCTTCCTTCTTGAGTTTGCCATCATGCTTTTGGGACTTGATAGCTTCCATCAAAGTCCCACCCCAAACAAGGTGGATCCAGGCATCTGTGAATTTCTACAAGAACAGCACCGAGACACATTGAGCAGTATCCGAAGATGTGATTCCTGGCTTCTTCCTTGAGTTTGCCATCTTCTTTTTGGGGAAGGATATCCTCCAGCCATCTTCCCCAAGATGAGAATCCTGGCTTCCTTCTTGACTTTTCAGATGACTTTTGGTGCTGGAGACCTTCTATCAAAATCACAAGAGCTTCCAAGATGGGAATCCCGCTTCTTTCTTGACCTTCCAGATGGCTTTTTGGAGCTGGATACCTTCCATCAAAGTCCTAAGAGCTTCCAAGATGGGAATCCCGGCTTCCTTCTTGACTTTCTGGATGGTTTTTGGGGCTGGATACTTTCCATCAAAGTATGAAGACCTTTCCAAAATGTAAATTCCAGCTTCCTTCTTGACCTCCCAGGTGGCTTTTGGAGATGGATGCTTTCCATCAAAATCCCAAGAGCTTCCAAGATGGCAATCCCGGATTCCTTTTTGACCTTCCAGATGGCTTTTGGTGCTGGAGACCTTCTGTCAAAATCCCAATCGCTTCCAAGATGGCTTTTTGGGTCTGGGTACCTTCTGTGAAAGTTCCAAGAGTTTCCAAGATGGGGATCCTAGCTTCCTTCTTGAGTTTGCCATCTGTTTCGGGGGGCCGGATGTCCTTAAAGCAGAGTGAAGGTGGCCCAAGCCATTTCCCCCCAAGGCTGGAATCCCAGCTTCCTTCTTGATCATCCAGCTTCCTTCTGGAGCTGGCTATCTTCGGCACAGAGACAAGGCCACGGGAAGCGGAGACCACTGGTCCCTCCCCCTTATTGCACACCCCTCCCCCCTCCCTACAACACCTCCCCTCCCACCCTGAGGCTGCTCAGACCTCTGAGAAGGCCAGGCCGCACGCTTCCTGGGGCTTGGTGCCGCAGCGCCGGGCCACAACGGCCAAGTAAAGGGCAAGGAGGGCGACCCAATAGCAGGCATAGAGGACGGCACCAGAGACCAGGAAGGCCAGCTCGGTGTCGGAGAAGAGGTCCTGGCTGCAGGCGGTGTAGGCCAGGCCCCCCAACAGCACGGCCGCCCAGAGTGAGACAGGCACCAGGCCAATGAAATTGACCGCCAGAGTCCGGCGGCCGGAGGTGCCCCAGCCGGATTTGGTGATGGTGGCGATGGCAAACAGCTTAGCCGGGAGAAGGCTGGACATGTAGAGCAGGGAGTAGAGGGACATGAAGAGCATCTCGGCACTGCCGCGCAGGAGGCAGGCGTAGGCGGCTTTGAGGACGCCCACCAGCTGGACGGTCAGCAGGAAGAGCAGGATGTTCCAGAGGCGGCCGCGGTAGAAGAGCCGGACCACAGTGGCGACCAGGAAGAAGGGGAAGAAGCCGGTCACCACCGACTCATAGGTCATCCAGAGGTGGTGCTTGTGGAACCAGAGGGCGCTGTAAAGCCACTCCCGGAAGTAGGACTTGCTCCAGCGTGTCTGCTGGTTCAGCCAGCGCAGGTACCGAGTGGGCGTCTCCGTCAGGCACCGGGAGCGGGCTGTGTACTTGGTCCGGAAGCCCAGGCTCAGCACCCGGTTGGTCAAGTGCCGGTCGTCCCCGAAGCTGCAGCGGCTGCCCAGGAAGCTCTGCTGGTACCAGTCCTCCAGGAAACGCTGCAACAAGGTGTTGCGGTACATGCCCAGCGGGCCACTGATGCACTGGACGCAGCCGAAGTAGGACTGGCAGGCCCGCTCCACATTGAAGGCCACCCAGTAGCGCACGCTGCTCAGGAAAGACAGCCATGAGTCGTACTTGTTCAGTATCTGCAAAGAGGGATAGAGAGAGAGAAAGCAAGCAAGCAAGGAAGGATTAGCACCCCATGGTTTCCATTGGCACCTAAGAGATAATATAATAATAATAATAATAATAATAATAATAATAATAATAATAATGCATTTCTTCCATTCTAACGCACTTTTCCTCCCATATAATAAATATATCTAAAAATTGCAGTGTATTTTTATTGGTGGCGACAGTACTGAAATTAGAGTTCATCTCACAATTAATAGCCTCTTACCATTGAAGAAATGCAGTAATAATAATGTAGTAATCTATACACATAAGATATAGGTATATAGTGGCGCAGTGGGTTAAACTGCTGAGTTGCTGAACTTTTATTTATTTATTTATTTATTTCGGTTACTTCTACCCCGCCCTTCTCACCCCGAAGGGGACTCAGGGCGGCTTACAAAGGCACAATTCGATGCCAGCATCACATAACAGTAGTAAACAAATAGCAACAATTAACAAATTAAACAACAGTTCCTGCATTACAACAATAAAACCAATACAAACCCAATTACTCCTCATTGACGGTCAGCGTTCGCTATCTCATAGTCCAAATTCCAATTCCACATTGTCAGTCCTGTCAGTCCTAATTGTCTGATTGTCCTTATCTAGTTGTCAGATTGTCCAAAGGCCTGGTCCCACAACCACGTCTTTACTTTCCTCCTGAAGGAGAGGAGGGATGTTGATGCCCTAATTTCCCCCGGGAGTGAGTTCCACAGGTGAGGGGCCACCACTGAGAAGGCCCTGCTCCTCGTCCCCACCAACCTCACTTGTGATAGCGGTGGGGTCATGAGCAGGGCCTCCCCAGATGATCTCAAACTCCGGGGTGGGATGTAGAGGGAAATGCGTTCAGACAGATACACTGGACCGGAACCGTATAGGGTTTTGTAGGTCAAAACCAGCACCTTGAATTGTGCTCGGAACTGAACCGGCAGCCAGTGGAGCTGACACAGCAGGGGGGTGGTGTGCTCCCTGTATGATGCTCCAGTGAGTAGTCTGACTGCCACTCGCTGGACCAGTTGAAGTTTCCAAACAGTCTTCAAGGGCAACCCCACGTAGAGTGCATTGCAGTAGTCTATTCGGGATGTAACAAGAGCATGGACCACTGGCCAGATTAGACTTCCCAAGGTACGGGCGCAACTGGTGCACAAGTTTTAATTGTGCAAAAGCTCTCCCGGCCACCGCCGAGACCTGGGGTTCCAGGCTCAGCGATGAGGTCAGCAAGTGGAGTGCGGTGAGTTCCCATTGTTAGCTCCAGCTTCTGCCAATCTAGTAGTTCGAAAACATGCAAATGTGGGGAGATCAATAGGTACCACCTTGGTGGGAAAGTAAAAGTCCTCCAAGCATACATGCTGGCCACATTAACTTGGAGGCGTCTATGAACAATGCCAGCTCTTCGGCATAGAAATGGAGATGAGTTGGACACAACTAAATGCCAGGGAAAATATTTACCTTTACCTACTCACAAACAATAGCCTCTTATCATTTAAGAAATGTGGTAATAATAATAATATAGTAATAGTAATAATAATAATACCCTGTTGGGATCACCTCCATCGTCTGCAGCGACAACCATTGCAATCCCCACCTGCAGACACCTTTTGCCTCCCCATTCTTGGCCGCACTCCTGCACCCACTTCAGCAGGTATATAAATATCTCTCTCCCAACGGGAAATATATCTGCCAGCTCTAACAAGACGGGCAGCCATCCAAATAAGCTTTTATGCCAGATCAAACCTGTTGGGGCATCTCTTGCATTACGGAATTACAGCAGGTGGAAAGAGTGAACCCTAGAGCCAGGAGAGGCTCCCAAGGGCCATCTAGTCCAACCCCATCATGCAGGAAGACACGATGGAGCAGCCCTTAGAAACCGCCATTTAAAGAACCGTGTGGATCAGTGGTTCTCAACCTTCCTAATGCCGCGACCCCTTAATATAGTCCCTCATGTTGTGGTGACACCCAAACATAACATTATTTTCATTACTACTTCACAACTGTATTTTTGCTACTGTTATGAATCATACTGTATATGCAGGGTGTCAGGGGGGGGGGGGGGGGGGGGCTTGAGGGGCTTCAGTCCCCCCCCCCCCCGAAATTCTCATGGTGGTTCGCGAAAAGGCCTTACTGGTGCATTATTTAAACTGTTATGTTTATTCATATCATGATCTGATCACCATACTCAATAATATATGCATGGGGGTATTGGGGTAATGATACAAAAGGTTTGCTAGGGTAGACCCTCTTTCACTCAGACTCAGCCCCCACCGAAACTCAGCCCCCCCCCCCCAATCAAAATCCTGGCTATGGGCCTGCAGGGTGTATTTCCATTTACTGGACCAATTTGGGCACAAATACCCGATATACCCAAATTTGAATAATGGTGGGGTTGGGGAGAATTGATTTTGTCATTTGGGAGTTGTAGTTGCTGGGATTTATAGTTCACCTACAATCCAAGAGCATTCTGATCTCCACCAATGATGGAATTGAACCAAACTTGGCACACAGAACTCCCAAGACCAAGATAAAATACTGGAAGGGTTTAGTGGGCATTGACCTTGAATTTTGGAATTGTAGTTCACCTACATCCAGAGAGTAGTGTGGACACACACAATGATGGATCTGGACCAAACTTGGCACGGATACTCAATATGACCAAATGCGAACACTGGTGGAGTTTGGGGAAAATACACCTTGACATTTGGGAGTTGTAGTTGCAGGGATTTATAGTTTACCTACAATCAAAGAGTATTCTGAACCTCACCAACGATAGAATTGGGCCAAACTTCCCACACAGCACCCCCATAACCAACAGAAAATATTGTGTTTTCTGATGGTCTTTGGTGACCCTTTCCGCATCTCCTTGCAACCTCCCCCAGGGGTCCTGACCTCGAGGTTGAGAAATGCTGGTGTAGACCCTCACCTGGACATCTCCACCGACGCCACCAACACGGGGGTCCTCCTCCAAGATGCGCAGCATCTCCACCGTGCAAGCCGGGTCCAGAACAGTATCAGAGTCGCACACCTGCCAAATATATAGAAAGAGATATAGATGTATATATGTATATGTGTATGTGTGTGTATATATATATATATATACACACACACACACATATATGCACATCCATATGAAAGAGAATATTGTCAGAGCCTGAGCAGAAGAGAAGAGACCCACCAAAAACAAAACACACAAAACAGCAACTGTCAGAAAGAAACCAAAGTCCAAACGCTTAAAGAACACACAACTTCAAAACAATATCATGGTTATACAACAAAAACGATAAGCAATAATAATAATAATAATAATAATAATAATAATAATAATAATGGGTTGCTGTGAGTTTTCCAGGTTGTATGGCTATGTTCCAGTAGCATGCTCTCCTGACGTTTCACCCACATCTATAGCAGGCATTTTCAGAAGTTGTGAGGTTTGTTGGAAACTGGGCAAGTGGGGTTTATATATCTATGGAATGATGTCAAGGGCGGGAGAAAGAATCCTTGTCTGCTTGAGACAGGTGTGATTGTTACTAATTGGCCACCTTGATTAGCGTTTAATGGCATTGCTGCTTCAAAGCCTGGCTGTTTCCTTCCTGGGAGATCCTTTGTTGGGAAGTGTTAGCTGGCCCTGATTGATTCTTGTTAGCTAGCCCTGATTGGTTAAACCAGGGGTCCTCAAACTTTTTAAAGAGGGCCAGGTCACAGACACTCAAACTGTTGGAGGGCTGGATTATAATTTGAAAAAAAAAACCATGAATGAATTTCTATGCACACTGCACATATCGTATTTGTAATGCAAAAAAACTTAAAACAATACAATAATTAAAACGAAGAACAATTTTAACAAATATAAACTTATTAGTATTTCAATGGGAAGTGAGGGCCTGCTTTTGGCTGATGAGATAAGATTGTTGTTGTTGTGTGCTTTCAAATCATTTCAGATTTAGGTTGACCCTGAGTGAGGACCGGGCTAATGACCTTGGAGGGCCGTATCTGGCCCCCGAGCCTTAGTTTGGGGACCCCTGGGTTAAACCATGGGGACTCAAGGCAGCTAATAATCCACATTACGCCTCAGTTGGGTTCCAGGACCCAACGCCAAAATCCAGGACCCTGTAGCACTGAGCTACTGCTGTGAAAGTGGTGTCAAACTGCATTCAATCCTCGGTGCCTGTGTTCCCACCTGAACGTAGTCGACGGAGTCCCCGAGGGCCCGGAAGGCGGTGTACATGACCTCCCGCTTGCCGCCCCACTTCTGCATGATGCAGCAATAGCTGTGGAGCCGGACCAAGCCCTGGATGTGGCTCTCGGCCTTGCGCCGCCCGGCCTCAGTCTCCCCATCTCCGTCAGTGTGGAAGTTGCTCCTCCAGATGTAGAAGCCGCTGCTCCCTCCGCTGCTATCGGCACCCAGGACCTCCCTGAAGATGTCCAGCATGTAGGCGTCCTCGCGGCTGTTGCCGTCCACCACCAGGACCACCCTGAGTCCGGGGAAGGAGATGCGCCGCACGGAGCGCAGGCACTGGCGCAGGTAGCCGGGGTCCTCCTGGAAGGCGGCGATGCAGAGGGCCACGCGTGGGCCAGGCAGCTTGAGGGGGCGGGTGGGCTCCCGGCGCATGCGGCGATGCTCCAGGAAGGCAAAGAGGCTCTGGGCGCCCAGGTGCAGGCCCAGGATGGCCCCATAGAGGCCGAAGGAGAGGAAGTGCTGCTCCGTGTGGATGAACTGGTAGCCGGTCACGTAGGCCGCCAGGATGGCCCCCAGCACCGCCAGCGCAAAGAGGCCGGTCCCCAGAACACGCAGCACCAAGGAGAGGCTCAAGGGCATCTGCGGAGGAACAACAGGAGAGTCATTGGGACTGCATGGGCCACTGAGTCCAACTCCAATCTGCCAGGAAGGAAAGGGATAGTCAAAGCACCCCTGACAGATGGCCACCCAGCCTTTATAATAGCAATAACAGTAACAACAACAACCACCCCAGGGACCATCCAGACCAACAACAATCCGCTATGCAGGAAAAGCACAAGCAAAGCACCCCTGGCAGACGACCATCCAGCCTTTGTAATAGTACTAATAGTAACAACAACAACAAACCCAGGGGCCATCCAGTCCAACAACAATCTGCTATGCAGGAAAAGCACAATCAAAGCACCCCTGACAGATGGCCACCCAGCCTTTGTAATAATAATGATAACAAGAACAACAAGAACAACAATCCCAGTGGGCATCTAGTCCAACAACAATCTGCTGTGCAGAAAAGGCACAATCAAAGCACCCCCAACAGATGGCTACCCAGCACCTGAGAGTGAGAGGGAAGGGAGACAGGGAGACACCCAACAACCCAGCAGTCCTCGCTCTATTTGCATATATATATATATATATATATATATATATATATATATATATGCATGCAGCAATTATACAATTTACATTTTCATATGTATACTAGCTGTCCCCTGCCACGCGTTGCTGTGGCCCAGTCTGGTGATCTGGAAAAGTAATCAGAAAGTGTTAGTTTCTAATATATGTAATTTCTTGATGCTTGGGGGTAAACAGTATTTCTTGCTGTTCCTTTGTCAGTGTTGATGTGGAGATTGTCTGGTTTGCCTACTCTGGAACATGCAACAGATCATTGCCCTTCTTTAGGGGTCCCTTTCAAATCTATGATACTATATCTGTGTCTGTGAATCGTATATATCTCTCTATATCTATGGCTGAATGGCCTTTTGTCAGGAGGGCTTTGATTACGTTTTCTTGTCCTGGTGAAGGGATTTGGACTGGATGGCCTGAAGTATTTTCTATTGCTCATGGGGGTTCTGTGTGGGACGTTTGCCCCAATTCTGTTGTTGGTGGGGTTCAGAATGCTCTTTGATTGTAGGTGAACTATAAATCCCAGTAACTACAACTACCAAATATCAAGGTCTATTTTCCACAAACTCCATCTCTGTTCATATTTGGGCATATGGAACATTCGTGCCAAGTTTGGGCCAGATCCACCATTGTTTGAGTCCACAGTGCTCTCTGGATGTAGGTGAACTACAATTCCAAAACTCAAGGTCAAAGCCCACCAAATCCTTTCAGTATTTTCTGTGGTCATGGGAGTTCTGTGTGCCAAGTTTGGTTCAATTCCATTGTTGGTGGAGTTCAGAATGCTCTTTGATTGTAGGTGAACTATAAATCCCAGGAACTACAACTCCCAAATGGCAGAATCATAGTTTTTTGAGTGATGGTCACTCCTTGTGTTGTGAGACGTTTTGTTGCCAAATTTGGTGTGATTTCGTTCACTGGTTCTTTTGTTTTTAAGGTACTCATTATGCACAGAACATTTTTATATATATAGAAGAAAGAAGATATAGAACCCCTTGGTGGGGCAGCGGGTTAACCCACCGAGCTGCTGAACTTGCTGACCAAACATTGGTTTAAATTCGGGGAGCAGGGTGTGTTCCCACTGTTAGCCCCAGCTCCTGCCAACCTAGCAGTTCAAAAACATGCAAATTGAATAGATCAATAGGTACCCCTTTGGCTGGAAGGTAACGGCGCACCCCAAAGGGGACTCAGAGTGGCTTACAAGTTATATACATATAATATATTATTAGCATAGCACAATATTAATATTATATGTTACTATATTGTACTATACCATGCAGTCATGCCGGTTACATGACCTTGGAGGTGTCTATGGACAATGCCGGCTCTTCAGCTTAGAAATGGAGATGAGCACCACCCCCCAGAGTCGGAAACAACTGGACTTAACGTCAAGGGAAAACATTTACCTTTACCTTTTACTATACCACTATACTGCAATATTATTAGTGATATTACATGTAATATAAAATCTATATAAATAAAAATGTAATGTTCGTTTGTGGGATTAACAGAACCCAAAAACCACTGGGGGAATTGACACCAAATTTGGACACAAGACACCTAACAACCCAATGTATGTCCTTCACTCAAAAAATGGATTTTGTCATTTGGGAGTTGTAGTTGCTGGGATTTATAGTTCACCTACAATCAAAGATGGAATTGAACCAAACTTGGCTCACAGTTCTCCCATGACCAACAGAAAATACTGGAAGGGTTTGGTGGGCAGTGTCCTTTGGTTTGGGAGTTGTAGTTCATCTACATCCAGAGATCACTGTGGACTCAAACAATGATGGATCTGGACCAAACTTGGCACGAATACTCAATATGCCCAAATGTGATCACAGATGGGGAAATAGACCTTGACATTTGGGAGTTGTAGCCACTGGGATTCACAGTTCACCAACAATCAAAGAGCATTCTGAACGCTACAAATGACAGAATCGGGGCAAACTTCCCACACAGAACCACCATGACCAACAGAAAATACTTAAGGTCATCCAATCCAACTCCCTTCATCAGGGCAAGAAAACGTAATCAAATAGAATCTTGACATTTGGGAGTTGTAGTTGCTGGGATTTGTAGTTCATCTACAATCACAGAGCATTCTGAACCCCACCAACGATAGAATTGGGCCAAACCTCCTCCCATACAGAACCCCCATGTGGGCCACAGCAACGCTTGGCAGGGAACGGCTAGTATATAATTATATTGTACTATTAGTAGTATTATATTGTATTAATTGAGCAATGTAAGTATCATTATCATCCCATCCTTTTTCTAACAATCAGTGAGCCAATTTCCAAAAACTGAGCTGAGATGGAGAATTGTAGGACTAAGGCTGTATCCACACTGCAGAATAAATGCAGTTTGAACCCTCTTTAACAGCCAGAGCTGAATGTTATGGGATCCCTGGGAGTTGTAGTTTGGTTGGGGCAGCAGCCGAATTGGGACAGAGAAGGTGAAAGGCCTCTCCAAACTACAACTCCCAGGATGCCTTAGAATTGAGCCAAAGGCAGCTTAAGTGAGATTGATTGCTGCTAAGAAGTTTGCATCTTTCCAAATTTTTCCAAGTTTCTAGTCCTCATTACCTTTCTGTTTCCAGAAAGAGTGCCTTAGGGCTTTGTTTTTGGGGAAAGGGGTGCCCTAGAGACCCCCTAAAGGCATTAAGACCCTCCCCAGACCCCTCCCTGGAAAACAGACCCACTCACCGTGGCGTGGCTCCCTTCCTGTGAAAGCTCATAACTTTTAAAGCAGAGGGGAGGGTGAAGAGGCGTGGCTACCTGGAAGGGGGAGGAGCCAAATGCTCCCCACTTTCAAGGTCCCCCCTCCCCTTTGCAAAGAGCAAGTTCTCCAAGAAGGAGGGAATGAATGAATGAAGAGATGGATGGATTCCAGAGAGGCAACCTTTGCAAGTAAAGCCTCACCTTAAACAAGCAAGCAAACAAACAAAAGTTAGGGGGGAGCAAATGGAAATATTGGGGTGCAGTGAAAGGAATTGGGGTGAATAAGGCTTCAATGGGGAGGGTGCACACCTGATGCAGGTGGGCAAAACATCCCCAATGAATGGATGTATGAAATGAATGCATTTTGCAAGGGAAGGGAGGGGAGGGAGGGAAAAGACCTAATTAAATAATATTAATTATTATTAATAATATTAATAAACATTACTATTCATAATTGTAATAATAATTATTAATATTAATAAGCATTAATATCAATAATTTTATTATTATTATTAATAAGCATTACTGGAGGGGAGGGAGGCAAAAGACCTAATTAAATAATATTTATTAATAATAATATTAATAAGCATTAATATTAATAATTTTAATAATTATTGATAATATTAATAAATATTAATATTAATATTAATAATTTTATTATTAATAAGCATTACTATTAATAGGTTCTTGTGGGTTTTTTCAGGCTATAGAGCCATGTTCTAGAGGCATTTCTCCTGACGTTTCGCCTGCATCTATGGCAAGCATCCTCAGAGGTAGTGAGGTCTCACCTCACTACCTCTGAGGATGCTTGCCATAGATGCAGGCGAAACGTCAGGAGAAATGCCTCTAGAACATGGCTCTATAGCCCGAAAAAACCCACAAGAACCTAGTGATTCCAACCATGAAAGCCTTCGACAATACATTACTATTAATACTTTTAATAATTATTATTAATACTAATAAGTATTAATATTAATATTTTTTATTATTAATATTAATAAGCATCTGAGGATGCTTGCCATAGATGCAGGCAAAACGTCAGGAGAGAATGCTTCTAGAACATGACAATATAGCCCGGAAAACCTACAACAACCCAGTGATTCCAGCCATGAAAGCCTTTGACAATAATATTTATTTATTTACCCTATTTCTACCCCACATTTCTCTACCCTGAAAGGAACTCCTTGTGGCTTACATATAGGCAATTATTCAATGCGTTGCTGTGAGTTTTCCGGGCTGTCTAGCTATGCTCCAGAAGCATTATCTCCTGATGTTTCGCCTGCATCTATGGCAGGCATCCTCAGAGGTTGTGAGTTCTATTGGAAACTAGGCAAGTGGGGTTTATATATCTGTGGAATGGGAAAAAAAACCTCTTGTCTGCTTGAGGCAAGTGTGAATGTTGTAATTGGCCACCTTGATTAGCATTGAATGGCCTAGCAACTTCAAGGCCTGGCTGATTGCTGCCTGGGGGAATCCTTTGTTGGAAGATGTTAGCTGGCCCTGATTGTTTCATGACAGGAAATCCTCTGTTTTCAGAGTGTTGCTCTTTATTTACTGTCCTGATTATAGAGCTTTTTTAATACTAGTAGCCAGATTTTGTTCCTTGAAAATGTATAAAATCTGGCTACCACTATTTTAAAAAACTAAAATCAGGACAGTAAATAAAGAGCAACACTCAAAAAGCAGGAGAATTCCAGACAAGAATCAATCAGGGCCAACTAACACCTCCCAACAAAGGATTCCCCAGGCAGCAACCAGCCAGGCTTTGAAGCTGCACGCCCATTCAATGCTAATCAAGGTGATCAATTGCAACATCCACACCTGTTATATATAAACCCAATTTTCTTAGTTGCCAACACACCTCACAACATCCGAGGATGTGGGCAAAACGTCAGGAGAGAATGCTTCTGGAACATGGCCAGACAGCCCGGAAAACTCTCACCAACCCAGTGATTCCAGACATGAAAGCCTTCGACAATACAAAAGACATGAGATTTAAATTCATGCCAATTTTGGGGTGGAATAAAGGTGAGTTGGGAAGAGGATGGAAAGGAAAGGCACACCTGATACAGGTAAGCCTTAATCCGCCCCCTTTTCTTCTTCTTCCTGCCCAAACGCAGATGCTTGTGGATGCTGGGAGATGCAGGTAAGGGCCTAGGCTAGGTAAGGGTCACCTTTGGGCCCCTCTGCCGGCTCACCTGTGGCCTCATTCTCCATCCAGGGAGCAACTGCAGTGGAGTAACCAATCAATAATAAATGAGTTTCCATTGCAATGAGAGAACCGCCTGCCGAAATATAACCCATGGCGGGGGACACACGACTCTTCTTTGTGAATTGGGGGATTCTGGGAGTTACAACCCAAAAGTTGTGTAGATGGGACAAACTTGGGTTGTCCAGGTGTTTTGGATTCCAACTCCCACAATTTCTAACAGCCTCAGGCCTCTTCCTTTTCCCCTTCAGGGTTCAGAATGCTTTTTGATTATAGCTGGACCATAAATGTCTGGGTTTTGAAAATTGAGGTGTGCATTAGAGTTTGGGAGTTGTAGTTCACCTACATCCAGAGAGCACTGTATACTTAAACAATGATGGATCTGGACCAAACTTGGCACGGATACTCAATATGCCCAAACATGAATACGGGTGGAGTTTAGGGAAAATAGACCTTGATATTTGGGGTGTATAGTTCACCTACAATCAAGAGCATTCTGAAACCGACCGACAATAGAATACTCAATTATGCCCAAATGTGAACACTGGTAGGGTTTAGGGAAAATAGATCTACAATTTGGGAATTGTCGTTGCTGGGATTTATAGTTAACCTAAAATCCAAGAGCATTCTGAACTCCACCAATGATGGAATTGAACCAAACTTGGCACACAGAACTTCCATGACCAACGGAAAATACTGGAAGGGATTGGTGGGCACTGACCTTGAGTTTTGGAGTTGTAGTTCACCTACATCCAGAGAGCATTGTGGACTCAAACAATGCTGGATCTGGACCAAATTTGGCCCGAATACTCAATTATGCCCAAATGCAAACACTGATAGAGTTTGGGGAAAATAGGCCTTGACATTTGGGAATTGTCGTTGCTGGGATTTATAGTTCACCTACAATCCAAGAGCATTCTGAACTCCACCAATGATGGAATTGAACCAAACTTGGCACACAGAACTCCCATGACCAAGAGGAAATACTGGAAGGGTTTGGTGGGCATTGACCTTGAGTTTTAGAGTTGTAGTTCACCTACATCCAGAGAGCACCGTGTACACAAACAATGCTGGATCTGGACCAAACTTGGCTGGAATACTCAATTATGCCCAAATGCGAACACTGGTAGAGTTTGGCGAAAATAGACCTTGACATTTGGGAATTGTAGCTGCTGGGATTTCTAGTTCACCTACAATCCCAGAGCATTCTGAACTCCACCAATGATGGAATTGAACGTAACTTGGCACACAGAACTCCCATGACGAATAGAAAATACTGGAAGGGTTTAGTGGGCATTGACCTTGAGTTTTAGAGTTGTAGTTCACCTACATCCAGAGAGCACCATGGACTCAAACAATGCTGGATCTGGACCAAACTTGGCCTGAATACTCAATATGTCCAAATGCGAACACTGGTAGAGGAAAATAGACCTTGACATTTGGGAATTGTCATTGCTGGGATTTATAGTTCACCTACAATCAATGCACATGAGACTCGATAGGGTTCATTCCAGAGCAAAGGATCCGTACTCAGAGCCCCGTCGTCCTCCTCCTATCTAGGATCCTGTCCTCACTTGCCCGCCGCTTCTAGCCCACACGCAGACTTCATGCATGTAAGACGTGTAAAGAAGAGGAGGAGGAAAAGTTAAATATAGCCAAAAGACGGCAGAGGTTTCCCGGGAGATAGTAATTCCGGCACCATGAACGGAAGGAGACCAACCTTCCAAAATACAAACAAAAGAGGTGAAGGAATCCTATTGCATTTTTACCAAAAAAAAAAAAAAATCCCCCCAAAAATGAAATTATAGACCAGGAATGGGCAAACTTGGGCCCTCCATGTGTTTTGGACTACAACTCCCACAATTCCTAACAGCCGGTAGGCTGTTAGGAATTGTGGGAGTTGCAGTCCAAAACACATGGAGGGTCCAAGTGTGCTCATGGATGTACTAGCACAATGTTTCTCAACCTTCAAGATACACAAATGTGAAAACAGGTTTGGGAGTTGTAGTTGCTGGGATTTATAGTTCACCTACAATCAAAGAACATTCTGAATTCCACCAACGATGGAACTGAACCAAACTTAGCACACAGAACTCCCACGACCAACAATCCCTCTGGAGATTGCAAAGCAGAGGCTGGATGGCCATCTGTCGGGAGGGCTTGGACTGTGTCTTCTTTCTTGACAGAAAGGGTTTTAGACTGAATGGCCCTTGGGGGTCTCTTGTATTATTCTATGATCATCCTCTGAAGATTACTAAGCTGGCTGGTCATCTGTAGGGAGGGCTTAGATTGTGTCTTCCTCCCTGACAGAAGGGGGTTGGGGCTAAATGGCTCTTGGTGGTCTCTTCTATGAGTCTACGATTATTCTCTGGAGGTTACAAAGCAGAGGCTGGATGGCCATCTGTCAAGAGGGCTTGGGTTGTGTCTTCCTTCCTGACAGAAGAGGGTTAGACTGGATGGCCCTTAGAGGTCTCTTCTATGTGTCTAGAGTTACCTCTCTGGAGGTAACTAAGCAGAGGCTGTATGGCTATCTATTGAGAGGGCTTGGATTGTGTCTTCTTTCCTGACAGAAGGGGGGTTAGACTGGATGACCCTTGGGGGTCTCTTCTCTGAGTCTGCAATCATTCTTTGGAGGATACTAAGGAGAGACTGGATGGCCATCTGTCAGGAGGGCTTGGATTGTGTCTTCATCCCTGACAGAAGGGGTTTGGGGCTAAATAGCTCTTGGGAGTCTTCTATGAGTCTACTATCATTCTCTGGAAGATACTAAGGAAAGACTGGTTGGTCATCTGTAGGGAGGGCTTTGATTGTGTCTTCTTTCCTGACAGAAGGGGGTTAGACTGGATGGCCCTTAGAGTTCTCTTTTATGAGTCATTCTCTGGCAGTAACTAAGCAGAGGCTGTATGGCTATCTATTGAGAAGGCTTGGGTTGTGTCTTCCTTCCTGACAGAAGGGGGGTTAGACTGGATGGCCCTTGAGGGTCTCTTCTATGAGTCTACAATCATTCTCTGGAAGATACTAAGGAGATACTGGATGGCCATCTGTAGAGAGGGCTTTGATTGTGTCTTCCTTCCCGACAGAAGGGGGTTAGACTGGATGGCCCTTAGAGGTCTCTTCTATGAGTCTACAATCATTCTCTGGATGTTACAAAGCAGAGGCTGGATGGCCATCTGTCAAGAGGGCTTGGGTTGTGTCTTCCTTCCTGATAGAAGGGGGTTAGACTGGATGGCTCTTAAGAGTTCTCTTCTATGAGTCTATGGTCATTCTCTGGAAGACACTAAGGAGAGACTGGATGCCCATGTGTAGGGAGGGCTTTGATTGTGTCTTCCTTCCTGATAGAAGGGGGTTAGACTGGATGGCCCGGGGGGGGGGGGATCTCTTCTATGAGTCTACAATCATTCTCTGGAGGTAACTAAGCAGAGGCTGGATGGCTATTGGGAGGGCTTGGATTGTGTCTTCCTTCCTGACAGAAGGGGGTTATTTTGGGCGGCCTTTAGGATCTATTCTCACTTATTCTGATTGTCGACATTTGTCGGGAAAGCTTTGATTGTGCCTTCCTGTCTAGCAGAATGGAGGTGGGACTGGATGACCCTTGGGGTTCCCTTCCAGTTCTAGGATTCCATGATCCTAGGTAGGAAACAGCATCGTTTTGCGGCCAGGACGCAATGAAAGAGGCAGGCTTGGGCCTCCTGTAAAGGAATATATAATATAATACAATATTTCTCTTTCTCCGGACAGCAGCACCGGCTCTTCTGTGCCATCTCATGAGTACCCCAAATAGGAGCGGAAGCATTTGGAGGACCACTCAAAAGAGAGAGACCCTTCCCCATTATTAGACAAAGGGGGATTGCCAGAGAAAGGATCTGGGGTGCCAAGCCTGGCGCTCTCTCTGCCGCAAGGAGCGCAGCCAGGTAACCTTTACGCCCACCTCATCCCCTGCAGGTAAGGATGCTCCCTTGTGCTCACCTTTCCCTTGCTTCTCCTCCTCCTGGCTTGGGGTCTTCTTTGGCCTCTCCTTTTGGGGTGGGGGGATTGGGGAAGGGGAGAGGAAAGGGGGGAGAGGAAGCAGCAGCAGCAGAGGCAGCAACGCCTTTCCAAGGTGGGATCCAGATGCCCGCCCCTCCTCGCCTTGTTCTTGCAGAGGCAGAATCATTGCAGCCAAAGAGACTTTCCATTCAAGCGCCAGCCGGTTGGGGAAAGGAAGGAAGGAGGGAGGGAGGGAAGAGCAGGCGGAGCAAAAAGGGGGGAAAGGGATCTAAAAGAAGAGAGAGAGAGAGACAAAGCTTCAGTGGAGAAACAGGCAAGGAAATAATAATAATAACAACAATAATAAAAATTATTATTATTATTATTATTATTATTATTATTACTATTATTATTATTATTATTATTAGAAAGTTCGACTTGTGATTTTCTGATACGAAATCCAGCATATAGATCTCGTTTGCTGTGACATACTGTGCTTTTGTGTCAATAATAATAATAATAATAATAATAATAATAATAATAATGGGTGCCCTCCCTCTGCAAAGGAATCTGGGAAGAGATGGGTTGTCAGCCAACAGCAAAGCAACTTCAAGTCATGCACAGACTGCACATTTTTCCCTGGCATCCATTCCTTTGCCACCTTCTTCTCACTTCGCAACCCACCCTTCACTCCCTTCTCATGCACTCACTCATGCTTTCTTCTTTTTCTTTTGGGGGGTATTGTAGGGGAACGGAGCAGCATGGTGCTCAATCTCCATTCATGCGCCTGGCAGGCAAAGGATCCCCCAGAGGGCAGCTAGACGGCAATCCCAAAAGGGTTGCTCTGAGTTTTCTGAGCTGTCTGGCCATGATCTGGTAGCATTCTCTCCTGACGTTCCACCCACATCTATGGAGCCTCCAGACACACCCCATTGCCGCAGGTATTCCTAAATAGGCTCTAAATCAGTGTTTCTCAACCTGCAGGTCGTGGAACCCCCCGGTGACGCAGTGGGTTAAACCCCTGTGCCGGCAGGACTGAAGGTTCGAATCCGGGGTCAGCACAGATGAGTTCCCTCTATCAGATCCAGCTCCTCATGCGGGGACATGAGAGAAGCCTCCCACAAGGATGGTGACACATCAAAACATCTGGGCGTTCCCTGGGCAACGTCCTTGCAGATGGCCAATTCTCCCACACCAGAAGCGACTTGCGGTTTCTCAAGTCTCGCCTGATATGACAAAAAAGCCCCACACATCTATGGCAGGCATCCTCAGAAGTTGTGAGGTTTGTTGGAAACTAGGCAAGTGGCACCAAGGAGATTAGTCCTGGTGTCACAGTGGGTTAAACTGTTGAGCCGCTGAACTTGCTGACCAAAAGGTCACCCATTCAAATCCGGGGAGCAGGGTGAGCTCCCGCTGTTAGCCCCAGCTTTTGCCAACCTAGCAGTTCAAAAACATGCAATTGTGAGTAGATCAATAGGTACCACTTTGGCGAAAAGGTAGCGGCGCTCCATGCAGTCATGCCGGCCACATGACCTTGGAGGTGTCTACGGACAACGCCGGCTCTTCAACTTAGAAATGGAGATAAGCACCAACCCCCAGAGTCGGGCACCACTGGACTTAATGTCAAGGGAAAACCTTTATATTTACCTAGGCAAGTGGGGTTCATATACCTGTGGAATGATGTCCAGGGTGGGAGAAAGAACTCTTGTCTGCTTGAGGCAGGTGTGAATGTTGCAATTGGCCAGGTTGATTAGCACTGAATGGCTTTGCAACTTCAAAGCCTGACTGCTTCCTGCCTGAGGAAATCCTTTGTTGGGAGGTTTTAGCTGGCCCTGATTGATTCTTGTCAGAAATTCCCCTGGGTTTTGAGTGTTGTTCTTTATTTACTGTCCTGATTTTTAAAGTTTTTTTAAATATTGGTAGCCAGATTTTGTTAATTTTCATGGTTTCCACCTTTCTGTTGAAATTATCTACCTGCTTGTGGATCTCAATGGCTTCTCTGTGTAATCTGACATGGTGGTTGTCAGAGTGGTCCAGCATTTCTGTGTTCTCCAGATTGGTTCATCAGGTGCTCTGTCATGGCTGACTTCTCTGGTTGATTTAGTCTGAAGTGCCTTCCATGTTCCTTAATTAATGTCTGGGCAATGCTACGTTTGGTGGTCCTTCTGCAGACTTGTCCACATCTGCTTAGTATATGGTAGACTCCTCTAGAGGCGAGAGAATCCCTCTTGTCCTTTGCTGAATGTAACATGTGTTGGATTTTCTTAGTGGGTCGATAGTTTGTAGGTTGTGTTTCCTCATCAGCTTCCCTATGTGGTCAGTGGTTCCCTTGATGTATGCCAAGAAAACTCTTCCTCTGGGTGGGTCTTTGTCTTGACTCTTGTGTTTTGTTCTTGGTCTTGCAGCTCTTCTGATGTCAATGGTGGAGTCTCCATTGGCCTGTAAAGCCCAGTTGAGGTGGTTCAGTTCACCTTGGAGGAGGTGGGCTTCGCAGATTCTTTTTGCACAGTCTTCCAGAGCTTTAATTGTGCTTCTTTTGTGACTTGGGTGATGGTTGGAGTTCTTATGTATCTATTCCTGTGTGTAGGATTTCTGTAGACTGTGTGGCCCAATTCTTGATTGGGTTTGTGGATGACTAGATCTAGAAATGGCAGTTTTCCTTCCTTTCCCTTTTCCATAGTGAATTGGTGTGGATGCTGTTGACGTGGTCCAGGAACTGGTTGAGTTCTTCTTCTCCATGGCTCCAAATGGAGTCATCCACAAACCCAATCAAGAGTTGGGCCAAATGGTGAAGGTGTCACCCACATATCTGAACCATATAGTGGGCCTTTTGTTGCTGTGAGTTTTCACAAATGGGTCCTCCTTGGCTTGGCATCCTGGGAGGCAGTTATGCGCCTGTTCATGAGCTGCCTAGACGTCTATTGGAGTCTCCTTCTCTGAATGTTTTTAAACAGAAGCTGGATGGCTATCTGTCAAGAGAACTTGGATTGTGTCTTCCTATATAGCAAAATGGGTTTGAACTGGATGGCCCTTAGGTCTCTTCCAACACTAGGATTCTATGTTTCTAATAAAAGAGGCTGTTCATCTCTCTGGAGGGGCTTGGATTGTATCTCCCTGCATAACAGAAGCATGATGGACTGGATGACCTTTGGGTGCCCCTTCCAACTCTTGGATTCGGAATCCAATTGAGTCTCCTTCTCTGTAGGCTTGTAAGCAGAGGCTATATGGTCATCTGTGAAGGAGGGATTGTATTTTCTTGCCTAGCAGAAGGGGCTTGACCCTTGAGGTCACTTCCAACACTATGACCCTAAGATTCTATAAGAGGCTGGATGGCTATCTGTTGGGAGGGCTTGGATCGTGTCTTCCTTTATGAGAGGAGGAGAATGGACTGGATGACCCTTGAGGTTGCTTCCTATTCTATGACCCAAGGTGGCGCAGTGGGTTAAACCGCTGAGCTGCTGAACTTGCTGACCGAAAGGTTGCAGGTTCGAATCTGGGGAGTGGGGTGAGCTTCCACTGTCAGCCCTAACTTCTGCCAACCTAGCAGTTTGAAAACATGCAAATGCGAGTAGATCAATAGGTACCGCTCCGGCGGGAAGGTAACGGTGTTCCATGCAGTTATGTCGGCCATATGACCTTGGAGGTGTCTATGGACAACGCCGGCTCTGAGGCTTAGAAATGGAGATGAGCACCAACCCCCAGAGTTGGACACGACTGGACTTAATGTCAGGGCCAGGGAAAACTTTTACCTAAGATTCTATGAGAAGCAGGATGGTCATCTGTCAGGAGGGCTTGGATAGTGTCTTCCTTTATGAGAGGAGGAGGTTGGACTGTATGGCCTTGGGGTTCTCTTCCAACCTTCTTTTTGTAATTATTATTATTGCCCACTTTTTCTCTCTGAAGAGACTCATGATTCTATGATTCCTCTCCCCCTGCCCCCCCCCCCCCAAAAGACACCGGTTGGAGGCCGGTAGGCTCTTTACAGGGTCTGTGAAGGAGTCATCTGGGGAGAATGGGACCCTCTCTGGGCTCACAAAAGAAAGGCAGGAAGGCTGAGCAGATTGTCCTGGTTAGGCCCTCTCGTGGGGGGTGGGAGCAGAATGGGGTTCCTTTAGAGCAGTGGTTCTCAACCTTCTCAACCACAACCCTTTATTATAGTTCCTCATGTTGTGGTGACCCCCAACTCTAAAATTATTTTCGTTGCTACTTCATAACGGTAATTTTGCTACTGGTTTGAATTGTCATGTAAATATCTGATATGCAGGATGTATTTTCATTCACTGGACCAAATTTGGCACACATACCCGATATGCCCAAATTTGAATGCTAGTGGGGTTGTGGGGGATTGATATTGTCATTTAGGAGTTGTAGTTGCTGGGATTTATAGTTCACCTTCAATCAAAGAGCATTCTGAACTCCACCAACAATGGAACTGAACCAAACTTGGCACACAGAACTCCCATGACCATCAGAAAATACCGGAAGGGTTTGGTGGGCATTGACCTTGAGTTTGGGAGTTTTAGTTCACCTCCATCCAGAGAGCACTGTGGACTCAAACAATGATGGATTTGGACCAAACTTGGCATGAATTCTCAATATGCTCAAATGTGAACACTGATGGGGAGATTGGGGAAAATAGATCTTGACATTTGGGAGTTGTAGTTGCTGGGATGTATAGTTCACCTTAGAATCAAAGAGCATTCTGAACCCCATCAACGATAGAATTGGGCAGACTTCCCACACAGAACATCCGTGCCTTGAAGGGACTCGCTGGTGTGAGCCTCCCTCGAACCTCGCATGCTTTCCCTCGCCCGAACATGCACACCATGCTGTCACGCACTGAGCACGCCTGCTCTCCTCTCTCTGCTTGGAGTCTCAAAAACAGCGCTCCCTTGGCTGAGAGGCTGGTCAATCACAGCAAAGGAGGGGTTTAAGTGAGAGGATTTGCCCTCTGTTTCCAAAAAGGAAAAGAAGGACAGGCGGAGAGATCTTCAGCCTTCTCTACCAAAGGGGTTCCTATAACCAGAAATATGTTTCCTGATGGTCTTTGGCAACCCCCCTGAAACCCCCTCCACGACCCCCCCCCTCCCCGGGGTCCCGTCCTCCAGGTTGAGAAACACTGATTTAGAGCCTATTTAGGAATATCTATGGCAATGGGGAGACCCTGGTGGCGCAGTGGGTTGAACCACTGAGTTGCTAAACTTGTTGACTGAAAGGTCACAGGTTCGAATCTGTGGAGTGGCGTAAGCTTCCGCTGTCAGCTCCAGGTTCTGCCAACTTAGCAGTTCAAAAACATGCAAATGTGAGTAGATCAATAGGTACCGCTCTGGCGGGAAGGTGACGGTGCTCCATGCAGTCATGCTGGCCACATGACCTTGGAGGTGTCTATGGACAATGCCGCCTCTTCGGCTTAGAAATGGAGATGAGCACCACACCCCAGAGTCGGACACGACTGGATTTAATGTCAGGGGAAAACCTTTACCTTTACCTACGGCAATGGGGTGTGTGTGGGGTGGGGGGAGAGACTTCATATGATCCGGTTTCTGCTTCTCCCACAAAGTGCCATTCTCCAAGGGCAAGAGGAATGCAACCAGGGCAGCATCAGCCATTGTCTCTGCAGAGGGCTTTGTTCCCTCTTACAAATCTGTCTTGCACCAAAAGCTGCCCCTCCCCCCTTCCCAAAAGTCTCCCGCACAATCAGGCTGGTCATTTGGTTTGTTTTATTTGGAGGAGGGGAGCAAACCCCCACGACTCAACCAACCGTGGAAACCTCAGTGGAGTTGCAGCCTCAGAGGAAGGGATACAAATCCCTTTTGAACACACCTGGCTAAGGAAATCCTGGGACGCATTGGACTTAGGATTGTCCTATGTTGGAAACAACTTGAAGGCACAACGACACCTCAATTTCTAGGAAAAGGGGGCTATAATGGCAGGAGGAGGAGCCCACTCTCTTCCCAGGCTTTGGCTTCTCCTGAAGCCTCATTTCCTTCTGGAACTGAACCAAAAGAGGTCCGGTTGCAAGCCTCTGCTTTCTCCATATCTGCCTCCCTGCTTGCCTTTGATTTCAGGGTCCTGGAGGGACAAGATCTATCCCTTTTGCAGGAAATGCTGGTCAACTGAGGACACTGGGTGGCCGCTTCTGCTCCGGGCAGATTTTGGGAGCAGCTGCATACCTGCAGCGCAGAAGTGTTCGATGCTGCAGTTTCAATCAATGCAGCCTGTGGAGGGACACTACTGATGGAAAGGACATTACGAGCATCACTGGAAAGGAAGAAACTCCTACAGGGCTCTGGTGACCCTCGGATTGATGCCGGGATTACGTTTCCAAAGAGTGAGGTCAATGCAAGGAGCTGTCTTTGGGGCAGAGTTGGGTCTTTGGAAGGCAATGGGGGTCTCTGCCCACAGAAAGTCCCGCCATACCCCTTTCATGAGTGGCACTGGCTTCTGAGGCTCTTCTACTGGCTCTATGGAAGGACCTGGATCTTCTTCTCCAGGACCTGAGGCGGGAAGAGGAGCTGCCTCATGATGCCGTCCAGCTCCTCCAAGGCCAGCTGGGCCTGCAGCACCGTGGCCCCGTCCTCCTCGTGCCTCAACACGGACTTCAGCAGGCGGTAGAGGCCCAGCACGACATCCCTGAGGACCTGCAATTGAGAGAGAGAGAAGAATTGTGGGTCGTAACCTGAATGCAAAGCAGGACCTGTGCAGTTTTTCACCAGAAACAGCCTTAGACATAATAAAAGGCTTTATTTCAGCCAAAATAATGCAATAAGTGAAGCAGAAAATACAGTCCTGATGGTCATGCATGGTCTTCAAACAAACGTTGAACAAAAGTCTTCACATCAGACAGAAACTAGATCAGTGTTTCTCAACCTTCCTAATGCTGCGACCCCTTAGTACAGTTCCTCATGTTGTGGTGAAACCCAACCATCACATTATTTTCGTTGCTACTTCATAACTGTCATTTTGCTACTGTTATGAATCATAATGTAAATATCTGATAGGCAGGATATATTTTCATTCACTGGACCAAACTCCCAATACGGCCAAATCTGAATACTGGTGGGGTTGAGGGGGATTGATTTTATCATTTGGGAGTTGTAATTGCTGGGATTTATAGTTCACCTACAATCAAAGAGCACTCTTACCTTCACCAATGATTGAATTAAACCATACTTGGCACACAGAACTGCCATGACCCACAGAAAATACTGGAACAGTTTGGTGGACCTTGAGTTTTGGAGTTGTAGTTCACCTACATCCAAAGAGCACTGTGAACTCAAACAATGATGGATCTGGACCACACTTGGCACAAATACTCAGTATGCCCAATGTGGACACTGGTGGAGTTTGGGAAAAATAGACCTTGACATTTGGGAGTTGTAATAATAATAATAATAATAATAATAATTATTATTATTATTATTATTATTATTATTATTTATATACCACTCCATCTCAAGGTAACATCACAAAACATACAAAGTAAAAAACAACATAACCATAAGATTAACAAAACAAAATATAAGCATAAAAATTGTTGCCATAACTCACATATATTAAAAGTAATCCTGCCTTTTCAAGGCAATTTAAAAAATTTAAAGGCCGGGCCAAGATTTGTGCAAGCCCCAAAATTCTTTAAAAAACAAACAAACCACTATTTTTATTTATTCTGTTGCTCATGGGGGTTCTGTGTGGGAAGTTTGGCCCATTCTATCGTTGGTGGGGTCAGATTGCTCTTTGATTGTAGGTGGACTACAAATCCCAGCAACTACAACTGCCAAATGGCAAGCCAATTTCCCCCAAACTCCACCAGTGTTCGCATTTGGGCATATTGAGTCTTCATGCCAGGTTTGGTCCAGATTCATCATTGTTTGAGTCCACAGTGCTCTCTAGATGTAGGTGAATTACAACTTCAAAACTCAAGGTCAGATGCATTAAATCACTACTGACCGAGAGGTCATGAGTTCGAAGCCAGCCTGAGTCAGAGTGAGCTTCCGGCCACTAGTCTAGATTGCTGTCGACATGCAGCCCGAAAGACAGTTGCATCTGTCAAGTAGGAAATTTAGGTACCGCTTTATGCAGGGAGGCTAATTTAACTAATTTACGATGCCATAAAAAACTTGTTCAGAAGAATGAGTAAGTACTCCATCGAAGGACTCAATGGACACAATGGACAGTGAAGTGGCAGCTCCCCCTGTGGCCGGAATCGAGCATACCCTCATGAAGCCGGAAAAAGCTGGAATGTTAAGTTTCCTCTGTGTCTCTCTATACATGTTATATGTCTAATTGGCATTGAATGTTTGTCATGTATATGTGCATTGTAATCCATCCCGAGTCCCCTGTGGTGTGAGAACGGCTGAATATAAACACTGTAAGTAAGTAAAGAAATAAATAAAATGCCCACCAAACCCTTCCAATTTTTTTTTCTATAGGTCATGGGAGATCTGTGTGCCAAGGTTGGTTCAACTCCATCATTGGTGGAGTCCAGAATGCTCTTTAATTGTAGGTGAACTATAAATCCCAGCAACTACAAATCCCAAATGACAAAATCAATCCCCCCAACCCCACCAGTATTCAAATTTCGGCGTATTGGATATTTGTGCCTAATTTGGTCCCGTGAATGAAAATATATCTTGTAAATCAGATATTTATATTACGATTCATAACAGTAGCAAAATTACAGTTATGAAGTAGCAACAAAAATAATATTATGGTTGGGGGTCACCACAACATAAGGAACTGTCTTAAGGGGTCGTGGCATTAGGAAGGTTGAGAAACACTGGCCTATACTAAACTAACTAACTGCTCCTTGTTGAGGACTTGAGACTTGGGCAGTGTGGGGTTGAATTCCAACAGGCAGAAATAGGAATCCTTCTTCCATGCAAAAGAAATATATCCTCAGCCCATAAATTTCAAACAATGCAGAAAGTGGCGCCTCAGAAATGGTGGAAACCAAAGACTCTTCCATTTGCTTTGCTTTGGATGGCTAAATTCTCTATCTAAATGCTCAGATGAAGTTTCAAGTGACTGCAATGCTGATAATTTTGGGATGGAAAGGAACATTTCATGGGGGCGGGACAAGGATTCCTATTGGATGGCGATGTCCTCGCCAACCCGACAAATCCTGGGACTCCACAATATGCAATTACAGAGGAATCCGAGTGCAGCAGGAAAAATACTTCGAAAGAGCACTGCATCCTCCAATTGCATCCCATGAATGTTTCCGACACAGCCTGTGCAGACAGCAGTAGATTGCACGGGGAAATATTTATTTATTTACAACATTTATAGTTTCACACACACACACACACACACACACATAGAGAGTCATTTGCTGCCCAAATATGGCAGTGCAAGAATGAAATGGTCAATGTCACAGTAGGTGTAGCAGCCAATTTAATTATGTTTAGTTCAGTATTGCTTGGCAGACAGCCAGAGATTACAACATCGAGCCTGCTCGGCTATGGAAACCCATTGGGTGAGTCACACTCTCTCAGCCTCAAAGGAATGCAAAGGCAAAAGCCCTCTGAACGAATCTGGCTGAGAAAACCCTTTGATTAAAGTTGGCGTTACAGCAGGCACAGGCAAACTTCAGCCCTCCAGGTGTTTTGGACTTCAACTCCCATCATTCCTAACAACCTCAGGCCCCTTCCTTTTCCCTTAAGCAGCTGAAATCAACCATTCTCTTTGGGGGATTGTGGGAGTCAAAGTCCTAAAGGTGATGTATGCAATTTCTTTTATGTGGTTGGCACCTGCAGAGAGTCCTTGTATGTCTCAGGTGGGATAGATCACTGGCTCTATGCAGAGAGCATTGTCAGAAATATTTAAAAAATAATGTATTTTTAGTTACAAAAATGAGAATTGAGCACTGAAAAGGTTAAATGGATGCAATGACTCAACAAAAGCTGCAGTTCAATATAAGCAGGTGTGCCTGTAGTTTAGTAGGCTTCTGTGTCAGTTTGCCTCAGTCTGTGAGAAGGCCTCAGAGTGTGAGGTAGGCCTTAGTCTGTGAGAGGAGCCTCTGTGTGAGGAAAGCAGGTGTGCCTGTAGCTTAGTTGCCTCCAATCTGTGAGAGGTCTCGGTGGGAGAAGGGCCTCGGTGTGTTAGTAGGCCTCAGTATGAGAAGGCTCAGTGTGAGTAGGCCTGGTGCGAGATGCTTTGGTGAGAGAAGCCCATCATATGTGATGACTGCTGTGTGTAAAAGCTACTGTGTGAAGCTCCTGTGTAACTTCGGTGTGCTAAGAGGCGCTGTGAAAGCAAAGCTATCTATCTGCATGAGAAAGAAGCCCAGCATGGAACCACAGAAGGAAGTGTAAAGAACTTTATTTGTGTTATGGAAACCTTGTTCTTGTAAATAGTGCAACCATATTATTTTGCTACAAAGAAAAGCCTCCTATGGAAGACATAACATTGGTCTGTGTGTTTTTGTTCTAGTTTAGTAGGCCTCTGTGTTAGTTTGCCTCAGTGGGAGAAAGGGCTCAGTCTTTGAGAAGGCCTCAGTGTGAGGTAGGCCTTAATCTGTGAGAGAAGCCTCTGTGTGAGGTAAGCCTCAGTATGAGAAGGTATGGTGTGTGAAGCTGCAGCATGACGGTTGAGCTTTATTTGTGTTATGGAAACCTTGTTCTGTAGTAAATACCTGTTTACCTGCATAAGAAAGAAGCCCAGCATGGAACCAAAGAAGGAAGTGTAAAGAAGTTTATTTGTGTTATGGAAACCTTGTTCTTGTGAATAGTGCAACCATATAATTTTGCTATAAGGAAAAGCCTCCTATGGAAGAGATAACATTGGTCTGTGTGTTTTTGTTCTTTTTATCACTTTTGGCTATAGGTGCTGGGTCGCGCTGCTGCTAATTTCCTCTGCTGTGCATTTATGAGGAGGGTCTTTTGTTAATAAGCCCAATCCCCAACAAGCATCAGGCTCAACTTAAAGACAAATAAGCCACGGAGAGAAGGGGGCATAAGAGAAATACAATGAAGGGGCCTCCTCCTCACCTCCAGGGCTTCCTCGCTGAGCCCTCGAAGCAGAAGCACCACCACGTGGATAGCGGCCCTCCGCACCTCTGCCTCATGATCAGTCTTCACAATGGCTATCAAGCATGAAGTCACCTGCACCAAAGACAAGGAAATGGTGAAGAAGCCCTGGCTGTGGGCTGTGGGAAATGGTGAAGAAGCCCTGGATGTGCCCTGGACTACTTTGTTCCTGCTTATCTTCCTACCTAATTGGATTTACCTATTTCTTTAAAGTGTTTTTTACCTTACTGCTTTTTAATTACCTACAATAAAGTATTTTTTCCATCCAATCATGTGGTGTTTAAAGTCAGAAGGCTTTTCCTGTCCTGGCTGTGGTATTGGATCACACATTGGACACTTCCCAAGTGTCTAGGACTGTGTGATGTATCGGCGAATAATGCACGAAGATGCCAGTGAGGTGGCCTTTTACAGCTGGCAGATGGTAATTTTGTCATTTTGCCAATTGTGTTTAAGTGCAGGCCAAGGTCTTGAGGCACTGCACCCAGTGTGCCGCTCACCACTGGAACCACCTTGACTGGCTTGTGCTAGAGTCTTTGCAGTTCGATCTTTAAATCCTCATATCGTGTCAGCTTTTCCAGTTATTTCTCTTCAATCTTGCTGTCACCTGGGATTGCAACATCGACAATCCATACTTTGATTTTAAAATGATCGTGAGGTCAGGAGTATTGTGCTCCAAAACTCTGTCTGAATTCGGAAGTCCCAATTATTATTATTGTTATTATTATTATTATTATTATTATTATTTTACTGACACAAAAACAGTATGTCACAGCAAATGCTGGCTGAGATCTTTTGGCACAGCACCCAGTGTGCCGATGACCACTGGGACCACCTGTACTGGTTTATGCCAGAGCCTTTGCAATTCGATTTTGAGGTCCTGATAACGACTGAGTTTTTCCTCAAATTATTATTATTATCATTATTATTATCATTATTATTATCATTATTATTATTGGAGCCCCCGGTGGTGCAGTGGGTTAAACCCCTGTGCCGGCAGGACTGAAGATCAACAGGTCACAGATTTGAATCCGGGGAGAGGCGGATGAGCTCCCTCTATCAGCTCCAGCTCCTCATGCGGGGACATGGGAGAAGCCTCCCACAAGGATGATAAAACATCAAAATCATCCGGGCGTTCCCTGGGCAACGTCCTTGCAGACGGCCAATTCTCTCACACCAGAAGCAACTTGCAGTTTCTCAGGTCGCTCCTGACACGACAAAATAATAATAATAAAGGATGCTTGCCATAGATGCAGGCGAAACGTCAGGAAAAATGCCTCTAGAACATGGCCATATAGCCCGAAAAAACCCACAAGAATCTAGTGATTCCAGCCATGAAAGCCTTCGACAATACAATAATAATAAAATTATTATTATTATTCCTGCCTGGCAGGAGGGGGTTGGACTAGATGGCCCTTGTGGTCTCTACCGACTCTAGGGTTCTATGATCAATTAAGGAACAAATAGGAAACACATTCAGAAGTCATCGTGTCCCGTCCCCCCCCCCCCCCACTCCTTGGGAGAACAATGGACAAAATCAGCCACAACACAGGTCAGCTTTTGTTTTAGAGATTGGCAGGCAAATGCAGGAGGTACCCTGGCTTTCCTGGAAGGTTTACATCCCATCTGAATAATGGAATTTCTCTCAGAATGGTTTTCACTGTGCCCCAATTAAAGGTTTGGCAGTGAGTAAAGGCAGGGAAGAGACCCTCCGCTACACTTTTCCTGGAGCTGAAGGGCATTGCCATGCCATGCACATCTCTTCCTCTGCTGCAGCTCCATTGCAGCAGTGTTTGCTGACTCAGCTGGCAACTAGCCTCCTGCTGCAGTCGATGAAGAGTCCTCCTCCTCCTCCTCCTCCTCCTCCTCCTCCCTCATTCAAAGGGGAAAGAGAGTGTGCCTTGAAGCCTACAACATGCCTTTGTACAATGGAGACGAACATCAGGCCCTTGAGCCAAAGGCCAAAGAGGAAACCTTGATGTCCACATCTCCATACGGCAGCTTCACTCCTCCGGCCCAAGCCTCCAGTTTAAACTCTTACTGAGAGCTGCCTGCTCACACCAGGAGAAAGATGGGGTATAACTCAATTCACAGCATCAATCAATACCATGTACACCAGGCATGGGCCAACTCCGGCCCTCTTGGTTGTGTTGGACTTCAACCCCCACAATTCCTAACAGGCAGTATTTATTTATTTATTTAAAACTTTTATATCTCGATCTTCTCAACCTCCATAGAGGGACTCAGACCGGATAACAGCAAGGATTCAATGCTACAATACAGTCTAAAACAACATTTATCAACAGAAAAATTAAAATACATATAGAATAAAACACATAATATACATATAAGCCAATTCGCCAACAGTAAAATCATGTCCGAACTCAGTCCACATGTGGTCAATAACTTTGTTCAATTGTCGGGCTCGGTCATTATTCTGGGAAGGCCTCGTTCCATAGCCAGGATTTCACGCAATATGTCCAATGGGTACACATTTATTTATTTACGCCATTCATATGCCACCCTTCTCACCCCGAAGGGGACTCAGAGCGGCTTACAAGATATATATACATACAATATATTATATTATATTATTAGCATAATACAATATCAGTATTATATATTACTATATTGCACGATACCATTATATTGTAATATTATTAGTAATATTACATGTAATATAAAATGTATAATTATAATATAGTATTATTAGTATTATTATATTGCATTACATTATAATATTATAAATATTATATGTATATACAATATATTATATTGTATTGTATTGTATTGTATTGTATTGTATTGTATTGTATTGTATCGTATCGTATCGTATCGTATCGTATCGTATTATTAGCATAGCACATCCCCTTGTGGCTCTGGAACCCGAACCTCACTCTGGTTTCAGGAGCACCGATTGCAAGAAAGTGGCCTCAAAACCACACCCCAAAGGGATGAATGTAGGAGAACATAATTTTGGCTGCCCGCAGTTCCCATTTTTGGTTGGATACAGATCAAAATGATAGAATACTGGCATGATCCTTAGGCTTGGGTTTTTTAGGAGGAATTTGTCCCTCATGCCCCTTTGGTGCAGGCAGGGACCCAGGCCTCCATTGTGGAACCCCATCTATGTGCTGTGCTTCTACGTGTTCCACTTCAAAAAGTGTTTAATGGATGGGAGAAAGGATGTGTACGTTCCCATACAAAAAAGGGCCATACCTCATGGACTACCGATCCCAGCTGGAAACGGAGGATCTGGCACAGTTCCCCCAGATTGGAGAGGCTGCTGGCTCGGAGGGCAGCTTCAGGGTCCTTTGCTCCCCGCAGGAAGGCATGGATCAGGTCCTCTCGATGCAGGAAGACCATGTCTCCTGCAGTAAAGAAAGAAAAAGGAGACAGGTTCAGAATATCAAACAGTCATGCTGTGTGTTAGAGAGTATCTGCAATGGGACACACACACAGAGCATACGATGGCACTTCATCATTATCATCCATCACTAAACTTTTAATTATTTAGTCATACTTTAATAACACTATTGCTTTGCATTTGTGGTTACATCCCATATAGACTACTGAAACGCATTCTATGTGGGGTTGTCTTTGAAGACTGTTTGGAAGCTCCAATTTGTCCAATGGGTGGCAGCCAGATTACTCACTAGAGTGGGGTTATGCCAACTCCACTGGCTGCCAGTCTGCTACTGAGAACAATTCAGTACAAAGTGCCAGAATTAGCCCATAAAGCCCTAAACGGTTCTGGCCCATCTTACCTATCAAAACGTATCTCCCTCTATGAACTATCTCGGAGGTTAAGATCATCCGGGGAGGCTCTGCTCTCAGTCCCGCCTCCTACGCAAGCACAGTTGACGGGGACGAGAGACAGGGCCTCACTATCACATGTTTTACCTATGTATTTTAACTGTGTTGTGCCCTGCCTCAATTTTTCATTATTATTATTATTATTATTATTATTATTATTATTATTATTATTATTATTACCATTATTTGAAACACTACTAGATGAGTCCACAGCAGACATTCTGCTGGCTGTTGTATTGGATCATACGTCCTAGACACTTCCCAAGTGTCTAGGACTGTGTGATGTATCGGCGAATAATGCGTGCAAATCTCAGTAAGGTGGACTTTTGCAGCTGGCAGATGGTAATCTTGTCAGTGCCAATTATATTTAAGTGCAGGCCAAGGTCTTTAGGCACTGTACCCAGTGTGCCGATCACCACTGGGACCACCTTGACTGGCTTGTGACAGAGTCTTTGCAGTTCGATCTTTAAATCCTCATATCGTGTCATCTTTTCCAGTTGTTTCTCTTCAATCCTGCTGTCACCTGGGATTGCAACATCGACAATCCATACTTTGTTTTTTAACATGATCATGAGGTCAGGAGTGTTATGCTCCAAAACTCTATCTGAATCCGGAAGTCCCAGAGTAGTTTGACGTGTTCATTTTCTGTAACTTTTTCCGGCTTGTGATCCCACCAGTTCTTTGTCACAGGCAGATGGTATTTGTGGCACAAGTTCCAATGAATCATCTGAGCAACGGTGTTATACCTCTGCTTATAGTCTGTCTGCGTGATCTTCTTGCAGCAGCTGAGGATGTCATCTATTGTTTCATCTGCTTCCTTGCAGAGTCTATACTTGGGATCAGTCGTTGACTTTTCAATTCTGGCTTTGATAGCATTTTTTCTAATGGCTTGTTCTTGGGCTGCCAGAATCAGGCCCTCCGTCTCCTTTTTCAAAGTTCCATTTATTATTATTATTATTATTATTATTATTATTATTATTATTATTATATTACTAGTACTAGCTTGGGGACTTGGAGTTGCTCGGGTTATTTGAAAAAGTCAATTTTAAATTGTACAAAATGCATAAGGTTGTGGGTGAACTACAACTCCCACTATGCCAGGTTAACCCTGAAAAACTCCATCAGAAATTGAAGTTTATTATGTTGCGCAAGTTTGCTCCAGATGTATCCTGGATGGGGTTTAGTGTGCTCTCTGACTGTAGGGTAAACTACAACTCCCACTATGGTGAGTCAGTCCACTCAAACCCCTCCAGTATGTTGAGTGAGTCATGGGCTTTCTGTGTGCCAAGTTTGGTCCAGGTCTATCATCGATGGAGGTCACAGTTTCTCCAGTTGTGGGTAAACTGTAACTCCCAGAAAAGGTCGGTTCCCCCCAAGTCTAGCTCAGATCCATCAGTGTTTGGGTTATCAGTGTACACAGGGTTTATATGTACACACGTATACATATTTTCACTTTTATTATGTGTATAAATTACTACTAGTAGTACTACTACTACTGGAGTTATGTTCCTTTATGGTGGGACCTGGGTCACAGAGGAATGAACAGAATGTTGGAGTTCTGCCTGTGATTGTGTTTCAGGATCAGGGTGCCTTGGATGTGGGGAATGATGTTAATGAAGTTCAAGATGTGTTTCAAGATGGCAATGGTTTGGTCAGTGAAACTGATGCAGAGAATGACCAGGAGATCCCTGTAGTTTCCCATGAGCATGTCCCTGAGGGGTGTGGGGATGCACCTGCAGAAATCAATGGGCAAATAGATAACGAGCCAAGAGATAGACGAGAAGAGTTCAGTCAAAACAGGAGGGCTGTGCAAAGGCTTAGGCGATCTACCAGGCTTGGACTAACTCTAACTTGGACTAATTTGTTTCTGCTTATCTTCTTACCTAATTGGATTTACCTATTTCTTTAAAGTGCTTTTTACTTTGCTGCTTTTTCATTATCTTCAATAAAATGATTGTTGGGTTTTTTTTTCCTATTCAGCGTGTGGTGTTTAAAGTCAGAGGGTTATTCCTGTTTTGGAGTGCAACACAGAAATGCTGACCCTTATCCAAAACTAATGGCATCTGCTCTGCTTTACTGTGGCAAAAAGGAATGGAGAGAAGAGCCAAGGTCAAAGAGAGGAGCTGCCATGTTTTCAGCACCATTTCCAATGTGCTTTGTGCAATTAATAACCCCTCCCACCAGCGCAAACCTCCCAACTCCCATAGAAACCACGGGATGCTGCCATTCTTGCCTCCAGGGACTTAGTTAGAGGCAGTGTCAACCCCAAAGAACACAGATTATAGGAGCATCGGTCGCATTTTCCAAGCCCCCAAACGAATCATGTGGCCAGTGACTGCAGAAATAACCTCAGAGTCACCTTGGCTTGCAGTCCAAAGCAATTGATTGCCCAGGACCCCAGGCTTTAAAAAGTACAAGCCATTGATCCAGCTGCTCCATCCCATGGGTGCTTAAAGCACCCTCAAATGCAATTACAAGCCAGTTGGCACTTGCTCACAGTCACCCGCCCCAAAAGGGCTTGGAGAGAAAGGTAGGGTATACAGTCAAGTAGCAGATAACACAAATGACCATATTGACTCAAGTCTAATGTACCATTGAATCACATGCGCATCTCCATTTTCAAATCCCTGAAAGCAAAAAAAGTATTTGCTGCTGAATGCAATGCACAGTGGCCAAAAGTACACTGTATTGTTGAAGGTTTCCATGGCCGGAATCACTGGGTTGTAGGTTTTTCGGCTGTCTGGCCATATTCCAGAAGCATTCTCTCCTGACATTTTGCTTGCATCTATGGCAGGCATCCTCAGAGGTTGTGAGGTCTGTTGGAAACTAGGAAAATGGGGCTTATATATCTGTGGAATAATGTTCAGAGTGGGAGACATAACTCTTGTCTGCTTGAGGCAAGTGTGAATGTTGCAACTGGCCACCTTGATTAGCACTGAATAGCCTTGCAACTTCAAGGTCTGGTTGTGTCCTTCCTGGGGGAATCTTTGGTTGGGAAGTGATAGCTGGCCCTAGAATCATAGAATCATAGAGTTGGATGAGACCTCATGGGCCATCCAGTCCAACCTCCTGCCAAGAAGCAGAAAAATTGCATTCAAAGCACCCCCCACAGATGGCCATCCAGCCTCTGTTTAAAACTTCCAAAGAAGGAGCCTCTACCACACTCCGGGGCAGAGAGTTCCACTGCTGAACAGCTCTCACAGTCAGAAAGTTCTTCCTAATGTTCAGATGGAATCTCCTTTCTTGTAGTTTGAAGCCATTGTTCCAATGCACCCTAGTCTCAGGGCAGCAGAAAAGAAGCTCCCTCCCTCCTCCCTATGACTTCCTCTGATATATTTATACATAGCTATCATGTCTCCTCTCAGCCTTCTCTTCTTCAGGCTAAACATGCCCAGCTCTTTAAGCCGCTCCTCATAGGGCTTGTTCTCCAGACCCTTTATCATTTTAGTCATTCTCCTCTGGACACATTCCAGCTTGTCAATATCTCTCTTCAATTGTGGTGCCCAGAGTTGGACACAATATTCCCTGATTGTTTCCTGTCTGAAATTCCCCTGTCTTGTGAGTGTTGCTCTTTATTTACTGTCCTGATTTTAGATTTTTTTTTAAATACTAGTAGCCAGATTTTGTTCATTTTCATGGCCATAAAGCCTGGAAAAGTCACAGCAACCCAGTCATTCCGGCCATGGAAGCCTTCGACAACACACCCTTGAAGGGTTTTTGATTCCACTCCTGTTAAAGGGAAGGGAGAGCCCCACGGGACACTCAACCCCCTCCCTCCTGCCCAGACAAGCCCCAAAGCCTGAGTCTTACAGCAGTCAGGAAGCAGCAGGCACCGCAGCCGTAATTTATAATGATGCTTTGCAAAATAAAAGGGGAGGAGGGACTCTTTTGCAAGAACCTGAAATCATACAAACCCCTGGAAAAGGTGCCTTGCCAGGTAAGCCTGCCTGGGGACAGACCCAGGAAGCAAAGGGGCAAATCCCTGTGAAGGTCCAATTACAGGGAAGTGAAGCCAAGAGAAAATTCAATGCAAGGCTTTCAAATGGAAGCCTAGGCCTTGGGGGAAAAGGTGAGTCATTCCCCCTGACTCTAAGTAACCCTTTCCCATTGCAATGCACCTAATTGCCTTTGCAAAGAGGGCTGGGTCCTCTGCCTTGGCAGGACATCTGGAGTCTTCCATGGAGAGGCTGGCAACTGGGAAGGTCCCCAACTGACAGCTGCTTCCCACGGTTTCAAAGAGATTGATTGATGTCCGAGCATAACCATGTTGAAGCAAAGGAGAGGGGAAGGCCTTTAAAGACAATACCGGAGGGGTGATAGAGCCACCCAGACCACTAGCCACCAATGACCCCACCTTTACGTGGGAAGCCATTGCTACACCTTCTGACACAGAAAGCCAGAATCCACCTATTAGAATTCAGTGAAGTACTTTGTTCTATCTAATTAATTTTATCTGTATCTATAAAAGTCAAAGTCTGCATGTTTGTCTGTCTGTTGGTACCCCAAAGGCTGTTGCAAGACGAAGTGGCCCTCTGTAACATCACTGGATTGGCTGTTGCTAGGTAAAGTGGCCCTCTGTGATTTCACTGAGAAAGAAAGGTGATATGTGTTTGAGGAGAAGGGAGGAAGGAAAGAGACTCAAAGAGAGCCATGTTGCCCTGGAGACATTGTGGGGGAGGCCTGCTTAGAGCTGGAGATGGAAGGAAGGAAGGAAGGAAAGAAGGAAAGAATGGGAAAGAAAGGAAGAAAGAGAGAGAGAGAAAATGTGGAAGGAAGGAAGGAAGGAAGGAAGGAAGGAAGGAAGGAAGGAAGGAAGGAAGGAAGGAAGGAAGGAAGGAAGGAAAGGAAAGAAGGAAAGAAGGAAGGAAAGAAAAGGGAGGGAGGGAGAGAGGGAGGGAGGGAGGGAGGAAGAAAAAAAGAAAAACAAGACAGGGAGGAAAGGAGAAGAAAGGAAGAAAGGAAAAAGGGGAAGGGAGAAGGAAGAGAAAAAAAAGAAAGGAAAGGGAAGGAAGAAAAGAAGGGAAGAAGAAAAAAAAGAAGGAAGGAAGAAAAAGAAAAAAGAAAAGGAAGAGGAAAGGAAGAAAGGAATGAAGGAAGAGAAAGGGGGAAGGGAGGAAGGAAGGAACAGAAAAAAGAAAAGAAAGGAAAGGAAAGGAAGGAAGAAAAGAAGGGAAGGAAGAAAGGAAGGAAGGAAGGAAGGAAGGAGGGAGGGAGGGAGGGAGGGAGGGAGGGAGGGAGGAAGGAAGGAAGGAACAGAAAAAAGAAAGGAAAGGAAAGGAAAGGAAGGAAGAAAAGAAGGAAGGAAGGGAAAGGAAAAAGAAGGAAAAAGTTAGGATTATATATATCACGAAGATCTGCTATTCCTGATATGTATTCCACCTGCCCTGACTCACCCAGTGGAAGATCTCAGTGGATGTTAGTACCATGAAACTAAAAATTTCGTCCTTCTCCATTTTCTTTCTGCATAAGGGACTGTATATGCACTGGCTCCAAAGCCAAAGTCCCAAATGTTTGTAGTATTTTTTTCCTCAGAGGAGGAACTACTCCATCCCCTGGGGTTGCTCCGTTCTAGACTGTCAGCTGCTGGGGCGGAAGGTCATTGCGTTCAGGTGTGACGGAAAGAGAAGAACAATAACCTTCTTATCTGATTTCTGGAGGGAAAATATCTCTCCTTGACTCCCCCTTTTTTCTTGAGCTGAACAGTCCTCACCTTCCCTCACAAGGGCCTTGTTCCAGTCATCTGAATGTGATTGTCCTTTCCTGCTGTGGTTCTGCTCCCTTTGGTCCAAAGGGACAAAGCAAGATGGACCTGCGGGCTGCAGAGGCTGGGCAACCAAGGACCTATTGGTAGTGTCTATGTCGGTCAGTCTCACCCCCTTCTGCCATGCAGAAAAGCACAACAAAAGCACTCCTGACAGATGCCCTATGTGCCATGTTTGGTCCAGATCCATCATTAATGGATCTTAGAGCACTCTGAACCCCACTAATGATGGATCTGGACCAAACATGGCACACAGAACCCTGGGTGACTAACTGAACATACTGGAAGTGTTTGTGGGGGGGATGCCCCACCCGCATGCAAGTTGAATTCTCCCTGCACCCAGCACATTCTGAACCCCACGAATGACAGATCTGGTCCAAACATAGTACACAAAACCGTGGTGACCAACAGAACTATTGGAGGTGTTTCTGTGTGGGAGTTGTAGTTCATCCTGCATACGGAGCACTTTGAATCCCATCAATAATAAATCTGGACCAAACTTAGTACACAGACCTAACATGCCCAACTATGAATTCAGGCGGAGTTTGGAGGTGATTGCTCTGAAAATCTGGAGTTGTAGTTCACCTGCAGCCAGAGAAACTGTGACCTCCAACGACAATGAACTGGGACCAAACTTGCCACAGAGAAGCCGCCCATTACCAGCTGAACATATTGCAGGGGTGTGAAAGAATTGACCTTGATTTTGGGAACTGTAGTTCACCTGCATCCAGATAACACTGAACCCAGGCAATTATGGATCTGGACCACACTTGGCACACAGACCCAACGTGGCCAGTTGTGCATACAGGCCTGGTTTGGGGAGGATTGACCCATGATTCTGGGTTTACCCACATTGTTATGTATTTTCTGTTGATTAGAAAAAAGACTGGCTTTTTTCTAATCAAGAGTGTTACTAATCAACTAAATGATATTACCTAACACCCCAAAACAAACAATGCCTTTTCAAATAACCCAGGCACCACCGGGTGTCCAAGCTAGTGTGTGTGTGTGTGTGTATACACACACACACACACAACTGAGATGTTACAGGTTTACAGTTTGAAATTATTTGTTACCCTTTGAAAAGGAACCTTTACACTTCTGCTGCTGTTATTGCATGCCTACAGGTTCAAGGTAAACACATCCCCAAGGTGTGTATGGTTTTTAACTGGATTTTTTTTGATACTAATGATATTTACTTCTGTTTTCATGTTTGGATATTTCAAAATTGTATTGAAATGCTTTTAATCTAAGCTGTCATAGCACCACTCAACTTGTCTTTCTCCAAGTTAAACAGACCCAGCTCCCTACGTTGTTCCTCATGAAGTTCTGGGGGATTGGCCAACTCACCCAGCCTCCGCGTGACGCGCATCAGGGCTTCCCCCACTTTCATCCTGGTCTCCACTGATGCCTCTTTTGGAGCGCCGGGCTGTGGGCTGCCGTACTGGGCCAGTAAGCAGGGCAGGACTTGGTCTGGAAAGGCGTCCGACATCAAGGCCATGCCTGGAGGTCAAGAGGAACAGGAACACAAAGGAAGTGAGCAGCAGATAAGGCAGGCCGTTGTGGTTGGGACTGATTTTCAACGGGGTGATGCGAGTGCCTGAAAGTGAGAGCCTTGCCCAATCCCAGACAGTCTCTTAAAGTGAAACTGGATGTCCATCTGTCAGGAATTATCAGATGGGGCCTTTCTGCCTGGCATAAGGCACTGGATGGCCCTTGGGGTCCATTCGAACTCTGGGATTCTAAGATTGAGTGGTTAGTTCACTCACTGTGACTTCTTTCCTGGCAAAAGGATGTTGGACTGGATGGCCTTTGGGAATCCCTTCCAACTTTAGGATTCTATTATTCTAAATACATGAAGCCAAACTGAAAGCCTAACCCCACTGTTCATCCTTTTGGGCTCCCCTCAAATGCACTTTTTCTACTCCTACCTCATCCAGGGTTTTAACATTTTACCCTGCCCATTGTGTTTGATTTTATATTATGTTATTTGCTTTGTTTACTTTATTTTGCTATTGTATTTATTTTATTGTGATGTAATTTTTGTTGTTTGCATTTTGCATTTTATTTTGCTGTATTGTGTTTTCGAGCATGGCTTCATGTTAGCCGCCCCAAGTCCCCCTCGGGGAGATGGTGGCAGAGTATAAATAGAGATTATTATTATTATTATTATTATTATTATTATTATTATTATTACTACTACGACTACTATTGGTCAATGGAGGGTCAATGGAAAATAGAGCAAGGCCCCTCCATGAGAAAGGCAGGCATTTCATGGATGTTTTGCATATATGGGTTCCAGACCCACGAATCACATCCAAGTCTTCTGTGCTCCAAAGGCCTTGCTCCTTCCTTCCCCACGGCTATCGCTTACATCCCTGGCTAATTACAACCTAAGCATTTCCGGCCATATGCTCACCCAATGCCAGACAATGGGGATGCTGGGCCAGAGCCACCAGGCAGCCTCCTGGAGCATGTCAATGGCAGCTCTGTTTGAGAAAAGATGCACTTAATGGCCTCAGGTGGTGACCCCAGGCTTTGAGTTTACACCTGTCTGCTGACAGCGCTTTGATCTGTCAGGGAGAGGAGATGCTCCAAGGATCAAAAGCAACAACCGGTTGGGTGAGTCGGCATATAAGGATAGTTCATCCCCATGAAAGGGATGCCAGCTGTTTCCCTTTCGGGCCCTTTTGCCTTGGCATTTCCTTAGGCAAGCCCTCTTCCCTCTAACACAGTGTTTCTCAACCTTCCCAATACCATGACCCCTTAATACAGTTCCTCATGTTGTAGTGACCCCCAAGCATAACATTTTCGTAGCTACTTCTTAACTGTAATTTTGCCACCGTTATGAATTGTAATGTAAATATTCGATATGCAGGATGTATTTTCATTCACTGGACCAAATTTGGCACAAATATTTGTCATACCCACATTTGAATACTGGTGAGGTTGGGGAGGATTGATTTTGTCATTTGGGAGTTGTAGTTGCTGGGATTTATAGTTCACCTACAATCAAATAGCATTCCGAACTCCACCAACGATGGAATTGAACCAAATTTGGCACACAGAACTCCCATGACCAACATAAAGAATTGGAAGGGTTTGGTGGACATTGACCTTGAGTTATAAAGTTGTAGTTCACCTACATCCAGAGAGCAGTGTGTAATCAAACAATGATGGATCTGGATCAAATTTGACACAAATACTCAATATGCCCAAATGTGGACACTGGTGGAGTTTGGGGAAATAGACCTTGACATTTGGGAGTTCTAGTCACCTGGATTTATAGTTCACCTACAATCAAAGAGCATTCTGGACTGCACCAATGATGGAATTGAACCAAATTTGGCACACAGAACTCCCATGACCAACATAAAGTTTTGGAAGGGTTTGGTGGGCATTGACCTTGAGTTTTGGAGTTGTAGTTCACCTACATCCAGAGAGTACTGTGGACACAAACAATGATGAATCTGGATCAAACTTGACACAAATACTCAATATGCCCAAATGTGGACAATGGTGGAGTTTGGGGAAATAGACCTTGACATTTGGGAGTTCTAGTCACTGGGATGTATAGTTCACCTACAATTAAATAGCATTCTGAACTCCACCCATGATAGAATTGGGCCAAACTTCCCACACAGAACCCCCATGACCAACAGAAAATACTGTGTTTTCTGATGGTCTTTGGCAACCCCTCTGACTCTCCCCACCCAGGGGTCCCGACCCCCAGGTTGAGAAACTCTGCTCTAACAAAGCACCTCACATCAATCACCAAACTCCAGTTTTATTTATCGTGTCATAAGCAAGTTGAGGGTACAGTTAACATGTATTTAAAAACACAAAGTTTTAAAACTTGGCATTTTGCTAAATATCATTTGACCAGAAGCGGGCACTTGGAGTGCCTTTAGTGTTGTATTAGGATGTCCTCCATTGTGCATGTGGCAGGACCCAGGTTGCATTGTAGTAGGTGGTCTGTGGTTTGCTCTCCACACTCGCATGTCGTTGACTCCACTTTGTAGCCCCATTTCTTATGGTTAGCTCTGCATCTTGTGGTGCCAGAGCACAGCCTGTTCAGTGCCTTCCAGATTGCCCAGGAGGGAGTCTCTCATCTGGTCTGATTAAGGTGCTGGGTTTTAACCTGCCACTTTTGGATTCTTACTTGCTGAGGTGTTCCTGCAAGTATCTCTCTCAATCTTAGGAAGCTGTACTTTGATTTAAGGCATTGGCATGCTGGCCGGTATCTGAAAAAAAGATGGGCAGGAGATGTCACTGTCTTGGTCCTTTCATTGCTGGCTGCTACTTCCTGGCAAATGCCAGGCGGCACAATACCAGCTAAACAGTATAATTTCTCCAGTGGTGTGCGGCGTAGACAGCCTATGATAATGCGGCATGTCTCATTAAGAGCCACATCCATTGTTTTAATGTGGTGTGATGTATGTATTTATTTATTTATGGCATTTATATGCTGCCCTTTTCACCCTGAAGGGGACTCAGAGCGGCTTACAAGGTATATATACATACAATATATTATACTATGAGCATAGTACAATATCATTATTAATGATACTATATTGTGCTATGCCATTATTTTGTAATATTGTAATATTATTAGTAATATTACATGTACTATAAATATATAATTATAATATTATATTGTTATTACTATTATATTGCATTACATTATAATATTATAAATATTATATGTATATATAATATATATTATATGTATATTATATTGTACTCCACACTGGGCATGCGTATTCAGCAGCAGAGTAGCAAAGCACAAGGGAAGATGTCTTCACTGTGTCTAGTTGTGACGCCCAGGTTGTGCCAGTCAGTTTTCGTATGATATTATTTCTAGTACCAGATTTTGCTTGATATTCGAACAGTGCTTTATGTAAATCAGAGCACAATCTAGAGTAACTCCCAGGTATTTGGGTGTGCTGCAATGCTCTAGTGGGATTCCTTTCCAGATCTTCCTCAAAGCTCAAGATGTTTGCCTTTTCTCAAGATGAAAAGCACACGTCTGCATTTTAGATGAATTAGGAATCAGCTGGTTTTCCCTGTCATAGGCAGTTAAGAGCACCTAAAGCTTTGGAGAGCTTCTGTTCAACCATTTTAAAGCTCCCTGTTTGGGTGGTGATGGCACAATTGTTAGCATAGATGAAACTCTGTGTCCTTTCTAGCAGTGGCTCATCATTTGTGTAAATGTTACACATGGATGGAGCAAGCATGCTCCCTTGAGGTAGGCCATTTTTCTATTTTTGCCTTCTGCTTCTCTGGCCCTGGGATTCAACAAAAAAGCTCCTGTTTTGTAGCAGATGACATTGATGTATTGGATGGCCTTTGGGATCCCTTCCAACTCTTTGGTTATATAGCCCTATTTCTTCATGAACCTGTTAGTATCTATGAGGTTGGATGGCCATCTGTCAGGAGGGTTTTGACTGTACTTTTCCTGTATGGCCAAAGGGGATTGGATTGGATGGCCTTTGGGGTCCCTTTTAACTTTTTGGTGTCTACAGGCCTATTTCTCCATGAATCTGCTAATGTCAAGAAGTTGGATGGCCACCGACCTTCAGGGAAACTGGTTAAAGATGCTGCACCGCTGGTATAGTACACCAAAAAAATTGGGAATAATGTATAAAAATTTGGACAATAAATGTTGGAAGTATAAATCACATGAGGGGTCTTATTACCACGTGTGGTGGTCCTGCGATAAAACTGCTGAATATTGGAAAATGATACATGCAGGATGTAAAAAATAAATAAATATTGACTTCCCTATGCAACCAGAAATCTATTTATTAGGAATGTTTGAATCAGAAGTATTTAAAGATACTAATACTGAAAAATTGTTCACTTTCTTTGCAACAACGGCTAGAATTATTTTAGCTAAATTTTGGAAACAGGAAATGATCCCTATGAAGACACAATGGCTGGATAAAATATTGGAAATTAAGAACATGGATGAATTGACATTTTGGCTGAAACAGAATAATGGAAAAGGAATGAGAAGGACAGACTGGAAGGTCCTTGAGGACTATATGAAAAATGAACATTAAATGAAAAGAATGAGGATAAGAGGAATAGAAGTTGCAGGGAAAATCTCTTTTCTATTTTTGTTTTGTTTTGTTTTTTTCTCTCTTTCGAGAAAAAATATGGAAATGCAACACAATTTAATGAATGGCAAAAAGAAGATAGAACGGAAGTCAGAATTTTGTTTTATTTCATTTTTTCTTTCTTTCCTTTGTTTGGCATAGTAGTTTGTATAATGATTGTGTTTAGATGACTGTATGTCATGTTGTTGTGTGTTATTTTATTATATTTTGTGTAATTCACTAATAAAAAGTATTTAAAAAAATAAGTTGGATGGCCACCTGTCGGGAGGGATCGGATGGTGACTTCCTTTATTGCAGAAAGAAGGGGGTTTGACTGGATGGCCCTTGGGGTCCCTTCTGACTCTCGGATTCTATGGTTCTGCAATGCTCTTCTTTTCCACTTGTTTTCCAAAACCATGGGCCCATCACAGGGGGGAAGTGGCTATGGGAGACGTGCAAAGTGGCAGGAATCGCTTGCGCCTTGGCTGACATTATGATTTAAGCTGCCCTGGTCCAGACTGGCTGAGACCTGCCAATGCCTCCAATTTGCCTTTTTGGGGAGTAGGGAATGGCTTGTCTATGATTCATTTCCATCTTACAAAGTGATGAAATGAAGTGCTGCAAGGATCACAGAGACTCTCCATTGGGGAACAAACTGAAGATCTGGCCTTGCCTCCAGACCCAGAAACTGCAAAGGTCTTCTTTTATGAAAGTCAAGGTGTAAACTGGCTGCAAAGGGATTTGGAAGGAAAACACAATGCATTTACTTCACTTTCTCCCTGGCTTTTTGTGTAGCGCAGATATTGCACCCATTTTCACAATCCCTGGCATCTGACTGACTCATTGCTCCTGTTGCATCCAAACTGTTGCAAGCTTGCTCCGTGTGCCAAGAGCAGCATTTGGAACATCAGAGGAAGCATCCTTCACCTACAAGGGCATGGCAAAACCCACACTTTGAGACTCCTTAGGGAGAAAAGAAGCAGGGTATAAATACATCACCACCACCACCACCAATAATGATGATGATGATGATGATGATGCTGAAACAAAGGCAAGCACAGAATGCTTGGGCAGGAAAACATGGCCCCTTCCACTTCTTACATAAGTTCTTCTGAAGTTTCCTTCTTCACCATTTCTTCTGCATTTTTGCCAAAATAGACATGATAAGCAGCACAAAATCCAGAACTTCTAAGTCAGCGTTTCTCAACCTGGGGGGTCAGGACCCCTGAGTGGCTTGCAAGGGGGCGGGTCAGAGGGGTCGGCAAACATCATCAGAAAACACAGTACTTTCTGTTGGTCATGGGGATTCTGTGTGGGAAGTTTGTCCCAATACTATCATTGGTAGGGTTCAGAACGCTCTTTGATTGGAGGTGAACTATAAATTCCAGCAACTACAACTCCCAAATGTCAGGGTCAATTTCCCCAAAATTCCACCAGTGTTGAGTATTCATGCCAAGTTTGGTCCAGATCCATCATTGTTTGTGTCCACAGTGCTGTTTGTATGTAAGTGAACTACAACTCCAAAGCTCAAGGTCAATGCCCATCAAACCCTTCCAGTATTTTCTGTTGGTCGTGGGAGTTCTGTGCCAAGTTTGGTTCAATTCCATTGTTGGAGTTCAGAATGCTCTTTGATTGTAGGTTAACTATAAATTCCCGCAACTACAACTCCCTAATGACAAAATTGATTCCCGCCCCCCAACCCCACCAAGTGTTTATTTAGGCGTATTGGGTATTTGTACCAAATTCAGCCTAGTGAATGAAAATACATCCTGCATATCAGATATTTACTTTACGATTCATAACAGTAGCAATGTGACAGTTCTGAAGCAGCAACAAAAATAATGTTATGGTTGGGGGTCACCACGACATGAGGAACTGTATTAAGGGGTTGCAGCATTAGGGAAGTTGAGAACCACTGCTTGAAGCACAGACTGGATGGCCATCTGTTAGGAGGGCTTGGATTGTGCTTTTCCTACCTGAGAGAAATAAGAGGGTTGGCCTGGAGGGCATTTGTGGTCTCTTCCAGTTCCAGAAGTCTATGATTCTATGATATGTATTTTTAATAAGAGTCTGGATGGTCATCTGTCAGGAGAATTCCGATGGTGTCTTCCTACCTGGCAGAAGGGGTTGGACCAGATGGCCACTGGCGGTCCCCTTCCATGTCTATGATTCTGACTCTAATCTCTGCACTGCATCAGCTCCTATTTCCATTTATATTTGTAGGCCCAAACGCACTGGTGTTTTAAGGCACAGCTGAATGGGGATTCGAACCCTGGCCTCCGGGAGCCCCGGCTCTGCGGCCAGCTTCATGTTTGCTCAGCATTATCTGCTTGGCTTACTTTTGATCCTGGGACTGTTCTTTCAAAGGAAGGCAGTGAGAGTTTCCTTTGTTTGGGGAATTAGCTGTGGTTCCTCCCTAAAGGAGAAACTGGCTGAACAGAGCAAAAGTTCTGAAACACTTTCAGCTGTCTGGTTGCTCCTGACACGATAAATAAATAAATAAAAAGCTGCGGAACACTTTTTGAAGCAAAAGTTTCTCGTGGAGCCTCAAGAAATGTTTATATATTATATTATACTAGCTTGGGTACCCGGCGTTGCCTGGTTTAATTGAAAATGTCAGTAGAGCTTCAGGTCATCAATGTACAGCAGATGTGAAGTTTTGTGAGATCTCTGAGACGTTTGATAGCCGAGGTTTGTTTTTTGTAAGATTGTTGACAGAAGGATCATGACAATGATGAAAAGCAGTGGGGACAATGAGTCTCCCTGGAAAATTCCTCTTCTGATGTTGACAAATCCAAAGTTTTCATTTCCAACAAACAGTTCAATTTTCCAGTGCTTAATCATATTTTCAACAAAAGTGCCAATGTTTTTACAAATCCCGATGGTGTCTAGGCACTTGATGATCCAACTGTGCAGGATCTATTATTATTATTATTATTATTATTATTATTATTATTATTATTACTACTACTACCACCACCACCACCACCACCACCACCATCACCACCACCACCACCACCACCACCATCATCTCACTGCTCCAGTATTAGGTGGAGCATCACATAGGCTAAATGCCGACAATCCACCTGCAAGGAGAAAGCTTTTAATTTGTTCTTCCCAAGCCCCGAGACAAATAGATGGAACCAAGCCACTCACCTTGGATGGCAGAGAGATATACAAAGGAGTCCTCGTGTTCTAGGTTTTCAGTGAAAACCTGGAAGGAGAAAGATCAAGACCTGTGGTCAGCAGGGATGTTTGCCCCCAAAGGCCACACACTCTGCCCCAGCAATGCTACAATACATACCATTCATGGAAAGAAACACACTCCCCGCACCCCGTCCATCTTTGCCTAAAGAAGAAGCCAGTGAAGCTTCCAAAGATTGTCGGGTGCATTTTTTGTAATGTATTTCATAGTTCTCCGGGAAGCAAAGAAATCTGTGGTGGCATTACTCCTTTGGAGTCTCAAGAAGCAGGAGGTGCCTTGTGGTGTCTTGTGGGTGACCCCAGAAAGCCAGTCAAGGCTGATGGAGGAAAGGAAGACCACTTACCTTCAGCAGCGTTTCTTGAGTCTTCAGGGCCTCTGGGTCTCTTTGCTCTATCAAGCGGGAAAGGCTACGGAGAGCGGCTGCTCGGGTCGGGATGTCCGGGTCATAAGCCGACAGGAGGAGCTCCCGCAAATCCTGTATGGCTGGAGGATCAGAGTCCCTTGCTTCTGGCATGCTCTTTGCAGCAAGGTGTGTCTTTGGAGAAACAGAACCAGAATCCGATCTACTCCCTGTAGCCTTTGGTGGAGGAAGCAAACTGGATTCAGGGATGCCCCTTTCAGGCTTTTCAGAGGGCTCTCTGTTCGTATGAGCTTCTGCTTCTGCACAGCCTTTGCCCAGAGTGTTCTGCGCAGCGGAGGAGATGGTTTCTGCAGAGAAGGCTTTGTGGGTGCCAATGGCGATGCGCAGGTCAGCAGCAAGTTCCTGGATGACCGGCTCCGGGTGAACATGAGAGACCTCCTCCAAGAGGGGCACTAGGCGCTTCAGGGTGGCAAAGTCCACCGATTTTAGCTACAGGAAGGAACCAACAGGTAAAAAACATCTTGGAGGTTTTAAAGCAAAGGCTGGATTGCCATCTGTCAGGAGGGCTTTGATTGTGGACTTGGTAGAAGGGGGTTAGCTCTGATGACCTATGGGAGGGGGGTCCCTTCCAACACTTATTTATTTATTTACCTTATTTATATTCTGCCCTTCTCACCCCACAGGGGACTCAGGGTGAATTACAATATACATATAAAACATTCAATGCCATAGACACACAACATATATAGACAGACACACAGAGGCTTTAACATTCTAGCTTTTTCATGAGGGTATTCTGGCCACCAGGGGAGCTGTCGTTTCACCGTCCATCTGTGACACTGATGAAGTACTTCCTCATTTGTTGCATGCCTTCTGGAGATTTTTATGGCATCGTAAATTAGCCTCCCTGCAGAAGCGGTACCTAAATTTCCTACTTGACAGGTGTAACTGTCTTTCGGGCTGCAAAGGTTGACAGCAAGCTATACATATTGGTCAGAAGCTCACTCTGACCAGGGCTGGCTTCGAACTCATGAACTTTTGATCAGTAGTGATCCCAGCCAGCTGCGCCACAGTCTCTATGATTCTATGATTCAAAACAGACTAGATGGCCATCTGTTGGGAAAATTTTGATTGTATCTTTCCTGTCTGGCAGAAGGATGTTGGACTGGATGGCCCCTGGGGTCTCTTTGCACTCTAGGATTCTATTGTTCTATTATTATTATTATTATTATTATTATTATTATTATTATTATTATTGCCCATTTTGGTCTAAAATTATTTAGCTGCTTGTGCTTCTTTTATTTTTATCAGTTATATACTTATTTATTTGTGCAATGCTTAATTAATTAAGCAGAGAGTATTGAGAGGGCTTTGATTGTATGTTTCCTGCCTTTAAGAAGGGGATTGGACTGGATGGCCCCTGGGGTCTCTTTGCACTCTAGGATTCTATGGTTCTATTATTATTATTATTATTATTATTATTATTATTATTATTATTAAGCATAGACTGTTGGGAGGGCTTTGATTATATCTCATCTGCCAGGCAAGAAGGCACCATCAAAGCTGCTTTGAGTCTCCTTGTTTAGAGAAAAAGCATTGGATAAATAAACATCATAAACACCATAATAGTAATAATTTCCTGCCTGGCATTAGGGGGTTAGACTGGATGGCCCTGGGGGTCTTTTCACGCTCTAGGAGTCTATGGTTTGATGACGGTGGTGGTGATGATGATGATGATGATATGCAGAAAGTGTTGCGAGGGATTTAATTGTGTCTTTCCTACCTGGCAGAAGGGGGTTGGACTGGATGGCCTTTGGGGGTCCCTTGCTATATGTCAGCCTGTTCAGCCTGTGATTGTGTCTTATGTCCATGCTGATGTTCACGATGGGAATGGAGGTGATGTTCCTGAAGAGGGCCTGGGGATCAGGGTTTAGTTAAGTTCAGAAGAGATGCCAGAGCTGGTTCAGGAAGATTCACAAGGCCTCATTCTTGAGAGAGGCCCTTCACCGCTTTTCTCAGAACTATCTGACCATGATTTGTCAGGTGCCTGAGTTAATGAGGAAGAAGATAATGAAAGCTTGGACAGAAAGCAAAGTTGTAGTAAACAGAGGGAAAGTCTTCAGAGGCTGAGACGATCATAACAAACCATTATCTGGTGGTCAAGGTCAAGAAAATGCTTTTATTTTTGTTTTGGGATCTGTAAAAACTTTATAATGATTCATGGCCTCAGTCGGGCCAACACTGTTATTTGATCACGGTCTTGATTTCAAGCGCTCTGAGTTTCACGTGTCAGATTTTTGCCAAGCTCAAGATGTGTAATGAGACTTTCCTGCCATCTTGTTTCATGGATTCAAGTGCCTAGTTTCATGGATTTTTATGTACTCAGATCTTGTTTTCCTCTGAAGCCTATGGACTATTTCTTATATTGGATCTTTACATTGCTATTTTTTTACTGCTTTGCCTACATATATTCTTCTTAATTGCTTGCTGATTTTACCAAGCTGGTGTGGTGTTTAAGGTCAGAGGTGTTCCTGCTCCGGTGTAAGACATCCCTTCCAATTCTAGGATTCTATGAATCTATCTATCTATCTATCTATCTATCTATCTATCTATCTATCTATCTATCTATCTAACTATCTATCTATCTATCTATCTCCTTCTCTGGCACTTTCCAAGCAAATGCTGAATAGCTATCTGTTAGGAGGTCTTTGACTGTGCCTTCCCACCTGGCAGAAGGGTGTTAGATTGGATGGCCCCTTAGAATCCTTTCCAATTCTAGGATCTATGCCAGAAAGGCAAGAGGGCAACTGGGGCTCCTCCTGAGAATTCCCCCCTGGGCTTTGGGAGGAAGTGTTAGAAGAAGGACACTTCCTGCCTTTACCGTTATAGGTGTGTCAGAAAAAAGAAGAGAGAAGAATCTAAGTGGAGGAGATAAAATCAGGCCCCTGAGCAGAAAGGTGCAAACAGCAGATGGGAAAGGAATTGGGGAGATTTTTCAAATCAGCCTGGAAATAGGGAAGATGCAGGTCCTTGGGATAAGTATCAATCTCAGGATGAGGTGGGTTGCCAGGCAGGAAGACACCATTAAAGCCTTCCAGACAGATGGTCATGCAGCCTCTACTCAAAGATTCTAGACTTTGTGCTGTTAATAACCATTACTATTTTAAAAAGCCCAACAAACACAAGAGTAGCCCCTTTCCTAGACAATTTCAACAGAAAGGAAGAAACCATGAAAATGAACAAAATCTGGCAACCAGTATTAAAAAAAACCCTCTAAAATCAGGACAGTAAAGAAATAACAACACTCAAAAACAGGGGAATTCCAGACACGAAACAATCAGGGCCAGTTAACACCTCCCAACAAAGGACTCCCCCCCAGGCAGGAAGCAGCCAAGCCCTGAAACTGCAAGGCTGTTTAATGCTAATGAAGGTGATGAATTGCAGCATTCACACTTGCCTCAAACAGACAAGTTTTTTCTCTCACCCTGGACCTTCCACAGATATACAAACCTCCCTTGCTTAATTTCTAACAGACCTCACAAACTTTGAGAATGCCTGCCATAGATATGGGCAAAATGTCAGGAGAAAATGCTTCTAGAACAAGGCCAGACAGACTGGAAAACTCACAACATCCCAAACATAATAATAACAATAATACTCCTGACCTCACAATTGTGTTAAAAAACAAAGTATGGATTGTCGATGTCGCAATCCCAGGTGACAGCAGGATTGAAGAGAAACAACTGGAAAAGCTGACACAATATGAGAATTTAAAGTTCAAACTGCAAAGACTGTGGCACAAGCCAGTCAAGGGGGTCCCAGTGGTGATCGGCATACTGGGTGCAGTGCCTAAAGACCTTGGCATGCACTTAAACACAATCGGCGCTGACAAAATTACCACCTGCCAGCTGCAAAAGGCCACCTTACTGGGACCTGAAAGCATTATTTGCCGATACATCACACAGTCCTAGACACTTGGGAAGTGTCCGATGTGTGATCCAATACAACAGCCAGCAGATTTATCTTGTCTGTTGTGTTTCAAATAATAATAATAATAATAATAATAATAATAATAATAATAATAATAATAACAATAATAATCTATATAAATAAAAATGTAATGTTCGTTTGTGGGATTAGCATAACTCAAAAACCACTGGGCAAATTGACACCAAATTTGGACACAATACACCTATCAGACCAACGACTGACCATCACTCATAAAACACTGAAAAACACAGAAGGGGCTTAAAAAGCCAAAACACACACACACACACACACACACACACATGTATAAAACAATGCATCTGCAAAACCATACACACACATATACACAAATACACAAATATATATACATATAAACACATATACACAGACTGGGCCACAGCCACACGTGGCAGGGGATGGCTATTATTAATAATAATAATGTATTTATTCAGAGCACTCTGCATTCAAATCTGAAGTACCATCAGTCAAAGCCTGCCATAAAGTCTTTCTAGAAACTTCAAAGTAGACTTCCGGAGCACAAGGTGCCAGCAGGAGGGGGAGGAGAAAGGGAAGGGAGAACGAAAGGTATGTCTGGGACCCACTTAGACAAGCGCAGGCTTGGTTCTCAAAGTCTTGGCAAAGAAAGAGAGCCAAAAGGATTTGCCTGAGGCCACCCTCACTCACCCCATGGGCTTCAATGGTGGCCACAGCAAAAGCCTGTGATGCCAAAGTCTGTGATGCCAACTCACCTGTACTGCGCCCCCCATCATGGCAGCCACCAATCCCATGGCCATGCTGAGCGTCTGGTCTTCCACAGAGGTGGCTCCAGAGCCGCTGGAGAGGCTTGCGGTGGCCCTTTGCAGAGTCGTGGCCACAAACTCCACAATCTGGGCAAAGAGAGACACAAAAGTATATAACAATGTCATTTACAAGCTCTTGAAGACACTCAGTACATTTATCTGAACAAACCCACACCTGCAGGGTTATAACCAGGGCCCTGCTCATATTATCAAAGTTTGAGAGCACTACCCAACATGCTCCAGCCACAGCACCCTGATAAATGGGAGCGTGAATGACTTCTCCAAGGGACTGTTGCATCTAGACAACCAAGAGCGAGTTGGCAGCTGCAGAGCCAACCTTCAGGAATCGGGCTACAAAGTGGAATCCTCGACATGCGAGTGTGGAGAGGAGCAAACCACTGACCACCTGCTGCAATGCAACCTGAGCCCTGCCACATGCACAATGGAGGACCTTCTTGCAGCAACACCAGAAGCACTCCAAGTGGCCAGATACTGGTCAAAGAACATTTAACCAACTACCAAACTCACAAATTTTGTATTTTGTCTGTTTGTTTGCTTTGTTCTGTTAGAAATGTAATATAATTGACTGGTTGCCCTGACACGACAAATAAATACTGCCCACCCAAGGCCCTCTCTGACCATTCCAACAGCCCAAAAGGAAAGCTGGGTCAGACCAAAAGAAGAAACCTCAACACTTGTATCTAGAGCCATTAGGGACAGAGGGAGTCCTGTGACATCTCTGCCTGATGCCTTGTTTTTGTCAGAAAAACTAGGTATTTTTGATTACAAAAATGTGAGTCAAGCACTGAAAGGGTTAAATGGATGCAGTGACTCAGAGAAGCTGTGGTTCTGTTGCTTGGTGATGTCTCAGTATGTGTGCTTGTTGCTGGTACATCACTCCAAAAAAATTAAGCCAAATTAAGCCAAAATACATCTGATAAATGTTGGAAATGCTGTGATGAAGTAGGTACATTCTATCATATGTGGTGGACATGTAAGGAAACACCTAAATATTGGTCTTTAATCCATGAGGAAACACAAAAAAATTTAAACAAAAAGTTTAAGAAAAAAACAGAGTATTATTTGTTAGGCTTTACTGACTTAGAATTACAATTGGATGAAAATGAAGACAAACTGTTAACGTTTATTACAACAGCGGCTAGAATTATTTTTGCAAAACTGTGGAAAAAGGAACAAATCCCCACGATTGATGAGTGGGTGGACAAGGTTAAAGAAATAAGAGACATGGACGAATTAACTTTTATGCTAAAGAAAAATACCGGAAAATCTATAAAAAAGACAGATTGGGTTCTTTTTTATGACTATGAAAAAAATAGAAAAAAGAAAGAAACAAAGAAGAGGTAAATAATAATGAAACAAAAGATAAGAAGATCCTGAGATTGGAATGGAAGTCATTTTACTTTATTTTTATTTTTTATTTTTGTATTTTGGGGTTTTTTTCTTGGTTTTTTCCCCTTTTTTCTTCTTTTTTGGTGTTTGTTTTTACTTATTGTATTTCCTACTTTTCTATCTTCTTTCTGAATATTCCCCCTCTTTCCATGTAATGTTTTAAACTGTTTAATAAAAATTTATTTTAAAAAAGAAAGGAACCCGTTAAGTGGGGCTCTGGTGAAAGGGCAAACTCAGACGTGGCAAAACCAGATGTATCTGCGGGGATCCTTCGAGGGAGGAGTGGAGTGGCCCTAGCACGAACAGCACTTAGTAACTCAATCCATAAACAGCCACCTCCCAGAAGAAGGAAAAAACAACGGGTTTCCGAGCTGGACAATGAGTACCTTCCTTGACAAGCTTCAGAGCTCCCTAATTATCGGAGCCAGAGACAAAGCGGCCCAGAGATTACAGGGTTTTGTGCACTCAGCAAGTCTGCTGCAGACAATCAGGGACTTTTGTGCTTTGAGGCTCTCTCTCTAAGAAAGTTTTGCACCCAAAACAGACTTTCCATTTCCTGACTCTTCCCTCCCTCCCTCCCTCCCCTTCCTTTCCCCCCTCCATCTTCCCTCCTTCCCTTCTTTTCTCTCTTCTTTTTATTTTCTTTCTTCTCTCCCTTTTCTTCCTCCCTCCCTTCTTTCCTTCCATCTTTCCTTCTGTTGCACACCAAGGCTGCGGTAGGCATCTTTGAATCCGTGAACACACCAATGTTCTTTAATGAACATGGATACGAAGCAAGATACTACATGAATCTCAGCATGAACAAGAAGGCATGGAGCAGGCATGAAAACTAAACATAGGAATCACTGAAGAGTATAGATTCACAGGCCCTATATTTATTCAGAAAGTCATAGCAAAAGGATTCCGTTTCCCTTGGGAAACCTCTCCCTGACCCCTTTTTTCTCTTAAACTTGCTGAGTGCCTCCTCCCTAAATCCAGGTGGTGATCCTGATAAATTTGCCTCCTCCGGTTTGCTCATTAGTAAATTCCTTTCATTATCTCTATCTAACCTTGACTGTTCGGCTGTCGAGATATCTTTGCCTTGTGAACCAACGATCCCAGAATCCTCAGTTTCACTCTGGCTAACAGTATTTTCTTGGCCATCATCTGCATTCACAAACCCCCGAGAATCAACAGAAACCTGATCATTTAAGTCAGACATGGGAACCTTTGAAGGGACAGGATCATTCTCCTTTGAGTCCTGTGGCAAAGAGACACTCACAGGCTGAACCCCTACACCTTCCTTCTTTACTCAACACCAACGTTACCTGGACTAACGAGCCCATCTGCTGGGCTAACTAATATAGAGAGAAAATCCTGCCTTCTCCCCTGGGAAACTGATAAAGATTTCTTGTCTAATAAGTGACTTGACCTTCGTACTCTTTCTTGAGAAGCCCTATGTTGGTGGAACAAAATCTCCTATCTAAATGCTCATTAGACTGTACACCTGGACTTTCATTATCATCCTCTGATCTCAGATCTGCTTCTGACCTTGCTTCCCTAGCTAACTGCCTTTCAGGAATGTGGCCTTCAGACACAGACCACTCATTTCCAGAGCTTAAAATCTCTTGCTGGCTCCTCTGCTGACTTGCAAGCCCAGAATCTCCAGTGTCATCAGATTGTATAACAGGCCCAGAATCCCCACAGAGATTAGTTGCAGGCACAATCAAAAGCCAAACTACAATAGATGAGTGGCTTCCCATGGTCAAGTGGAAATGTCAACCCTGGCCTCCAGAACCCTGGTCTCCAACACTGAAACTGGTACACTACAGTGTTGGCTCTCTACAGATAGCCCAGGTATACTATTTATGTTTGGTCTGGTAATGTATGCCCATGCTTGTTTATGAATATATTGTATTTTTTGGAGTGGGAATAAACAACTTTTGATAAAAAGGTATTGACATGGTCCTTCTGACCTGGACACACCTGTGCAATGTCTGTGAAGAGCTTCTCGGAGAGGCTTTCGCAGAGCATGGCCACCAACTGCAACCCACGCAGCTGCCTCTCCTGGCGCTCCATGGGGGCCCAACAGCTCTGCTCCAGGTCCAGGGGGCTCTGGGGGCAGGCAGGGGACGCGTCAGAAGCCCCTTGACCTGCCACAAGGGTCAGCTCCTGCAACAGAAAGAAGGGAAGGAGAAAGAGGCCCTGAATCATGCCTCCAAGGAGGCGGCACTCTCCCAGCCAGGATGGCCTCTTTACGGAGCAGACCAGAGTCAGCCTTCCCTGCTGCAGTAGGAAAGGTAATTGAAAACATTCTTTGATTTAATGGGAAGAATAAATACAGTCGGGGGAGATGGGAGGATGGGAAAAAGGAGACCAAGACTGAGCGAACACATTCATTTGAGGATGCAAAGTGAGAAGTAAAGGTAAGGAGAGAAGGGAGGGAGGGTGGGAAAAGGGAGGGAGGGAGGGAGGGAGGGAAGAAAGAAAGAAATTGAGGAAAGAAGGAAGAAAAGGAAGGGAGAGAGAGGGGGAAAAAGAAATGGAGGAAAGAAGGGAGTGTGGGAGGAGAAAGGGGGCGTAGGAGGAAGAAAAAGGAAGAAAGGAAATTAAGGGAAGAAAAAAGGAAAGATGGAAGGAATATGAAAGAAGGAAGGAAGGAAGGAAGGAAGGAAGGAAGGAAGGAAGGAAGGAAGAAAGAAAGAAAGAAAGGAAGGAAGGAAGGAAGGAAGGAAGGAAGGAAGGGAAGAAAGAAGGAAGGAAGGAAAAAGGGGGGGAGGGAGTAAAATGGAAGAAAGAAATGAAGGAAAGAAATGGAGGAAAGAAGGAAGGAAGGAAAATGGAAGAAGGAAGGAACGAAGGAAAGAAATGAAAGAAAGGAAGGAAGAAAAGGAAGGAAGGCATGTGGGAGTAAGGAAAATGGAAGAAAGAAACAAAGGAAATAATTGGAGAAAAGAAGGAAAATGAAAGAAAGAAGGAACGAAGGAAAGAAATGAAAGAATAAAGGAAGAGAAGAAGGGAGCATGGGAGGAAGGAAAATGGAAGAAAGAAACGAAAGAAATAAATTAAGGAAAGAAGGAAGGAAGAAAAATGGAAGAAGGAAGGAACAAAGGAAAGAAATTAATCAGGAAGAAAAGAAGGGAGGAAGGGAGAGTGGGAGGAAGGAAGTAAATGGAAGAAATAAATGAAGGAAATAAATGGAGGAGAGAAGGAAGCATGAAAAAAAGGAAAGAAAGAAATAGTGGAAAGAAGGAAGGAAAAGGGAGGAAGGGAGGGAAAATGAAGGAAGGAAAATAGAAGAAGGAAGAAATAGAGGAAGAAAGGAAAGGAAGAAGGAAGGAAGATAGGTAGATACGGTAGATAGGCCAAGCGTCACAAGAAGAGCCTTGAGGTCCAGTGGGATTATCCCTTTTCCAGAAGCCAAAGCCTCTGCTTCCTTCCACATAGCAGGCCATAGCTATGTCCTGGTGTTGCTGGACTCCAGGTCCCATCAGTGTCAGGCAACCTGGCCAACGGTAGAGTATGATTTGATATGAAGTCCAACAACATCTTCAGGGTCAGAGAGTCCCTTACCTTACTCTGCTTCAGATATGTCTCAGAAAGAGAACCAACTAACAAATCAAGCATTTAATGCTTGGAGAGAAATTCTAGACTCTGGACCAGATTTTTAACAACAGAAGTGTATGGGTATTATATGTTAATTTTCTTATTTTTCCTCAGGGTCCGGCATGCTATAAATCACGAGTTAAGTGCTCTTCAGTAACCGAACCCTGAGAACAGGCAGATAGGATCTGGAAGAAAACCTGGCTGGGTGGAGACAGACAGACAGATACACAAACAAACAAAGATGGGAACCGGAAAGCCCCTTTCCTCTGGCAATGGATGGATGGATTAGCGCAGCTGTAAACCCCTCCATTAGACTTCAAACATCCTGCTGTTGACACAACAGCCCCAGGGGAAGAGGGCTTAACCCGGCCTCACCTCGGAGCTCTTAAACCTGAAAACACCCTTTAAAAAGAAAAGAAAAAAGCAGAATCTCTCCATTTTCACAGGTTGCCCCCCCCCCCCCCCAAAAGAGCCCTGGTAAAATGCTGTTTTTGCCTGAAATTTAGACAAATGCTGCATCTCTGAGTGAAAGGATCAGAGGACACTTTTGTCTTCATCAACATCGTCAGTGAGTTCACAGTGATTTCTGGAGATGGGTGAACTACAACTCCCATCCTCCAGGCTACCCCCCTCAAACCAACAGTATTTTAAGTTGGTCACAATGGGTCCAACAGATTACAGGAGCTGTCTTCATAAACATGTCAGCAGCTTATGACACTGTAAATTATTGCCTTTTCCTGATCACAATAATATCACAAAGGATGACCACCTCACCCGCTTCATAAGAAATCTGCTACAAAACAGGAGCTTTTTTGTTGAGTTCCAGGGCCAGAGAAGCAGATGGCGAAACCAGAAGAATGGCCTGCCTCAGGGGAGCGTGCTTGCTCCATCAATGTTTAACATGTACACAAATGATCAGCTACTGCCAGAAAGGACAGAGAGTTTAATCTATGCTGATGATCATGCCATCACTGCTCAAGCAGGAAGCTTTGAGATGGTAGAACAGAAGCTCACAGAAGCTCTCCAAAGTTTTAGGGGCTCTTACTGCCTATTACAGGGAAAACCAACTGATCCCTAATCCATCTAAAACACAGACATGTGCCTTTCACCTTAAGAACAGACAAGCATCCCGAGCTCTGAGGATTACCTGGGAAGGAATCCCACTGGAGCATTGCAGCACACCCAAATACCTGGGAGTCACCCTGGACTGTGCTCTGACCTACAAGAAGCACTGCTTGAATATCAAGCAAAAAGTGGGTGATAGAAATTATATTATACAAAAGCTGACTGGCACAACCTGGGGATCACAACCAGACACAGTGAAGACACCTGCCCTTACGCTTTGCTACTCTGCTGCTGAATACACACGCCCTGTGTGGAACACATCTCACCACATTAAAACAGTGAATGTGGCTTTTAATGAGACATGCTGCATTATCTCAGGATGTCTACGCCCTACACTACTGGAATTTTTTTACTTTTTAGCCAGTACTGTACCACCTGACATCCGCTGGGAAGTAGCAGCCAATAATGAAAGGACCAAGGCAATGACACCTCCGGCCCATCCTCTGTTTGGATATCAGCCAGCATGCCAATGCCTTAAATCAAGAAATAGTTTTCTAACATCTACAGAGATACTCGCAGGAATACCTCAGCAAGCAAGAAAGAGTGCAAAAGTGGCAGGCTAAGACCTGGAATCTCAACCCATGGCTAATACCGGATGAGAGACTCCCTCCTGGGCACAAAGAAGCCTGGGTGACTTGGAAGGCGCTGAACAGACTGTGCTCTGACACCACAAGATGCAGAGCCAACATTAAGAAATGGGGCCACAAAGTGGTCCACACATGTGAGTGCGGAGAAGAGCAAACCACAGACCACCTACTACAATGCAACCTGAGCCCTGCCACATGCATAATGGAGGACCTTCTCATGGTGACACCAGAGGCACCCCAAGTGGTCAGCTACTAGTTAAAGGACATTTAGTATAATGCCAAGTTTTTAAATTCGGTGTTTTTTTTAAAAAAAATACATTACAACTGTACCCTCAGTTTGCTTTAGATATGATAAAGAAGTAAATACAATGGGTCTTTGTGCTAAGCTTGGTTCACATCCATTATCAGAGGGATTCACAGGGCTCTCTGGATGATGATGATGATGATGATGATGATGATGATGATCATTTATTTCTCGACCACCCTCTCTCCCCAAAGGGGACTCAGGGTGGTTTATATACATATAAAAAGGCAAACATTCAATGCCATAGTTTAAAATCACACAACACACAACATCAGAAATACGAAATGGACAGTAATAAACTAATTACCAAAGAGTTAAAGTTAAAGAAATACAGCTACTTAAATAAAACATATTTATTTAAGTGTGTGAACTATAACTCCCATAATCCTGTCACTGCCTCTTCAAACCCCACCAATATTTTAAATCCAGTGCTCTCTGGATGAAGGATGAACTACAACTCCCATTATCTTGGCCCTATAGGAAAGATGTCCTGCCCAAGGGCACCCATCCTTGAACGGATCTCCTTCATTCAGAAGGTCCCAGAACCTCTCTGCCTAATTCCTGGCCCCTTTTCCAGAGAAACCCACCTTCAGGCAGCAGAGGAAGAAGTCTCCAGCCAGGCCGCTGCTCTGGCAATGGGACAACAAGCCTACCAGCTGCTCCAGCCGCCACTGCTCTGAGGACACCTTCTCATAGAGAGCCTCATCTTCATCAGGGCTGTAAAGCAGGAGGGCAAAGGGTTAATACAAGGAAACAAGGATTTGCTTGGCAGAGCTCACCTATCCATCATTGAACGTTTGTCATATGTGTTGGAAACCACTCTGAGTCCCTCTGGGGAGATAGGGCGGTCTACAAATACATTATTATTATTATTATTATTATTATTATTATTATTATTATTATTATTTTCCTGATGGTACAGGTGGGACAGGTTCCTTCACCAAAAGGGGATCTTTGGGCAGAATGAAAACAAAATAGGCAGCGTCTGAGCAACAAAGCAAGGAAGAAGGGAAGAGCAACCCATTAAACCAGGCATGGGCAAGCTTGGGCCCTCCAGGTGTTTTGGACTTCAACTCCCACAATTCCCAACAGTCCAAAACACCTGGAAGGCCCAAGTTTGCCCATACCTGCATTGAACCAATGATTCCCAACATTTGGTGCTCCAGGTATTTTGGACTTCAGCTCCCAGAAGCCCCAGCCAGCTTGGACAACAATCAAGAATCCTGGGACCAAAGTTTGCGGGAAACCGGCATAGGTGCATCTGTGCTTCCCTCAACTCTTACAGCTAACAGGTAGGAAACCAGCTCTCAACACAATGAATAGGATGGCTTTGAATGTTGTTGTAATGGCATTTCTTGTAATTCAACTGTTATTTTTAATGTTTGTATCCAACCACAAATGTGTGTATGTGTTAGGGATTCCTCATCTTTGAAGGAGGAAGGGGAGCAGGGAAGTGTTCAGGAATTGGAGGGAGAAGAAGAATCAGACAATGAGGGTTTGAAAGTGCCCACATTTCTAGAGAGACAAAAAGAGACAGCACAGACGGCGTTCAGCTAGGATAGCTGCTAAAAACACTGAGCTAATTGGGAGGCTCCCTGGCACCTCCTGCATGGGGTAGTCAGGGCTATAAATCAGTAGCAGGAGCAGTCTGCTTTCGCTGGTAACAACGACCCTGATACTGATGTTTTCACTCCAATGGAAGCTGCTTTGTGTCTGCTGCTAAGAACTTAGTTCATTGTCCGTTGCCTGATGGAAGACTGGTATTTCTTTTGGGACTTCGTAAGATACTTTAATTTGTGTCTGGATTAATACTTCCTTGCTTTCCTTTACACTTTTCAATTGCATTTGTTTATCCTTTGTGTTTGCTGAAGTAAAGCATCTTTTTTTTTACTTTCAACATTGTCTAGAGGCTGTTTTTGAAGGGCAACTCAGGTATGTATGTGTGTGTATATATATTTGTATCCGTCTTATTTTAATTTTTATCAGGCATGTTTATTGTCAGAAATATTAAATATTAACTAGGTATTTTTAATTACAAAAACATGAGTCAAGCACTGAAAGGGTTAAATGCAATGACTCAGCAAAAGGTGAAGTTTAATATAAGCAGGTGTGCCTGTAGCTTAGTAGCCTTTGGTCTGTGAGAGGTCTCTGTGGGAGAAAGGCCTCAGTGTGTTAGTAGGCCTCAGTATGAGGTAGGCGTCAGTGTAAGTTCGCCTCACTGTGAGAAAGGTCTCAGTCTGAGAGAGCCCTCAGTGTGAGAAGGCCTCAGTGGGAGAAAGGCCACAGTGTGGGGTAGGCCTCAGCGTTAGTAAGCTTCAGTATGGGTAGGCCTGCTTTGGGAAGCTTCAGTGAGAGGAAGCTTGTGTGTGAAGGCTGCTATCTGTAAAAAAGCTGTTGTGTGAAGCTCCTGTGTAACTTCGGTTTAAGAGAAGACTCTGTGAGAGCAAAGCTGTTAAATCCGCATGAGAAAGAAGCTCAGCGTGGAAGCAAAGAAGGAGGTGTAAAGAACTTTGTTTGTGTTATAAAACCTTGTTCTTGTAAATAGTTCAACCATATTATTTTGCTATAAAGAAAAGCCTCCTAAGGAAGAGATAACATTGGTCTGTGTGTTTTTGTTCTTTTTATCACTTTGGGCTACTAGTGCTGGGTCACGCTGCTGTTGATAAGTTACTCTGCTGTACATTTATGAGGAGGGTCTTTTGTTAATAAGCCCACTTGCACAACATTTGTTTGTCAACTGCTAGGTTCCTATGGAGAGAAAGGTGGGATAGAAAAAAAGATGAAGATGATAATAATGATAGAACTTTGCAGGGTTGGCATTTAGATTCCAGTGCCAGGTATTTCCCTTCTCTTTGCTTCCTGGCATCTTGAAACCAAAAGCCTCAGCCTCAACCTGTCTACCGTGCAGCCAAATGTAATGCAGTCTCTGGTTTCAGTCACCTGAGCCTTTGGCTGAGAGAGCATCGAAAGGCACAAAGCCACCAGGAAGCGCACAAAAGCACTCTGCTTTAATCTCTCCATCTCAAGGGGCCAGCTTTTTCCTTCCCAGCCATCATTTCCCAGAGTTCACACATGGGTTCAACACCTCACAATGGATAGCACCAGCACATTCTTACGGAAACATTGTTTGCTGTCCTTGAGAGGAGAGAGTGGTTGCTCAGACAGAAGACTCAAAGAACACACGTCCATGTTTTTCAAAAAGAGTCAGGCAGAATCACCCCATTCACGGGCCACTCTTTTGCAGCCACAAAACATGGACATGTACACACCAAACAGGGAAGTGGATAGACTTGGCCTTTGGACAAAGATCGAGAGTAGAGACACAAATATGGCAGTCCAACCTTTTAAAAACTGTAGGCTGTTAGGAATTTTGGGAGTTCAAGTCCAAAACACCTGGAGGGCCAAAGTTAGCTCTAGTTTGTGTGAGTGCAAGAAATACAAAGGCTTGTTTTCAAGCCCTGCAACCAGGCATGAACACCAGAAAGGAAGAGGCAAGAAACCACAAGTTTCACCAGCACGAGGCTAAAATCCTGTCCAGGTGAAGAAGCAACTTCTTAGTACTCTGTCTCCTTTCAGAGTAGACCTCAGGGAGGGAAGGATGCTAGTTACCGACACCCATAGAAAGGAGAAGGTCTCTAGTCCCAACAAGCTCTCCTATGATACACTGCTGGCCATTCCTCACCTGAGATCCGCTTTGACCACAGCCATGACGCTACCCTCACTGCGAACTTTGAACTGGCAGAGAAGAGGGAGCATCTTACCATCTGCACCAATGTTGGGCAAGTGGGCTTATTAATGAACGACCCTCCTCCTAAATGTACAGCAGAGTAACTTAGCTTAGCTCTCACAGAACCTCCTCTCACATCAAAGTTACACAGGAGGTTCACACAGTACCTTTTACACAGCAGCCTTCACACTGGAGGACTTCAACCTGAAGCTTCTCTCACCAAAGCTTCTCACACCAGGCCTTCCTCATACTGAGGACTACTAACACTGTGGCCTTTCTCCCACTGAGGCCTCTCTCAGACTGAGGGCTCTCTCAGACTGACATCTCTCTCACACACTGAGGTGAACCAACACTGAAGCCTTCTCATACTGAGGTCTACTAACACACTGAGTTCTTTAGATTCTTTCTTTGCTTCCACGCTGGCCTTCTTTCTCATGCAGATAAATAGCTTCGCTCTTACAGAGCCTCTTCTCACACCAAAATTACACAGGAGCTTCACATACTAGATTTATGCACACAGCAGCCTTCACACGTGATGACCTTCAACCTGGGGCTTCTCTCACCGAAGCATCTCACACGAGGCCTACTCACACTGAGGCCTACCTCACATTGAGGCCTTTCTCCCACTGAGGGCTCTCTCAGACTGAAATCAACTAAGTTACAGGCACACTTGCTTATATTGAATTGCTGCTTTTGCTGAGTCGTTGCATCCATTTAGCCCTTTCAGTGCTTGACTTACATTTTCGTAATAAAAAATGCCTAGTTAATCTATATAAAATAATGTGGGATTAACATAACTCAAAAACCACTGGGTGAATTGACACCAAATTTGGACACAAGACACCTATCAGGCCAATGAGTGACTATCACTCATAAAAACACTGAAAAACACAGTGGAAAAGACTTAAAAAGCCAAAAAACAAAAAAATGCATTACAACGCATATGCAAACCCACCTATATAAACGCAAGCACACATATACACAAATATATACACACAAATATATATACATAGACTGGGCCACAGCAATGCGTGGCAAGGGACAGCTAGTATTTAATATTTCTGATATTCCTCACCTGAGATCCGCTTTGACGGAAGCCATGACGCCACCCTCACTGCCAACTTGAAACTGACAGAGAAGAGGGGGCAAGCGTACGGATCTTCCCATCTGTGCCAATCCTTCCAGGATGGAGAGGGCTGTCTGCCTCTCACTCTTCTCCAGGAACCAGAGCAAGATCTCCTGGCATGGAGTGCTGCAGGGAAAGAAGTCCGGCTGTGAGTGAAGGGAGCCAGGCACCAGGCCATCCGTACCCTTTATGATGGGGACAGGCTCAAAAGAAGTCACCTATATTGGTTCTAGATTTCCCCCCACTTTGGGGAAAAGGTGGGGTAGAAGGGGACAGTGATGGAACTCAACCACAACTTGAATAAGTTTCTAATCCTCATTAATGAGATACGTAGCTGAATTAGTTGGCAGGGAAAATTCTCTCCCCATTGCCCTCTTTGTTTGTCTTTCTTTCCTGATAGTTAGATTGATACTTCTCAGGCTCATGTCCCTTTTCTCATATTAAGGAGATGGTCTGCTTCCAACGTAGTACATCTTAATCAGCAACAGAAAGCCCCTGAAGCTGGACCCTCACCAGGAAGGTCTGTCCCAGGAAAACCAAGCAGAATGGCAAGAGCTCCACTCTGGCCCCAACTTCTTACCGTAAGAAGGACACATTTTGCTTTGTAAAACACCAGAGGGAAAAGAGGACGCCCAGGACACTTTGCAGGGAGCTCAGCAGCAGGTCTGAGGGTTCGTTGCCAACCACATACAGCTGGGAGGAGAGAGGGAATGTTAGAGTATGGATGGAGGGATAAAGGAAGGAGGGAGGGAGATTTGGTTTGCTGATGACAATTCATGAAAGAGCTTGGAAAGGATGCCTTTTTGAAGGGTAACTGATGGGAGTCGTAATCCAAAAGAGTAAGGTTCCCAAACTCAGACACAGAATGGGAATTCATCAATAATAACACCAGCCAACATACCAGCTTGGGAGTGATCCTGGACTCATCGCTGAGCCTGGAACCCCAGGTCCCGGCGGTGGCCAGGGGAGCTTTTGCACAATTAAAACTTGTGCGGCAGCTGCGCTCGTACCTTGGGAAGTCTGACTTGGCCATGGTGGTCCACACTCTGGTTACATCCCGTATAGACTACTGCAATGCTCTCTATGTGGGGTTGCCTCTGAAGACTGCCCAGAAGCTTCAACTAGTTCAACGAGCGGCTGCCAGATTATTAACAGGAGTGGGGTACAGGGAGCATACTACTCCTCTGCTGCGTCAGCTCCACTGGCTGCCAATTAGCTTCCAAGCACAATTCAAAGTGCTGGTGCTGACCTATAAATCCCTAAACGACTCCAGCCCAGTTTACCTGTCTGAACGGATTCTCCCCTATGAACCATCAAGGTTGTTAAGATCTTCTGGAGGGGCCCTGCTCACGGTCCCACCACCCTCGCAATCACGTTTGGTGGGGACGAGGGACAGGGCCTTCTTGGTGGTGGCCCCTTGGCTCTGGAACTCTCTCCCACTGGAGATTAGATCTGCCCCTTCCCTCCTGACTTTCAGAAAGATGGTAAAATCTTGGCTTTGGAATTTAGCATTTGCAGAATGATGATCGAGTCAATAACTGCTGACCACGCCGGTGGATGGTGATGAATTTGTGATTTTACTGTGATAACCTGGCTTTTTGTAATTGTATGATCTGTATTTTATGTATTAATATATTACGGTGCTATTATGTTTATCCTACTTGTGTATGAATTTCCTGTTGTTAGCCGGCCTGAGTCCCTCTTCGGAGGTCGAGAAGACCGGGTTATAAAAGCTCTAAACAAATAATAAATAAATAAATTTTGATGCCTCAAATATTAGCCCTGTTTCTGGGTTGATTTGGCTTGCTACTTTCAAAACTGGCGCCTGTTTCTCCCTATCAGCTTCAGTTTTTGAGATACCTGTTGTGACTCAGCTGGAATCACAGAGTGTCTCTGATGAGGATGATGAGACTCAGGTTTATAGTTTGGTTCAAGATGTTCCTGTTATAGACATCCCTGTTATAGACAGTGAAGAAGTGCTGTTTCCCACAGTTAGGCATGGGAGTGTTGATACTGAAAATAGCCAGGTGCAGGTCAGATTGACTTAGAAAAGGAGGCAGAAAAGGAGGACAGTTCTCAGCCTGATAATGAGCAAGCAGGGAAACAGGCTGACACTAACGAACAGACTGACCTTGACGAAATGGGAACCTTAGATCGGGCTGACCGTTTGGAATTCTGAGTTCGAAGGAGTGAGAGGATAGCTAACAAGAGGGAGGCCAGAGGGCAAAGAAACACCTTCATGATTTGCAAAGGGTATTAAGCTGTGTGTTTGAGACCAAATCTTTGTCAAAGCAACTTTGTGTTCAACTAGGAAGCTTGCCTTTGTTTGTCTTGATTTATCTTGCAGTTATTGTGTTCATGGTTTCAGGACTTTGTCATGTTCTTCTGGGTTTCTGCTTTGCTGGTACCTTTTGGGATTAAGCTTCAAGCGCTATGTGATTTAGATCTGTTGGAACGTTAACTTTTGCCTTTTGGAACTTTTTACCTTTTATTCTGAATAAACTATAAAGACTTCTGGCTGCGTGTAGTTTGGTGTCTTCAGCAAGGTGAATCTACTCTGAGGTGGAACAATACCTACAAAACATATCTCATCTACCAGTCACCATCTGCTCAACCATAGAAAACCACGATAGCCCTATCTATTTATTTTTTTTGTCGTGTCAGGAGTGACTTGAGAAACTGCAAGTCACTTCTGGTGTGAGAGAATTGGCCATCTGCAAGGATGTTGCCCAGGGGATGCCCGGATGTTTTGATGTTTTATCATCCTTGTGGGAGGCTTCTCTCATGTCCCCGTGTGAGGAGCTGGAGCTGACAGAGGGAGCTCATCCGCACTCTCCCCAGATTCGAATCTGCGACCTGTTGGTCTTCAGTCCTGCCAGCACAGGGGTTTAACCCACTGCACCACCAGGGGCTCCAAGCCCTATTTATGAAACTGGCGCTAATGCAGTCTATCCAATTACATTTTCTCAAATCAGCGCTCCAAAGAACCGCAGCAACAGGCCTCAAAACCAAGATACCAAAAATTTATTTTTTGTTGGGCTGTTTAATTTTTAAACAAACACGTTTCTGGCCATTACATCAGGCATGGGCGAACTTTGGTCCTTCAGGTGTTTTGGACTTCAACTCCCAAGATTTCTAAGTCAGTAGGCTGTTAGGAATTGTGGGAGTTGGAATTCAAAACACCTGGAGGGCCAAAGTTTGCCCATGGCTGCACTACATATTTGATTTATATCTTCCCTTTTTCTGAATATGAATCTCAAAGATGTTTACAATGTAAGTTAAAACAAAACAGGTTAACTATTAGGAATGCAGATGAATGTGGCAACTGACACCAATGAAAGACTCCCAGGAGAGTGCGAGAGGAAGACTTCCAAATGGGAGAGGACTTTGATGCCCCATGGAACCTTTCCAGCTCCTCTGCAGGATCAGCAAAGGCTCTGCCCACAAAGACTGGCCTCTTGGGCCCATTTCTGTCTGCCGGCTTGTCAGAACAGATCATTGCTGCCCAAGATGCCGCCGCACCATCACAGCACTTAATGGCTCAGACAACGTGTCTGCCAGAGACTTCATTTGCGGGCTGTGTGTGGCTGAGCTCCTTTATTGTTAAACAGGCACTGGCCCCAGAGCTTTGGACTCCTACCAAGGTAATCTGACCCAGGAGATTCCTCTGCCCCACTCTTGCAGTTTCTGGCCCAACTGGCACCTGTCGAACCAGCTGCCTTCTTGCCCTTCACACTTAACAGGCAGCACTCTACAAACGCGGCCCTTTCTTTGCTCTGTTGAAGTTGGGCACCTTCCCAACACCTCTCCATTCTTGGCTCTTGGAGCTCAAAAGGTTGACAATCTCACCTTGGCTCCATTGACCTGGACTTGAGTTTCCTTTCCTCTGATTGGACCCACCAATCCCAATTCCCCAGGCCAAGACCAAGATATAAGGCAAGGTGGCAATGCTCCGTTTCACCCATTTCTGTTCACTCGGCAAACTGCTCAAGCCAATCCAAACTGCTGACTGGCCCATACACAGCAACTGCGGAGTCTCAATTGAGGCTCGGTAATTATATTCTTTGGCCGTGGTTTTGAAAAATGGATAATGATTGTCTGCTTTCAAATCACAAGGTTTACCATGCAATATATCATGAAGTAAATAAATATGGGGGAATTATTTCCAATGGAACACAGCATGAAGGACAATGATTGGTTCATAAACAGACCATGACTTTGTGCAGGAAACTGTGATAGTAAAGCATCACAAGAGGAACTTCTGCCACCTTCAAAGCAATTGAGAGGCTATTTTTTCTGGAGACAGAATCTCCAAGGACCCAAACACAATAGTACATGGACGTCAAATGATGTTAGGGAAGTTTAATGCAGTACCTTAAATACATTTTCTACACAGGATCCAAGCTCTTCCTCCTTCACCAAAACTGTCCCTGGTGGCAGATCTTCCGGGGCCATTTCTGAACAGAACCAGAGAAAAGAATGATTGAAATGAGATTCTCCAACCAGAGAATGTGTTGGTTGCTGTGAGTTTTTCAGGCTGTATGGCCATGTTTTAAAAACAATCTCTCCTGATGTCTCACCCACATCTATGGCAGGCATCCTCAGAGGTTGTGAAGTCCTCACAACCTCTGAGGATGCCTGCCATAGATGTGGGCGAAACGTCAGAAGAGATTGCTGTAGCACAGTTGGTTAATCACCAGCAGCAATAAATCTTACCAATCGAAAGGTTGGTAGTTTGAAGCCCGGGTCGGAGTGACAACCCGATCTTCAGCCCAGCTCACTCTACAAGGGCTCTTCGTCACAGAGGATGGAGGGACAGCACCTCCCTGTGGCCGGAATCAAGCACAACCTCCAGGACACCGAAGCTGGGGAAAATGCCACCATAATACCTCTGTCTGTTGCCTGTCCTGTCTGTTTAACGGCATTGAATGTTAGCCATGTATGTGTTCTGTGATCCACCCTGAGTCCCCTTCGGTGTGAGAAGGGTGGAATATAAATGCTGTAAATCTATACAAATAAAAATGTAATGTTCGTTTGTGGGATTAACATAACTCAAAAACCACTGGACGAATTGACACCAAATTTGGACACAAAACACCTATCAGGCCAACGAGTGACTAACACTCATAAAAACACTGAAAAACACAGCAGAAGGGACTTAAAATCCATAAAACAAAAATACATTACAATGCATGTGCAACACTACATATATATATATACACGCGAACACACTTATATACACATATATACACACACACAAAACACATATACACAGACTGGGCCACAGTAACGCTAGTAAATAAATAAATACATTCTGGAACATGGCCATACAGCTTGTAAAACTCACAGCAACCCAATTATTCCAACCATGAAAGCCTTCAACAACACAGAGAATGTGTTATTAACACATCTCTATTTTATGGACACTCCATTTAATCCAAGTATGAGCAACTCAGTAGGGCCTTAGGCCATATGGACTATGAAAGCTGCTGAACTTGCTGACTGAAAGGTTGGTGGTTCAAATCTGGGGAGCAAGGTGAGCCCAATTTCTGCCATTCTATCAGTTTGAAAACATGCAAATGTGAGTAGATCAATAGGTACCACTTCTGCGGGAAGGTAATGGTGCTTCATGCAGTCATGCTGGCCACATGACCTTGGAGGTGTCTACGGACAACGCCGGCTCTTTGGCTTAGAAATGGAGATGAGCACGTCCACTCAGAGTTGGAAACGACTAGACTTAATGTCAGGGGAAACCTTTACCTTTACCTTTAAGTAAACAAAATAATAATAGTAATAATAACAACAACAATTCATTACCTTCAGCCTCCAAGCAGCGCTGGAGGGGCTCCAGCAAGGGCCGCAGCAGATGCCTCTCTGCCTGTTCCGGGTGCCTTCTGGCCATGCTCAAAACGGCCATAGTGGCAACACGTTGGAACTGGCGGGCTGCCAGTTGGTCCTGAAGGAGGAACAGCTGCAGGATCTGGAAGAGAAACAGAGCAGTATTAGCACTGGCCTCAGTTGTTGCTTTTATTTATTTGATTTGAGGAGGCCCTGCTCTCAGTCCCACCCCCGTCTCAAGCGTAGCTGGTGGGAACGAGGGAGGGGGCCTTATCTGTTATGGTCCTCGCCTCTGGAACTCTCTTCCTAAAGAAATAAAAAGCCCCCTCCTTTCTCTCTTTTTTTAAAACAGCATTTATGTACTTCATGTTGTAGTCCAGCTTCTGATTCTGCCTGCACCTGATCTCTCTGAGGATTCTAGGCTTGTTACTCAGCCTGATGATGCTAGGGATTCTGGGTCTGCAAGTCAGCAGGAGAGCCAGCAAGAGAATTTAAGCCCTGAAAATGAGTGGTCTGAGTCTGAAGGCCACATTCCTGAAAGGCAGTTTGCTAGGGAAGCAAAGTCAGAAACAGAACTGAGCTCAGAGTGTGAAAATGAAAGTCCAGGTGGACAGACTAATGAGCAGTTAGATAGGAGATTTATGTTCCGTCAACACAGAGCTTCTCATGATAGTTTACAAAGGCCAAGGCGTCTATTAGCCAAGAAGTCCTTTATCAGTTTCCCAGGGGAGAAGGCATGATTTTCTGTCTATATTAGCAAGACTAGGAGACTGTTTTCCCAGTTGAGGCAACACTAATGGTTGAGTATTGAACTTCTGTCATGTCAAGGGATTTCTAGCTCCATGTTTCCCTGAATCTCATGTTTTGAATTTATTCTGCTTTTGTATTCCTGGTTTTTGATGCTATTCTTGTACTTTGAATTCTGTGGATTATTCCTGATATTTGGACTTTGGTCTTTTATACTACTCTTGGTATTGCTTTTCATATATATTCTTCAATAAACTGTTTTGCTATTTTACCTTGGACTGGAGTGTGTGTTAAGCACAGAAGTGATTCCCAGCCTTGGAGTACAATACTTTAGCATATAGAGAGGAGGAAGTTTAGAATATTAGAATATTATGTATAATTACCACTGACCGGAAATAGTGTTTCACTCTGGCTTTGTTGGCTGCATAAAATTTTAATAATTTAAAATGTATTTTTAGATTTGACAAGATTTGTGTTGTGTTTTAAAGTTAGATGTAAATTAATTGATCGGTCATGTTATTATTTAACTTTTGATTATGTGTTATAATTTGGTGTTATAAAAAGTAAAGGTAAAGGTTTTCCTCTGACATTAAGTCCAGTTGTGTCCGACTCTGGGGGTTGGTGCTCATCTCCATTTCTAAGCCAAAAAGCCGGTGTTGTCCATAGACACCTCCAAGGTCACGTGGCGGGCATGACTGCATGGAGCGCTCTTACCTTCCCACTGGAGCGGTACCTATTGATCTACTCACATTTGCATGTTTTCGAACTGCTAGGTTGGCAGAAGCTGGGGCTAACAGCGGGAGCTCATGCCGCTCCCCACATTCAAACTTGCAACCTTTCGATCAGCAAGTTCAGCAGCTCAGCGGTTTAACTCACTGTGCCACTGGGGGCTCTATTTTTTGTTATAAGTTTATTTTTTTCTGGGATTTGGTTGAGTTGTTTATTTGTTTTTGTTGGTTTATTACGGCATTGAATGTTTGCCATTCTTCTGTTGGAAACTGCCCCGAGTCCCCTCAGGGATCTATCTAGCTGCGGGATATAAATAAAGTTGTTTATTATTATTATTATTATTATTATTATTATTATTATTACCATATATACTCGAGTATAAGCCATGTTTTTCAGCCCTTTTTTAGGCTGTGAAAGCCCCCCTCACCTTACACTCGAGTCAAGGTTATTTATTATTTTACTCTGTTATTATTATCTGTTATTGTTACTATTTTTATTACATTTATTGTATTATTTTTATTATTATTATTACATTTATTATTTTACTATCATTATCATGACATTTATTATTTTACTCTATTATTGTGATTATTACATTTGTTTTGCTCTATTATTATTATTATTATTATTATTATTATTATTATTATTATTACATTTCCATTATTTTAGTCTATTATTATTTTTTAAATTACATTTATTATTTTACTCTATTATTGAAAGGATACATAAGGACATTTACATTGAAGAAGGTTAGAATAATGTCTTATACTCAAAGTCAATTCGTTTTCCCAGTTTTTTGTGCTAAAATTAGGTGCTTCGGCTTATATTTGGGTCGGCTTATACTCAAGTATATACGGTATTTGTATCCCATTCTTCTCCCAAGAAGAAACCCAAAGGGATTCATGGTGCAAAGTTGGAACAAAAATGGCTACAAAAATATATGGTGCTGTTAAAAGTATATAAAGGTTGGAAGATGCATTGCACAATCAATCCCATTAGAATATGAATACAGATATAATTAAAACATGTGGAACACATATAGCACATATAAAAACCAGAACACCAATGGCATTACCTTCTACTCCAACTAATTCAGGACTGAAGTGCAATTTAAGTGGAATATAGTTTTATAATTATGTAGGGATGGACAAAGTAATTCCATCTCATTACCCCCCACCAGCCCCCAATCTCTGCTCAAGAACCAAGCCTCACTATTGGCAAAAGGAATTATACCTGGGGGCAAACTTGTCGGCAATAGTCCTCCAGGGACAGGGACTGCTGGGGACAGGAAGAGAGGATTCTGGCCACTGCATCACACTTCTGCCAGTCTGACGCTGCTGCCTCCGCACTGCTGCCTCCCATGGTTCCAGCTTGGAAAAAGAACAGACACAGTGTTAATCTCCGGCATGTTGGCCCCAACAGAATCCTACAGTTGGAAGAGACCTCAGCAGACATCCAGTCCAATCCCCTTCTGCCAGGCAGGAAAAGCACAATCAAAGCACCCCCTACAGATGGCCATTCAACCTTCTATAAAAAAGACTCCAAGGCAAAGAGTTCCACCATCAAACAGGGTCGCTGTGAGTGTTCTAGGCTGTCTGGCCATGTTCCAGAAGCATTCTCTCCTAGCATTTCTCCCACATCTATGGCAGGTATCCTCAGTGGTTGAGGGATCTGCTGGAAACTAAGCAAGTGAGGTTTATATTCAGGAGAAAATAATTCTGGATCATGGTCATACAGCTCAGAATACTCACAGCAACCTATAACAATATGATTTGAGCCTGGCTCACCTCCGGCTCCTTCCAAGATGCCGCAGACCACGGCTTGGACCCCTCCGGGCCTCAGAAGCCTCTCAGAGAGGAGCTGCCCACAGAGACGCCGGAGCCAGGATGGGGCGGGGGCCAAGGGACGTCCGCTTTCAGGCCCACGGGGAGGGCAGCCCTGAAGGAACACAGAAAGGAGGAGAAAAGGCATCACAATGGATGAAACCCACCAGCAAGGCACGGCCTGAAGGGCACTGTCGGGACTAGAGAATGTGAAGCCATTTTCACAAAGTTAGAAAGGGTTAAAGCAGGCATGGGCCTTAGCTGGTAGGAATTGTGGGAGTTGAAGTCCAAAACACCTAGAGGGAGAGCCCAAGTTTGCCCATGTATGCTCTAAAACCGTGTTTCTCAACCTGGGGGTCAGGACCTTTGGGTGGGGGGTGCAAGGGCTTTCAGAGGGGTCGCCAAAGACCATCAGGAAACACATATTTCTGATGGTCTTAGGAATCCCTTTGGCAGAAAAGGATGAAGATTTATTTTTATTAATTTTTTTACTGTATTTGTATACTTCCCCTCTCAGCCTTCCAGCAACTCGAGGCGGTTTATATGGCAAAATTCAATGCCACAGAAACACAAGTACAATATAAAAACGTTAAAATCAATAAAATCATAACAATAACAATAAAACATAAAAAACATTGTCCAGTCTCATCATGTAGTTGTTCCGATTCCTATGTCCGTTACTCAATATTTGCAAATGCTTGCTCGAATAGCCCTGTCTTGAGTTTTTTCCGAAATGTTAGGAGCGAAGAAGCTGACCTGATCTTCCTTGGGAGGGTATTCCAAAGCTGAGGGGCCACCACTGAGAAGGCCCTGTCTCTTGTCCCTGCTAGACGTACTTGTGACGAAGGCGGGACCGAGAGCAGGGCCTCCCCAGATGATCTTAAAGTCCTCAATCTCTCCACTTGTCTTTCTCTTCCTTTTGGGAAACACACAGAAAATTCTCCCACTAAAAGCCCTCCTCCGCTGTTTCTGAGACTACAAGCAGGGAGAGGAGAGCAGGCATGATTGGTGCGTGGCAGTATGGTGCACATGTGCGTGCGAGGCTGGAGGGGGGCTTGGGCTAGCAAGTCCCTTCAAGGTATGGGGGTTCTGTGCGGGAAGTTTGGCCCAATTCTATCGTTGGTGGGATTCTGAATGCTCTTTGATTGTAGGTGGACTACAAACCCAGCAACTACAACTCCCAAATGTCAAGGTCTATTTTCCCCAAACTCCACCAGTCTTCACATTTGGGCATATTGAGTATTTGTGTCAAGTTTGTGCCAGATTCATGATTGCTTGAGTTCACAGCGCTTTCCGGATGTTGATAAACTACAAATCCAAAACTCAAGGTCAATGCCCACCAAACCCTTACAGTATTTTCTGCTGGTCATTGGAGTTCTGTCTGCCAAGTTTGGTTCAATTCCATCATTGGTGGAGTTCAGAATGCTCCTTGATTGTAGGTGAACTATAAATCCCAGCAACTAAATCTCCCAAATGACAAAATCACCCCTCCAAAATTGGAGTGTATTGGGTATTTGTGCCAAATTTGGTCCAGTGAATGTAAAAACATCCTGCATATCAGATATTTACATGACAATTCATAACAGTAGCAAAATTACAGTTATGAAGTAGCAACACAAATAATGTTATGGTTGGAGGTCACCACATCATGAGGAACTGTATTAAGGGGTTGCAGCATTAGGGAAGTTGAAAATCACTGCTTGAAGCACAGACTGGATGGCCTTCTGTTAGGAGGGCTTGGATTGTGCTTTTCCTGCCTGACAGAAATAAGAGGGTTGGACTGGAGGGCCTTTGGGGTCTCTTCTAGTTCCAGAAGTCTATGATTCTATATGTATTTTTAATAGAGCCTGGATGGTCATCTGTCAGGAGAGTTCTGATGGTGTCTTCCTACCGGGCTTCCCTTCCATGTCTATGTTTCTTTTTTATATATAATATTTTATTGAGGGGAACAAGGAGGGGTAGGGATGTGGGTGAGGGTAATGTTCTGGTTGGAGGTCACCACAACATGAGGAACTCTATTAAGGGGTCGTGGCATTGGGAAGGTTGAGAAACAGTGCTCTAAAGCAAACCAATTACAAGGTTGTTGAGGCAAAACTGTAAGAACGTCGCCTTCTTTCAGTCACATTTTGCATTATTTATTGTTGCTATTTCACATGGGGGGGGGGAACCCTGATGAAATTTTATGTCACTCGCAACCGTGGACACAATTAAATTATGACATTTTTAGATTTCCATGGGAACATGTAGAACTTTGGTTCCTGATGGTAGACACAATGGCTGCGATACCTGTCTGGATCCACCTTGAAGGATGAGCAGCTCTCGGACCACTAACGGCTGGTAGACTCTGTCCAGGAGTCCTCCGAGGGCCTCCTTACAGCTGCGTCGCTCCTCCTCAGTCAGGCCCTGAAACATTTCAATGGAAAGGAATGGGATATTATATGTTTTTGGCTCCCTCTAGGGAGCAGGAAGCGATTTGCTAGCATCTCCGAAGACACTTTGGCTTTGGAAGCATGTCAATAATCTCCCCACGGTTTATTTTGAGTTAAACTCTGGCTCTTAACTCGAAATGATGGGGAGATATTGGAAAAATAGATATTTATTTCTGCATATATTGTATGTACTTTACAAGAACTGAAATGTATAGAAAAATCAGGTTCTCTCTGTGTAAAAAAGCCAGCAGGACAGAGAAGGAATGTTAAAGGGGGAGGAGAAGGGGGACCTGTTATCTATACATTCCAGAGAGACTGGTACAACAGAGCCCAGCGTCTTCCTTCTAAATAAGGAGCCTATCCCCTTCCCTCCATGACCCCTTGATTGATGAATGTAAGCTGTAAGCCAGGGGTTCTCAAACTAGGCCCAGATACAGCCCTCTGAGGTCATTTACCCAGCCCTCGCTCAGGGTCAATCTAAGTCTGAAACAACTTGAAAGCACCCAACAACAACAACAACAATCCTATCTCATCAGCCAAAAGCAGGCCCACACTTCCCATTGAAATACTAATAAGTTTATATTTGTTAAAATTGTTCTTCATTTTAATTATTGTATTGTTTTGAAGTGTTTTTTGCACTACAAATAAGATATGTGCAGTGTGAGGACCCCCGCTGTAAGCTGTATGAATTTGATATTTCTATGATGCTAAGGTGATGAAATGATGATGTCAATGTACGTAGAAGCATGTTTCTTTGTTTGCCTGCATTTGAAGTGTATAAATGGGAAAGTCAATGCCTTTATCACTGCTCTGGTTGCTTTTGGACACAGCTCCACTCCAGGGTCCCAGCTGGAAATAAAGCCATACTTTTCTGTCTCCGGAAAGGATCTCTCTTGATATTATCTCTCCTATCTTGCTGCTATAAAAACACTCTCAATTTGGGACACTCTTAAGTTGAGGTTCCACTGTATTTGACGCTCTCTCTGTCTACACGGAGTCCCCATCCATCACAACCTTTGAAGGCGACCATAATATGGATGTGGCCCTCGACGGAAATGCATTTGACAGCCCTGCTCCAGAGCATCAGAAATCAAGCCTCCCATCTGCACTTCAACATTACTGCTTTCCAAATTTTTAAACATGGCTCCCATGTCCCATTCTCTTCTCAAAGCCACTTAATGTGAACCTTGGATTAGAACTCACCCCCATCTCCTTCTCCGGCTTGTCTCCCTCTCGCTTCCTCCTTCCTGGGCAGAATCCCAGCTGGCACAACCCGGCCAGGAGATCCCCCAAATGCCGGGTGAGAACCAGGCTGCCCAGCAAAGGGTGCTGAGCAACCTCCAAGAGGCCAGTGCAGGTGGCATAGAGCTTGCCCACGGCGTTAACCGTACACCTGGGCGAGACGATCTCCCGGATCATGGCCCCAAACTCGGTCCTGCATCCGAGGGGAAGCCCCACGCCTGGCAGGAGGAAGGGGCAGAGGCCCAGGGTGACTGCAAACTGCAAAGCTGCCCGCACGGTCTTCTCCTGAGCGACGCTGAGGGTATCGGGGCTGAGAGGAGGTGCAGACGCAGGGGTCTTCGGTGGGATGGGAACTGCTGCGAGGAGAACCATGCTTTGCTTGAGACTCAGCAGCAACAGCAAGACATGGCGGGTAAAAGTCCAAGGCACGTCGGAGCATTGGGGCAGCCACAGAGTCTTCTGGGAGGCCTCTGTGGTCAACCTTCGCAGTCCGTCCCATTGAGGGTCCTGAGCTAATTTCTCCTCCAAAGAAGCCACACTCAAGTGGAGGGATTCCAGCAGTGCGGCCCCCTTTGTTTCCTGGAGACTGTGTTGGCCTGTCCAATAAAGAATCACAGAATCATAGAGTTGTGAGAGACCTCGTGGGCATTCCAGTCCAACCCCATTTTGCCAAGACATAGGAAAATTGCATTCAAAGCACCCCTGACAGATGGCCATCCCACCTCTGATTAAAAGCCTCCCAAGATCATGAGTTCGAAGCCAGCCTGGGTTAGAGTGGGTTTCCAACCAATTGTGTAGCCTGTTGCCAACCTTAGCAACTCGAAAGACAGTTGCATCTGTCAAGTAGGAAAATTAGGTACCACCTTAAAGAGGCTAAATTAACTAATTTATGAGGCCATAAAAAAGGACTCCAGCAGGCACTCCGGCGAAAAGCATGCGGAGAATGCAGAAGTACTTCATCAATGTCGCAGATGGACGATGAAAGCGACAGCTCCCCTGGTGGCCAGAAAAAGTTAAATAGCCTCTGTCTATGTCTGTATATGCTGTATGTCAAAATTGGCATTGAATGTTTGCCATATATGTGTACACTGTGATCCGCCCTGAGTTCCCTGCGGGGTGAGAAGGGCGAAATATAAAAGCTGTAAATAAATAAATAAATAGGAGCCTCCACCACACCCTGGAGCAGAGAGTTCCACTGCTGAACAGCTCTCTCTCACAGTCACTGTATTTACTGTAAATAAAGAACAACACTCAAAATCAGTCAAAAAACAATCAGGGCCAAATAATCACCTCCCAACAAAGGATGCCCCCAGGTAGTAAGAAGCTAGTCCTTGAAACTGCTAGGCCATTCAATGCTAATCAAGATGGCCAATTATTATATTCACACCTACCTCAAACAGACAAGAGTTCTTTCTCCCACCCTGGACATTCCACAGATATATAAACCCCATTTTCCTGGTTTCCAACAGACCTCACAACCTCTGAGGATGCCTGCCATAGATGCAGGCTAAACATAAGAAGAAAATGCTCATGGAAATATGGCCATACAGCCTGGAAAACACACAACAACCCAGTGGGAATGTTGCAATTGGCTAGCTTGATTAGCATTGAGTAGCCTTGCAGCTCCAAAGACTGGCTGATTCCTGCCTGGAGGAATCCTTTAGTTGGGTTTGTATTTCCCCCAAACTCCATCTGTGTTCATATTTGGGCATATTGCGTATTCGTGCCAAGCTTGGTCCAGATCCATCATTGTTTGAGGCCACAGTGCTCTCTGGATGTAGGTGAACTCCCAAACTCAAAGTTAATGCCCACCAAACCCTTTTAGTGTTTTCTGTTGGTCATGGGAGTTCTGTGTGCCATGTTTGGTTCAATGCCGTAATTGGTGGAGTTCAGAATGCTCTTTGATTGTAGGTGAACTATAAATCCCAACAACTACAACTACAACTCCCAAATGACAAAATCAAAAAACTTTGCATGAAGGACATACATTGGGTTGTTAGGTGTACGCTGTCCAAATTTCGTGTCAATTGGCCCACTGGTTTTTGAGTTCTGTTAATCCCACAAACGAACATTACATTTTTATGTATGTAGATTTGACAACAGAAAGCATTGAGTAGCCATGAAGCTGCAAAGTCCGGGGGGGGGGGGGGGGCCTGCTCTTGGTCCCACCACCCTCACAATCACGGTTGGTGGGGACGAGAGACAGGGCCTTCTCGGTGGTGGCTCCCCGGCTTTGGAACTCCCTCCCACTAGAGGTTAGATCTGCCCCCTCCCTCCTGACGTTCAGGAAATCACTAAAAACCTGGCTCTGGAAGGTGGCATTCGGGGACTGAACCTAGAACCTTGCCCTGTGATGAATTATGATGAACTGTGACCGAGCATGACTATGACTTGGACTGGATTGACGATTTGGCGTAGGAAACTGTAATGATGATGTTTTTATTGTACTGTGTTGCACTATTTTAATATGTAATGATTTTTACTTGTTCTTTTATATGATTGTACTTTATATATGCTGTAAACTGACCTGAGTCCCTCGTCGAGGTTGAGAAGGCTGGTATAGAAAACCTCTAAATAATAATAATAATAATAATAATAATAATAATAATAATAATAATCAATGAGGATATATGCATAGAGGTAGCCTGGCCTCTGTTGCCTGGAGGCAACCTCTGTTTGGGAGGTGTTCATTGGCACTTGATTGTTTGTTGTCTGGAATTTCCATGGGGACCACCAAACGCAGAACATTGCCCAGACACAAATCAAAGCATATGAAAGGCATGCAGAGTAATCCAACCAGAGAATCCGCCATAACAGAACACATGATGAACCAAGCTGGAGACAGGATAGAATCATAGAATCATAGAATCCTAGAGTTGGAAGAGACCTCATGGGCCATCCAGTCCAACCCCCTGCCAAGAAGCAGGAATATTGCATTCAAATCACCCCTGACAGATGGCCATCCAGCCTCTGTTTAAAAGCCTCCAAAGAAGGATATTATTTGAGAACACAGAAATGATGGACCATGCTAACAACTACCAAGTCAGACTACACAGAGAAGCTATTGAAATCCATGAAAATGAGCACAATCTGGCTACCAGTATTAAAAACACCAGAATCAAGTCAGAGGAACTCCAGACAGCAAACAATTAAATGCCAGCTAACACTTCCCAAACTGAGGGTGCCTCCAGGCAACAACAGCCAGGCTTTCCAGCCTCATGGTTACTCATGCTATTCAAGCTTGCCACTTGCAGCCTTCCCACCTTTCTCTCACCCTGGAATCATCCCACAGGGATATAGGGCCTAGTCCTCATTCTCTCTGTCTCACCAGGCGCAGTAGTTCTCCTCAGTAGAAGCTCCAAGCCTTCAATGGCTCGTTTCAGCACAGCCTCACTCTCCGCCATGCCTGCTTCTCCTTCAGGTGGAGCCGCCATCTTGGGAAGGTCAGGGAAACGCCAACGCCGCCATATTGGGAAGTCCGCACGGGATAGCATACAGGCGCGAATTTCCGCCATATTGGAAAGGTCGGAGCATGCGCAATAAGCTGGGAAGCGGCCCTCTTGAGAGGGTCAGGAAAAGGCGCTGGGGAAGAGTCAGCCGCCGCCATTGTGGGAAGGTCAATACTCAACTAAACTTTTGCATTGCTGCAATAGCTGGGATTAGGAGTGGCAGAGGGGGAAAGTGACTTAAAAGTGGAGTATATGAAAATATATTAGTAATAATAATAATAATAATAATAATAATAATAATAATAATGTAACTTAAAAGTAGGATAGATAATAATTATAATAATGTAACTTGAAAGTGGAATATACAACAATAATGTAACTTAAATGTGGGATATACAATAATAATAATAATAATAATAATAATAATAATAATAATAATAATAATAATAATGTAACTTAAATGTGGGATATATAATAACAATAATATTGTAATTTAAATGTGGGATATATTATTATTATTATTATTATTATTATTATTATTATTATTATTATTAAGTCCATCCTCTAGGAAATAAAGCCCGGCTGCTCATTGGAGGGAAGGATACTAGAGACAAAGTTGAAGTCCTTTGGCCACATCATGAGGAGACAGCAAAGCCTAGAGAAGACAATTATGCTGGGGAAAGTGGAAGGCAAAAGGAAGAGGGGCCGACCAAGGGCAAGGTGGATGGATGGCATCCTTGAAGTGTTTGGACTGACCTTGAAGGAGCTGGGGATGGTGACGGCTGGCAGGGAGCTCTGGCGTGGGCTGGTCCATGAGGTCACGAAGAGTCGGAGACGACTGAACGAATGAACAACAACAACAACGATGATGATGATGATGATGATGATGTAACTTAAATGTGGGATTCATAATAATAATGTGTCTTGACAGTGGGATATTTAATACGGTAATAATAATAATAATAACAACAACAATGTAATCCAGCATATAGATCTCATTTACTGTGACATACTGTGTTTTTGTGGCAGTAAAATAATAATAATGTAACTTCAAAGTGGGATCTATAATAATAATGTAACTGTAAAGTGGAAAATATGATGATGATGATGATGATGATGATGATGATAGTAATAATAATAATAATGCAACAATAATGTTGCACTCCCAGGCAACAGCAGAATTGACGAGAAGCAACTGAAAAAGCTTACACGATATGAGTATTTAAAGATCAAATTGCAAAGACTGGCACAAGCCAGTAAAGGTGGTCCCAGTGGTGATTGGCACACTGGGTGCAGTGCCTAAAGACCTTGGCCTGCACTTAAACACAATCAACGCTGACAAAATTACCATGTGTCAGCTGCAAAAGGCCACCCTGCTTGGATCTTGAACATGAGCCATGAGTGTGATGCTGCAGCAAAAAAGGCCAATGTGATTCCACGCTGTATTTATAGGAGTCTAGTATCCAGAGATGCTATGTATTATTTTTTTCTCTCCCAACCCTACTATATGCTTGCAAAACATGGACTGTATTCAGATGTGGTCGGGCATCCGGACGACATGGCCAGTCCAGTGGAGTTGATGGTGGAGGACCATTGCTTCAATGCTGGTGGTCTTTGCTTCTTCCAGCACGCTGACATTTGTCCGCTTGACTTCCCAAGAGATTTGCAGGATTTTCCAGAGGCAGCGCTGATGGAAACGTTCCAGGAGCTGCATGTGACGTCTGTAGACTGTCCACGTTTCACAGGCGTATAGCAGGGTTGGGAGGACAATAGCTTTATAAACAAGCACCTTGGTATCCCTACGAATGTCCCAGTCCTCAAACACTCTCTGCTTCATTTGGAAAAATGCTGCGCTCACAGAGCTCAGGTGGTGTTGTATTTCGGTGTGGATGTTGACTTTGGTAGAGAGGGGCTGCCAAGGGAGCGAAAATGGTCAACATTTTCTAATGTTGACCATTAAGAACATGTGGGTCAAGAATAGGGCTCCACAGCCACCTACGGACCCATCGTCAAGATCCTCCACTTGGAGGACCATCATCCTCGGGCTACGAGGGATCGCCTAAGTAATTAAGTAAGTAAGTAAGTAAATATTATTTTTATTAAATTTTCACATTTATATACATTATCACAGTTGTAGAAGAATTGCGGGGGGAAAGGTGGAAAACTCAAAAGGTCAAGCCCATGGACGGCGAAAAGAAGTGGCAATGTAACCAAAGACTTAAACAGAGAGAGCAACTTCTTAAGAAACCAATTTATTTATATCTTACAGTTTGAAGATCAGTGAAGAATGGTTCAAATGTATTTTAAAAATGCAAATCTAAAAAAAAAGCTGTAATGCACATACTAAAAAATTTAACACCATTCAACATAAATTCCATAAAAAGTATCAAACAACTACAAAACAAATACAGGCGGACACAGTTGACTCTTTTTGCAATATGATCAATAGTTCAAAAATTATCTGAAAAGGAGAAATGGGCGATATTTGATTCTGTTTTACAGATAATAGACAAAAATCCACAAGGACTGAAGCTAGGAAAAGAGATCTTTAGGACTATAACTCCCATAATTCAGTTATTTGGGGATTTGGGGAATTGTAGTCCAACAAAGCTGTTTTTCCGGTTTGACTTTAGGCACAGTTAAAGAGTTCGTACAATAATAGGAACATTAATATGAGGAATCACATTAAATTCAATCTACACATATATGATGTCTTAAAGGGCAATTGGTAAAAATTTAAGGTATTGGAGTTCTTTGGAAATTCAGAAATATTTAAAAAAAATAGTCCAATAGAGTGGAGAAAAATCAAGAAATGCCAGAACTGATTGTCTTTGGCCATTGCTCTGGAAATCGCAGTGCTGCAAGTAAAGTGCATTGTTTGCAAAAGATGCCCAAAGGGCTGATTTCAGAGCAAAATCAGGCCACATTTCATTGAATAGCAAAGCTTTGAAATTTGGAAGGCAAATCTTGAAATACATTCCTTGCGCTTAAACTCATGCATTTTTTAATTACCATCATTATTGTAATCCTTTAAAAAAACCAAAACTCAGGTCTGCTTTCTCCTCTTCCCTCTAAACGCATGACTTCCTGCACTCCACTTTCTTCATTGATATTAGTGTTTTCGTTTTTCTGTATCTCTAATATTGAAAAATGCAGCCAGGTATTATACTAACCAGTCGACATTCAGGTAAAGGGGAGAAAGGAGGGGGTAAAATCAGAATATTTCTGAGAAATTGCTGTTTAAATCTAATTTGGGTTTCTGTGAGTTTTTCAGGCTGTATGGCCAAGTTCCAGAAGTATTCTCTCCTGACATTTCACCCACATCTATGGCAGGCATCCTCAGAGGTTGTGAGGTCTGTTGGAAACTAGGCAAGTGAGGTTTATATATCTGTGGGGTCTCCAGGGTGGGACAAAGAACTCTTGTCTGTTTGAGATAGGTATTGTTATATTGATAGGTATTTCTATTGTTATATTGTAATTCTTGTTCGGGCTTGGCCCCATGTAAGTCGCTTCAAGTCCCCTTTGGGGAGATGGTGGCAGGGTATAAATAAAGTTAATAATAATAATAATAATTATCATTATTATTAGGTGTGAATATAGCAATTGGCTACCTTGATTAGCATTTAATGGCCTGGTAGTTTCAAGGTATGGCCTCTTAGTGCCTGGGGGAGTCCTTTGTTGGAAGGTGATTAGTTGGCCCTGATTGTTTTTTGACCGGAATTCCCCTGGTTTTGAGTGTTGTTCTTTACAGTAAATAAAGTAACTACAGTACAGTAAATCCTTTGTTTGGAGGTGTTAGCTGGCCCTGACTGATTCTTAGGGGAACTCCAGGCATGAATAAATCAGGGCCAGCTAACAACTCCGAACAAAAATTCCCCCAGGCAGCAATCAGCCACACTTTGAAGCTGCAAGGCCCCATCCTTTGTTGGGAGGTGTTAGCTGGCCCTGAATGCTACATTCAGGAAAGGACAAGAGGGATCTTCTCACTTCTGCGGGAGTCTACCGTATCCCACGCAGCTGTGGATAAGTCTCCATAGGGACCATCAAACGCAGCAGCATTGCCCAAACACGAATCAAGGAACGTGAAAGGCACTTCAGACTAATTCAACTAGAGAAGTCATCCATAGCAGAGCCCTTCACGAACTAACCTGGACACAGCATATTGTTTGAGAACACAAAAATGCTGGACTACTCTGATAACCATCATGTCAGACGACACAGAGAAGCCATTGAGATCTACCAGCATGTGGACAATTTCAACAGAAAGGAGGAAACCATGAAAATGAGCAAAATCTGGCTATCAGTATTAAAAAACTCTAAAATCAGGACAGTAAATAAACAACAATACTCTGAAAATATGGAATTCCAGACAAGAATAAATCAGGGCCAGCGAACACCTCCCAACAAAGGATTCCCCAGGCAGCAACCAGCCATGCTTTGAAGCTGCAAGGCCATTCAATGCTAATCAAGGTGACCAATTACAATATTCACACCTGCCTCAATATATCCCGATGTATATATTCAGTTTTATCATATTTATTTACTGTATTGCTATATTGTTGTAAGTGTTACTTAACTTACTCAAGTTTTATCAAGCCTTTTTGTTCGGTTCGGTATTGTGATATGGCCTAAGGGTTAATCAATAAAATTTAGTACTACTATCTGCCTCAAACAGACCAGAGTTCTTTCTCCCACCCTGGACATTCCACAGATATATAAACCTCACTTGCCTAGTTGCCAACAGATCCCACAACCTCTGAGGATGCCTGCCATAGATGTGGGTGAAACGTCAGGAGAGAATGCTTCTGGAACATGGCTATACGGCCCGGAAAACTAACAACAACCCAGTGATTCCGGCCATGAAAGCCTTCGACAACACATTAAATCCAATTTCCTTGAACAGAGGCCCAAACAATGCTTGGATGTCTTTGTGAAATGCAAAGATTGTCCAGTTTGCAATTATTTATTTTAAGTGAAAAGCTTCAACAGTCAGTTGTATTTTTAAACATGTGTGTGTGTGTATAGGAAGGAGAATTAGGGGTTGTTTTTTTAGTAATTATTAATTTGTTTTACTCTATTGTCTGTCTTATTTATTTATTTATTTATTCATTTTAATTGCATGCATTTCAGCAGCATTTTATTTAATAACAATGAAGTATATGAAAATGGAGACAATTATTTACAGTCATTCATTGATTGGAATCCAAGAGGGCCAGCGTTTGGGAAAAGGCATCTTTGGTGTGTTGCTTTCTGTCCATTTATGACCAGAGCTGTGTAGCTTCTGGGAAAGAAAGGGTGGTCCTAGTTGTCTTCCTCCTCCTCGCCTCCGCCGTACATGTCGGCCAGCTTCCGGAACCGGTTGCCCCAGTCGTTGAGGTAGTCGTAGTCCTGGTCCCGGTCTCCGTTGGAGGAGTTGAGGGAGCTGAGGGAAGCGGCTTCTGACCCATTGCCCTCATAGTCAAAGACCAGCAAGGAGTCGTAGGGGGGTGCCGTGGGGTCCGTGTCAGCTGCCTTCAGGTTCTGCAGCGAAGAAGGGAACAAAAGAGGTTGGGTTAATCAGATTTTGGATAGAAGTAGAAGACCACCTTCAGGCTTTCAATGGGAAGACCACCTTCAGTTATCTTTATAGGCCTTCAAGTGGAAGAAGGCAATGATCTTCTTCAAGTGGAAGACCACCTTCAGGGATCTAAAGGGCCTTCAGGGGGAAGAAGAGCACCTTCAGGGATCTAAAGGGTTTTCAAGTGGAAGAAGACAACCTTCTTCAAGTTGAAGAAGATCACTTTCAGGGATCTTGATAGGCCTTCAAGTGGAAGAAAGCAATGATCTTCTTCAAGTGGAAAACCACCTTCAGGGATCTAAAGGTCCTTCAGGAGAAAGAAGACCACCTTCAGGGATCTAAGGAGCTTTCAAGTGGATGAAGACGACCTTCTTCAAGTGGAATAAGACCACGTTCAGGGATCTTGATAGGCCTTCGGGGGCGGGGGGAGAAAACCACGTTCAGGGATCTTGATAGGCCTTCAGGAGGAAAAAGAGCACCTTCAGGGATTGTGATAGGCCTTCAAGGGGAAGAAGACCAACTTCAGAAATCTTGATAGGCCTTCACAGGGAAAATGATCACATTCAGGGATCTGAAGGACCTTCAAGGAGGAGGAGGAGGAGAAAAAGGAGAAGAAAAAAGACCTTCAGGGATCTGAAGGGCACTGTACTGGAAAAGGAAGAGGGACTTTCAGATGGAAGAAGACCTTTAGGTATCTCATGGCTCTTCAAGGAGGAGGAGGAAGAGAAAAAGGTGAAAAGACCTTCAAATGGAAGAAGACTTTCAGGGATCTGGTGGTCCTTCAAGGAGGATTAGGAGATGAAAAAGGAGACAGAAGAAAAACATTTAGGGATCTGAAGGGTTCTGGAGGAGGAGGAGGACCTTCAGATGGAAGAAGACCAGGCATCTGAACAGCTTTCAAGGAGGACTTTCAGGTGGAAGATGATCTTCAGGGATCTGAAGGTCAAGCAGAAGACCATCAGGTGGAAGACCTTCAAGTATCTAAAAGGCCTTCAAGGGGGAATAGAAGGCCTTCAGGTACCTGAAGGACCTTCAAGTGGAAGACTGTCTTAAGGGATCTGAGGGTCTTCTAATGAAAACAGGCCTTCAGGTATCCTAAAAGGCCTTCAAGTGGAAGAAGAACTCCTTCAGGAGGAAGATAATAACCTAGGGTGCACCTACACTGTGGAATTAATGGTTTACCACTGGTTGAATTGCTGTGGTTCAATGTGGTTTAGCACCACAACCCCGGGGATTGCCTGGCATTGAGCTCTGGCAGTTCAAGGAGTGCCAAAGTGCCTTGATTCTGCTGTATGGACACACCATTCAAGCCAGGTTGAGCATCCCTGATCTGGAATGGCTAGCTTCAGATTTAAGTCCAACTCAGCCCTCCATTTTCCCTGAATCCTGCTCACCTCGTCAATGAAGTTGCCGATCTCGTCGGGGTTGGCGGGGCGGGGGCGGTACTGTGGGGCCGGCATGAGGGTGGGGGCCACATCATTGCGGGTAACCTCGGGACGGGCGTCCAGCCCTCGATGCAACTGGCTCAGGTCATAGTCCTGGGAGAGAAAAGAGTCAGAAAACAGGAGCCGGAGATTCAGGTGATGGGCGTTGTAGTCCCATTCACCTGCAGTGAATAATTCATATTGAGAGGCTCACCTGGTCCTCCTCTCCACCGCCCTCTTCATCGTAATAGTAGACATTGTCCCGGGTGTCATCCTCCGGAGGAAGCAGCGGCTCCTTCACCACCTTCCTCCTCCTCACAAAGAGCAGGAGCAGCAGGAGCAGGACTGGAGGGCAAGGAGGAGTACGTGGTCAGAAACCTTTGCAATGGCCATAAGAGTCGTGGTGGAAGAGCTTGGGATTCCTAGGGCTAATGCTTCTCTAGAAATCAATAGGTCCTCACTGTACATTGGCTATAGAGCAGGCATGGGTTAACTCCAGGTGTTTTGGCTGCAAATCTCACAATTCCTAAGAGCCGTTAGGCTGTTAGGAATTGTGGTAGCTAAAGTCCAAAAGACCTGATGGGCCCAAGTATGCATGTGCTAGTGTGTGTGTGTGCATATGTGTGTCTGTGTTTCAGTGTACAAATGTATGTATATACGTATATCCATGTGTGTGTATGTGTGTGTGTATAGAGAGAGAGTTACATTGAAAAAATGTCCCTGTCCCCAACTTACAAACATATTCAACTTAAAAACAAACCTACATAACCTATTTTTTTTGTTACATGGAGGCTGCCTGCATGGAGGCTTCCCCCCCCCCCCCCACCCCTGGCACCAACTGTTGATCTGGCCAGAGTGAAGAGAGAAGGGGCAGAAGACAGTTCCATCTTGTCTCCTGTGCTTTACTAATAATATAATATAATATAATGTATATAGATACAATATTTATAATATAACCTCACCTCTGAGGATGCTTGCCATAGATGCAGGCGAAACGTCAGGAGAAATGCCTCTAGAACATGGCCATATAGCCCGAAAAAACCCACAAGAACTGAATATTTATAATATTGTAATGTAATGCAGCGCTCCATGCAGTCATGCCTCCAAGGTATTACATGACCTTGGAGATGTCTACAGACAACGCCGGCTCTTCGGCTTAGAATTGGAGATGAGCACCACACCCCAGAATTGGACACAGCTGGACTTAATGTCAGGGGAACACCTTTACCTAATACAATATAATACTAACAATACAATATTATAAGTATATATTTTATATTACATGTAATATTACCAATAATATAATATAATGGTGTAATACAATATAGTAATATATAATACTGATATTGTACTATGCTAATAATTTAATATATGGTATGTATATATGTATCTTGTAAGTTACTCTGAGTCCCTTCGGGGTGAGAAGGGCAGCATATAAATGTTGTATATATATGTGTGTGTGTGTGTGTGTGTGTGTGTGTGTGTGTATTTATTAGAATCACAGAATCATAGAATCAAATAGTTGGAAGAGACCTCATGGGCCATCCAGTCCAACCCCCTGCCAAGAAGCAGGAATATTGCATTCAAATCACCCCTGACAGATGGCCATCCAGCCTCTGTTTAAAAACTTCCAAAGAAGGAGCCTCCACCACATATGTTTTTGAATTTGTTTTTGAATTTGTTGTACCCTGCCTCAGGACATCAGAAGAGGTGTGTAATAAATAAAATATATTATTTATTTACTCTATTTGAATCCTGCCTTTCTTTACCCTGAAGGGGACTCAAGGTGGCTTTACATATGGCAACTATTCAAGGCCTTTGGACAACAAACAGTCAGAATACATTTAAGTTAAAAATTAAAAATTAAAATTAAATGCACATTAAAACATATAAAACATTGCATTCACTATTAAAATCACGCCACCCTCAATCATATGTATGTGTGTGTATAATTACTCTCTCTCTCTCTCTCTCTCTCTCTCTATATATATATATATATATATAGAAAGTCAACCATGAGTTTTGATTTGCATTCTGTCATCTCTACATTTGAATTCTGTAGCTGTATTTGGTATAAGTTTTCATATCTGTGTGTGTGTTTTTATCTATGAAATTTAGTAATATATTGTATTTTAAATTTGTTGTTTTTCAATTTGTTGTACCCTGCCTCAGGATATCAGATGAGGTGGGTAATAAATAAAATATATTATTTTATATACATAGATATTAAAACATATATTAAAACATATATTAAAAAGTGTATACATATATAAGTGTGTGTGTATGTGTGTGTGTGTGTGTGTTTATATATATATATGTGTGTGTATACACACACATATACACACTCATTTCCCCAAAAATAAGTCATCCCCTGAAAATAAGACCTAATGTGTGTTTTTATCTATACAATTTAGTAACTTATTGTATTTTGAATTTGTTATACCCTGCCTTGGGCCATCAGAAGAGGTGGGTAATAAATAATATATATTATTTTATATACATAGATACACACACATATTAAAAAGTGTATACATATATAAGTGTGTGTGTGTATGTATATGTATATGTGTATATATATATGTGTGTGTGTGTGTGTGTAAGTATGTATATGTATATACATACACACACACACACACACACACACACTCATTTCCCCAAAAATACGGTAAGTCATTCCCTGAAAATAAGACCTAATGTGTGTTTTTATCTATACAATTTAGTAACTTATTGTATTTTGAATTTGTTGTACCCTGCCTTGGGCCATCAGAAGAGGTGAGTAATAAATAATATATATTATTTTATATACATAGATAGATACACATATATATTAAAAAGTGTATACATATATAAGTGTGTGTGTGTGTATGTATATGTATTTGTGTGTGTGTGTATGTATGTATGTATGTATGTGTATATATATATATATATATATATATATATATATATATGTATATGTATATGTATATATGTATATGTATATGTATACACATACACACACACACACTCATTTTCCCAAAAATAAGTCATTCCCTGAAAATAAGACCTAGTGCATACTGGAGAGCAAAAATTAATATAAAGCACTGTCTTATTTTCGGGGAAACAGGGTAAAGTACATACACTGATTGAAGGTGGAACCTGGGTGAAACTGGATGCGGAAAAATGTTATGGTTACGTCCAGCGTTTTGGAATAAATGCTAGTCCCCCATGCCAGTGTCTGTTCATATTAAGCCCATGTCAATAAATCTTGCCAAACCAGCATGGTGGCTAATGGGAGTTGCAGTCCAATATGGGGGGAAGTATCCCTGGGGCCATAAACTAATTATTATTTCTTACCCGCCTCTCCCTGTGGATTAAGCAAATAAAGAGCATTCTGCAAACTGGCAGGTGCATCCAAGGGCCTGATTTGTTCAGGTTGCAGAAGAAAACTTTGCAGAGCTCAAAATCAGACTCATTTTGCTCAGGGCAAAGAGAAGCCGCTTGCCATACTCACTTAGGAAGCCCAGGATGGCGCCTAGAATGCCCAGAATGGCAGGAACGCCCATTCCAGCATATGCGGCTCTCCTCGACCCGCAGTTCTGGGCGGCCCCCTCGCAATCGCACACCTGGGCCTTGACTATCGTCAGGTGGGAGAGGCCCTGGCCATCGGTCAGCTTCACGGCCACGTTGTAGTCATCAGGGTCCAGCACCTTGGTCAGTTGAAGGGTCAGGCGGTCTTCTCGTGGAGGAAGAGGAGACAGAGTTAGCAGAGTGCATCTATACCAGGCATGGGACGAGTTTGGCCCTCCCTCCAGATGTTTTGGACTTCAACTCCCACAATTCCTAACAGCCACAGGCCCCTTACCGTTGTTGACCTGGGCAGTCCAGTTGGCACTGGAGCCCAGCTCCAGCACGGCCGAGAAGGGTCCGGTGTTGGGCGGTAGGTCCTTGTCCACGATGCCCAGCACCTGGGGTTCCGGGCTCTGGTTGCAGACGGCGATGGCGCGCGGATCCGGCTCGGGGCCGTTATCATTGATGTCCTGGAGGTAGAGCAGGAGAGTCCCAGTGCCGGTGGCCGGAGGAGAACCTGAAGGGAAATGGATGCAGGCATCACGCTTGAGGTCAACCTGCCCACTCTACCCATATTTATTTATTTAATTATTTGTATACCGCCTTTCTCAGCCCGTAGCCAAGGCAGTTAACAGAGTAAAATTCAATGCTTACAATATCATAAATATAATTAAAAAACACATAACATATAATAAAAACTAAACAAATCAATAAAATATAAATTCATAGTGTCTCTTGGTTAAAAACGTTGTCCGGTCTTATTGTCGTTGTTCCATTTTCCTATGTCAGTTATTCTGCATTTGGAAACGCTTGTTCAAAAAGCCACTTTTTTCGGAATGTTAAAAGGGAGGTGGCCGATCTAATAACTATAGGGCCAAGGGGCCACCACCGAGAAGGCTCTGTCTCTCGTCTCCGCCAAACGTACTTGTGACGAAGGCGGTAAAGAGAGCAGGGCCTCCTCAGATGATCTTAAGATCCTAAATGATTCATATGTCTCAAAGACAAAAGAGCTGGGGGGAACCCTAGAGGTCATCCATCCCACCATGTCATGCAAGAATCCTTTTGAGGTTGGTGAAAGGCAGGCTGTTTCTGGCCTCCTAGAGAATGGTAGCCCGGACAGGAACTTTTTGGAGTAACTTCAAGGCAAGCAGAACTCAATCCTAGCTTTCTAAGCAGACTCAGTTCTTGTGGGTTTTTTCAGGCTATATGGCCATGTTCTAGAGGCATTTCTCCTGACATTTCGCCTGCATCTATGGTAAGCATCCTCAGAGGTGAGGTCTGCTAGAACTGGGAAAAAAGGGGTTTATATATCTGTGGAATGACCAGGGTGAGACAAAGGGCTTTTGTAAGTTGGGCTAGGTGTGAATCTTTCAACTGACCACCTTGATTAGCATACAATGGGCTGACTGTGCCTGGAGCAAACTCTTCTTGAAAGGTGATTAGATGTCCCTGCCTGTTTTTCTCTCTGCTGTTTTTGCTGTTGCAATTTTAGAATTTTTTAATACTGGTAGCCAGATTTTGTTCAGATTTTGTTCTAAGCAGAGTTTGCAACCAGAAATGTATATACACAGTAGAATTAATACAGTTTGACACCAGTGAGTTTACCTGTCATAGCTCATGGAAGTTGTAGGCTTACAAGGTACAGTATTCAGTCTTTATTATTGTTGTTGTTGTTGATGTTGTTATTATTATATTTATTTTTATCCTGCTTTTCTCCCATGGGTTGGATTCAAAGCAATGAACTTTGCAAGGAAATCTTGCTAAAACTGTCCTTTAAACACAGTACACTAAAAAAAAGCTCCAGTTGTGTGTTTTTGTTGTGATTGTGTGTAATGTTCATGTTGGTGTTCATGATGGGAATGTTCTTGATGGGAATGGGGATGATGTTCTGGTTGCTGGGCCCGGGATCTGTCGGCATTGAGGATGAGGGGTTGCTTGGGCCTGAGCTAAGATCAGAAGAGAGGCCTGAGCTGTCTCACGAAGATTCACAAGGCCACATTCCTGAGAGAGGCCACTTTTCTCAGAGCAATGGTCTGAAAATGATGCTGAGATTGATTTGCCAGGTGCAGGAGTTAATGAAGGAGAGGATAGGGAAAGCGAAATTTTAGTAAACAGAAACAAAGCTTTCAGAGACTGAGGCCATCAGTTCGGCTACAGAAAAAGAGATATAACAAACCATTATCTGGTGGGAAGGTCAAGAAGAATGCTTTCCTTTCAGTTTTGGGATCTGGAAAAGGTTTGTAATGATTCACGGGAGACGGCTGCCTCAGTAAAGACAATGTTGCTATTTTATCATGGTCTTGCTTTCAAGTGCTCTGAGTTTCATGCACCAAGTTTTTGCCAAATTTAAGTTTTGCCTATGGGATTTTCCTGCTGTTTTGTTTCATGGTTTCAAGTGACTTGTTTCATGGATTTCCGTGTACTCTTGTTTCCCTTTGAAGTTTATGGACTTTTTTGGTCCTTAACTGTTTTGCTATTTTTTACTTATTTTTGCCTACTTATATTCTACAATAAACTGCTTGCTGATTTTACCAAGCAGTTTAGTGTTTAAGGTCAGAGGTGTCCCTACTCTGGTGTACGACAGTTTTCTTCACATTGAACAACACATAACTTCCATCATGAAAACAAAAGCTCTCTCCACCCAAGATGACTGATGCCTCACCAAACTACAAATTCCAGGCTATCCAATGGCAGTCAAAGTGGTGATGAACTGCATTAATTCCACAGTGTTGATACACCCTAGGTTTTTAGCTGTATTTCCCTAGCTGTATTTTATTTTGCTCTGGGTCTTCGTGGGCCCCATACCAGGAGAAAAAGTAGGGTATTAATTAATTCACCACCAAATTACTGAAACACAGCCCTCAAAGGCCCCCTCACCGCTGTCACTGGCCAGGATCAGGGCCACGTAGGTGCTGTTCTGCACAAAGGGGGACTCCCTGTCCAACTCCGACCGGGACTCGATGATGCCATTCTCGGCATTGATTCTCAACCAGCCAGCTGGGTCGCTCCCAATGGAATACCTGCAAGAGAAACCAAAAGGGAGACAAGTGAGGATATTTGCAACCTTTCTAAAGCTTCTGCCAGATTGCAACTCCCAGGATTTGGGGAATCCCAGGCCAAGGTTTTGGGGAATCCCAGGACCTATAATAAGGGAAAGCGCAGGCCTACAAAGCCTACAGGGCCGGGCTGTAACACTGCTGGTTAATCACCAGCAGCAATAGATCACTGCTGTCCAGGAGGTGGCAAGTTTGAAGCCTGAGTCGGATTGAACACCTGACTGTTAAGCCTAGCTTACTGTCCATCTAAGCTGGGCTGTGAGTAGAGAAATTAGGGACTGCTTAAAGCGGGGAGGTATTTTATGACACCATAAAATGGTCAAAGAGGAAGGAGGAAATACGATCAAAATGACTTGGTGTTATAGTGGATGAAGCAACAGCACCCCCTGTGGCCAGAATCGAGCATAACCTCCAGGCGCTGAAGTGGAAATGCCCAAAATATCTCTGTCTGTCTGTATATCTAAAAATGGCATTGAATGTTTGTTAATGTTGGCCGCCTTGAGTCTCCATGTAGAGAGAAAAAGCGGGATATAACTAAATGTAATAATAATAATAAATATTGTAAATTGTATTGTAATCCATTTAATGTTAGCCACTTTGAGTCTCCATGTAGAGAGAAAAAGTGGGATATAAATAAATGTAATAATAATAATAATAATAAATATTGTAAATTGCATTGTAATTCATTTAATGTTAGCCATTTTTAGTCTCCTTATGGGGAGAAAAAGCAAGATATAACTAAACATAATAATCATAATAATAATAATAATAATAATAATAATAATAATTTAAATTGCATTGTATTGCTTTTAATGTTAGCTATTTCGGGTCTCCTCATGGAGAGAAAAAGCTGGATATAAAAAACCATTATTTGTGGTGCAGCTGGCTGAGTGTCAGCTGCATTAAGATCATTCTGACCAAAAGGTCATAAGTTCGAAGCCAGCCCGGGTTGGAGTGGGTTTCCAACCAATTGTGTAGCCTGTTGTCGACCTTTGCAACCCGAAAGACAGTTGCATCTGTCAAGTAGGAAAATTAGGTACCACCTTAAAGTGTGGGGAGGCTAAATTAACTAATTTATGAGGCCATAAAAAAAGACTCCGGCAGACCACTCCAGCGGAAGCATGCGGGGAATGCGGAAGTACTTCATCAGTGTCGCAGATGGACGATGAAAGCGACAGCTCCCTTGGTGGCCAGAAAAAGTTAAATAGCCTCTGTGTATGTCTGTATAAGGAGCTTGAAGGAGCTGGGGGTGGTGACGGCCGACAGGGAGCTCTGGCGTGGACTGGTCCATGAGGTCACGAAGGGTCGGAGACGACTGAACGAATGAACAACAACAACATGTCTGTATATGTTGTATGTCAAATTGGCATTGAATGTTTGCCATATATGTGTACACTGTAATCCGCCTGAGGTCAGCTGTGACCAGCAGTGCTGCAGAATTTGAGGAGGCACGAATGGAGGGCGAAACAGATGCCCTTTACCTGAGGGTCTGCTGCAGGAAGGTGTCGGGGTCCTTGGCTGAGACGGTGGCTACAACATGCCCCACGGGAAGGTCTTCCTGCTGCGTCACGGCCATCACGGGGGGAGAGAAGGCGGGGGCCTCGTTGACGTCCTGCACGTTGACCGTGACGGTGGCCGTGGAGGTATCGAGGGTCACAGAGAAGGGCTCCACATTGACCACTGTCACTGTCAGGACGTACTGCTGCTGCAACTCAAAGTCCAAGCCCTGGAAAGGATGGAGGTGGGAAAGGTCAACAATGGCTCTGGTCCGCAATGTCCAAGTGTCCTGTCCTGATCCAGGGAATCTTTGGGACTAGAGATAGCTAAAGTGACCCCTATTTGTTGAGCTCAGATGAGATGTTTTGAGCCCTTGACCTTAAATGACCCCTTGGGGATGGGAATGGGACACCAATCTGGCCATGTGTTGACCCATTTTGGACAGGAAGAGACCCTGAAATCCACTCTAAGGTCACACCCTATTGAAAAAATGAATTTAATAGACATACAATAATGCAATAACTGCCGCTCTGGGGCCACAGAGTGAAGAGGGGGGCAGCTCAACAAATAGGAAGACTCACATCCATCATATCTCCTGCAACATCACTTGGGAGCACCTCCATATATACAATATAATAATATATAGGAATAATAACATTGTAATGTAATAATACTAATATATTTTGTTGTAATATTATATATTATAGAAACTACTACAACTTATGATATGGTACAATATATTATGTAATACTAATAGTATAATATACTGGTAGTGTATATATATTGCAGTATAATAATATAGTACAATATAATAATATAATAATTGTATATTGTATATTACATGTAATATTACTAATAATACTGCAAGGTAGTGGTATATTACAATACAGTAATATATAATACTAATGCTAATAATACATATTGTATATACATATAATATTGATAATGATATTATAACATAATACTAAAAATACAATATAATGTATAATAATATTGTAATATAAAAGGTAAGGGTAGTCCCCTGACATTAAGTCCAGTCATGTCTGACTCTGGGGTGTGGTGCTCATCTCCATTTCTAAGCCGAAGAGCCAGCGTTGTCCGTAGACACCTCCAAGGTCATGTGGCCGGCATGACTGCATGGAGCACCGTTAATACACCGTTATTGTAATATAGTAATACTAATATAGTAAATGGAATTACTATTGACATTACATAACAAATATACTCCTTTATTATTGTATATTTGTATATTTTGAGTTGTAAAGTTTTTAATTGTGAGCCATGCTAAGTCTCCATATGGAGAGATAAAGCGGGATATAAATAAATAAATAAATAAATATAATAATTGTATATTATATATTTTATGTAATATTATTAATAACACTGTAGTACAATAGTATAATACAATATAGTAATAAATAATACTAATGCTAAGAATATACTACATTGTATATACATATAATATTGATAATAATATTATAATGTAATACAATACAATGCTAATAATAATACATTATAATATATAATAATATACAATGATATACTGTTTTATTATTGTAAATTTGTATATTTCAAGTTGTAATGTTTTTGGGTTGCTGTGAGTTTTCCAGGCTGTATGGCTATGTTCCAGAAGCATTCTCTCCTGACATTTCACCCACATCTATGGCAGACATCCTCAAAGGTTGTGAGGTCTATTGGAAACTAGGCAAGTGGGGTTGATATATCTGTTGAAGGTCCAGGGTGTGAGAAAGAACTCTTGTCTGCTTGGGGAAAGTGTGAATGTTGCCATTGGCCACCTTGATTAGCACCGAATGACCTTGTAGCTTCAAAACTGGCTGCTTCCTGCCTTGGGGGATCTTTTGTTGGGAGGTGTTTGCTGGCTCTGATTGTTTTCTGTCTGGAATTCCTCTGTCTTCTGCCTCAAAGCAAAACTGGGGAGGGGGCAAGGAAAAACTTTAGCTCACCTTGACAGTGGTCAAGAGACCGGCATTTCCATCTTGAGCCGTGGAAATGGCAAAGTTTTCTGCCGTGTTGCCTGCAACGATGGTGTACTTGGTTTTCCAGGCTGGAGTGTTTTCTTGGTCCGCGTCTTTGACTGTCAGCTGAGCCACAGAGTAGCCAGCCACGTTTTCCGGCACACTGGCCACGTACTGCAAAGTGGACAAAAGGATATATGGGTCAACAAGAATCAATACTTCCTTCCATACTGTACAAGGCTGAGCAATCCTTATCTGGAATTCTCAAAACACTTTGTGGCTGAGAGAGTGTCCCCTCTGCTTTAGGATGGTCCAATGGGCATGGTCTTGCGTTCATGCAAAATCTGATTTTAAAATATTGAGCCTAAAAATGGCCTCCAGGTCGTGTGCATAAATTGTATAAAACTGCATAAAATTGTGTCAGATCACAAAGATATCTCTTTGTGTGTATATATATGCAAATAATCCAAAAATATTATCTGATCTCCGGGATATCTCAGGATATGCAAATATTCCAAAATCCCAACAGTTCTGATCCCATGCATCTATATAAATAAAAATGTAATGTTCGTTTGTGGGATTAATATAACTCAAAAACCACTGGGTGAATTGACACCAAATTTGGACACAAGACACCTAACAGACCAACAAGTGACCATCACTCAGTGGAAAAGGACTTAAAAACCCAAAAAAAGCTAAATGACGATACAGGAAAAAAGGGAAGGAAGAGGGAGGGAGGGAGGGAAGGAAGGAAGGAAGGAAGGAGAGAAAGAAAGAAAGAAAGAAAGAAAGAAAGAGAAAGAGGGAGGGAAAGAAAGAAGGAAAGAGAGAATGAAGCATGGAAGCAAAGAGCAAAGGAAGGAAGGAAAGAGGTAGAGAAAGAAGAAAGAGAAAGTGGAAGGAAAAGAAAAGGGGGAAGGAAAGAAAGAAAGAGGTAGAGAAGGAAGGAATGAGAGAAAGAAAGAAAAAAGGAAAGGAAGGAAAGAGGGAGCGAAGGAAGGAGAGAAAGAAGGAGAAAAGGAAAGAAAGAGAGAAGGAAGGATGAAAGCAAAGAGAAGGAAGGAAGGAAAGAGAGAAGGAAGAAAGGAGAGAAAGTGGAAGGGAAAGAAAAGGAGGAAGGAAAGAAAGGTAGAGAAGGAAGGAGACAAAGAAAAAAAGGAAAGGAAGGAAAGAGGGAGCGAAGGAAGGAGGGAAAGAAGGAGAGAAAGCGGGAGAGAAGGAAAGAAAGAGAGAAGGAAGGATGAAAGCAAAGAGTGAAGGAAGGAAGAAAAGAGATAGAGATGGAGGAAAGAAGAGGAAGTGGAAGGGAAAGAAAAGGAGGAAGGAAAGAAAGCAGGAGCGAAGGAAGGAGAGAGAAGCTGGAGAGAAGGAAAGAAAGAGAAGGAAGGATGAAAGCAAAGAGTGAAGGAAGGAAGGAAAGAGATAGAGAAGGAAAAAAGGATAGAAAGTGGAAGGGAAAGAAAAGGGGAAGGAAAGAAAGAAGTAGAAAAGGAAGAAAGGAGAGGAAGTGGAAGGAAAAGAAAAGGGCGAAGGAAAGAAAGACATAGAGAAGAAAGGAGAGAAAGAAAGAAAGAAAGAAAGAAAGAAAGAAAGAAAGAAAGAAAGAAAGAAAGGAAAGGAAAGGAAGGAAAGAGGGAGCGAAGGAAGGAAGGAAAGAAGGAGAGAAAGTGGGAGAGAAGGAAAGAAAGAGAGAAGGAAGGATGATTCCAAGGGTGAATGGAGAGTTGTAGGGTTACCGTTGTGGGGTCAAATATGGGCTGGTTGTCATTCTTGTCAGTGACGGTGATGATGGCCGTCCCCGTTGTGCTATAGCCTTGGCCCAACATGTCCGTGGCTTGGATGGTCAGCTTGTATTGAGGGAATTTCTGAAAGCAAACAAAAGGAAAACACATTTATTTATGAGCTTCATTGACTTATTGCTTTTCTTGCTCTTCTGACATCTCACGTAGAATGCAAAATGCAAGACTTGGAAGATCCAGTCTTCCCTCGGTACCTTTTTTTCCTGCATTTTGCAGCATCTTTTCTGATGAAGAATCCTGTACAGGTCTAAAATGTGCAAACTTTGTGCCTTTTGGGTTCGGCCCAATTCATATGGAACTAAAGATCAAGTTCCTAAAACATACACTCTTCTTCCCATTCCTTTGGCTTATTTTTGCAACATCATGAAAGATGTCAAAAGTTTGCAAACATTTGTTTAGGAAGAGAAATGTGTTATCCAAATACGATTATTGCATTTTGGAGTTTGGCTTATGGGGAAATTCACAGTACACATACACAGCAAACATTCAATGCCGCTTTGTATAGACAATACAAAGACAGACAGAACAGAAGGAGGTGCCACGGAAGGTTGGGCTCGAGTCCAGTGGGTGCTGTTGCTCTTTCCTCTATGACGAAGAGCCGTCAGGATTTCCTCCTTCCTTTTGTGAGAGCCGTTCAGCAGTGGAACTCTCTGCCCCGGAGTGTGGTGGAGGCTCCTTCTTTGGAAGCTTTTAAACAGAGGCTGGATGGCCATCTGTCAGGGGTGATTTGAATGCAATATTCCTGCTTCTTGGCAGGGGGTTAGACTGGATGGCCCATGAGGTCTCTTCCAACTCTTTGATTCTATGATTCTATGATTTTGGTCACCTAGCATTTTCTGATCTTCTTTCTTTATGGTGTCGTAAAACACCTCCCCTGCTTTTTAGTAGTACCTAATTTCTCCAATCAAAGCTAAAGCTTTTTCGAATGAGCTAGGCTGACAGTTGGCAGCTCACACCAACCCGGGGCTTCGAACTTCCAACTGATTGTGTGGTGATGGCACAATCTACAGCATAGATGAACCTCTCTGTCCCTTCTGGCAGAGGCTGATTATTTGTGTAAATGTTAAACACTGATGGAGCGAGCATGCTCCCCGAGGGCAGGCTGTTCTACTATTTTTGCCATCTGATCGGAGGCTAAGTAGGGCCATCTGTGGTCAATTTTTGGATGGGAGACCGCCAATGAATGCCCTGAGCTCTATTTTAGAGGAAGGAACTGGTCAAAATACCTCAGAAGATTCCTTGTTTAAGAAAACCCTGTTATATTAATGAAGTCATCACAAGTCCACAGGCACATAGAACTCGGCGCGAGTGCAGAGCCTGACATAAGTTCCGGGTGCAAATAGTGCGAACGGCTCACCTCTCTGTCCAGCCCGGTGGTGATGACGCTGATGAGGCCGGTCTGGTTGTTGATGGTGAACATTTGGCTGTAGGGCTCCTTTGGGTTCTGGTCAATGATGGCGTAAGTGATGACCCCGTTGTAGGTGTCCACGCTGTCATCCTTGTCGGTGGCCGTCACGGTCATCACGGCCGTACCTGGGCAGGTAGGGAAGAAAGGCAGGTGAGTATGGTAGGTTTTTTGTGGGTCCGTCTGCAGTGGCTCAAAGGCCATTGGAAACAAGGCATGCCATGTTTGCATTCATCCCCCATCCATACCTGGCGTGGCCCCTTCCGGCACGGACCCTTGGAAGACGGGCTCAGTGAACTCAGGCCGGTTGTCATTCTGGTCGCCCACCTTGATGATGATCTCCATGGGGTCCTCCACTGACTGACCGTTCGCCGACACGGCATGCGATAAAAGCTGCAACGAAGAAAAGCCATTCTGATTATCACTGGTGCACCTGGGTAACAAACTTACCAAACCCTTCTTTGCAATTGGGCCACTATCACCATATACATACTGTGGAGGTGAGTTCCGTAGTTTAACCTTTGCACTGACTTGCAAAGTATTTCCATCCAACCCAAAACCTCCTGTTGTTGACATTGGCTTCTAAATGATCCTCAGGCCAGGGAGAGGAGTGGAGGGAATCTTAGGGAAGTGGGGAGGGGTCTCACCACATATTTGTCGATATGCTCTCTGTCCAGCGGGTGGTTGACCATCAGCCAGCCGTCGTCCCGAATGATGGAGAAGACCCCCACGGGGGGGCTGTCGGCCCCTTGGCCGGTGATGCTGTAGAAGACCTTCGTGTCCTTGTCCTTGTTGGATTTGATCTGGAGGAAGAAGTGGGTCAAATTGGAGGGCGTGGAGACCCCGAAGTGGCTCAAGGACTCCACTGGTCCCTATGCCTCCATATGAGAGTGGCCAGAGGGCAAGTGGCCAGTCACCAGCCTGAGACAGCCAACTCTTTATGCTCACAATAGACTTGCCTTGGAGAGATGCCCAGGAGGGCCTTACCTGCACCAGCGGCTTTGGGAACTGTCCCTTCTCGTTTTCGGAGCAATAGATGGGGGGGATGACCCAGTCTCTCTTCTGCCGCCTGAGGCCGGGGCCCGATTGCGGGAATGTCAGGACCTCCCCATGGCCAAGCGAGTAGGGCTCCTGCCAGGACAAACAACAACAACAACAACGTTTCAGAGTTTCCTTTGCTCGTGTCTCAAATGGCATCTGGACTACTTTCAATGCTATAATCCTGAGAGTTGTAGTTTTGCAAGGCTGACAGCCTTCTCGGCCAAAGAGGGCTAGTGCCTCACCAAACTACAATTGCCTTTATTATATTGCATTGAGCCACAGCAGTTCAAATTGCATTACATTTACATTGCAGATCAGGCATGGCCCTCCCCTCAGGTGTTTTAGACTTCAACTCCCACAATTACCTTCTGACATACAGAAAAAACACAATCAAATCAACCCCAACAGATGGCCACCTAGCCTTTGCAATAATAATAATAATAATAATAATAATAAACAACCAGCATATTGATTTTATTTGCTGTGTACTAATCTTGTGTTTAAAATAATAATAATAATAATAATAATAATAATAATAATAATAAGTACAAACCCAAGGGGCCATCCAGTCCAACCCCCTTCTGCAATGTAAGAAAAGCACAATCAAAGCACTCCCAACAGATGGCCACAAAGCCTTTGCAATAATAATAATAATAATAATAATAATAATAATAATATACAGCCAGCATATTGATTTTATTTGCTGTGTACTAATCTTGTGTTTCAAATAATAATAATAATAATAATAATAAGTACAAACCCAAGGGGCCATCCAGTCCAACCCCCTTCTGCAATGTAGGAAAAGCACAATCAAAGCACCCCCAACAGATGGCCACCCAGCCTTTGCAATAACAACAACAACAACAACAGAAAACCCTGGGGCCATCTTGTCCAACTCTCTTCTGGCAATCAAGAAAAACACAATCAAAGGAGCCCAAACAGATGGCCACCCAGCCTTTGTAATAATAATAATAATAATAATAATAATAATAATAATAATAATAGAAGCAACCCCAGGGACCATATAGTCTAACCCCTTTCTGCTATGCAGGATGGGCACAATCAAAGCACTCTCAACAAATGGCCACACAGCCTTTGTAATAATAATAATAATAATAATAATAATAATAATAGGAGCAATCTCTAGGGGCCATCTAGTCCAACCCCCTTCTGCCTTGCAAGAGAAGCATATCGAAGGACCCCTGACAGATGGCCACCCAGCCTTTGTAATAGTAATAATAATAATAATAATTATTATTATTATTATTATTAATATACATAAAAATGTAATGTTCATTTGTGGGATTAACGTAACTCAAAAACCACTGGACGAATTGACACCAAATTTGGACACAATACACCTCTCAGGCCAACAAGTGAACATCACTCATAAAAACACTGGAAAACAAAGCGGAAAAAACTTAAAAAGCCAAAAAATAAAAAATACATCACAACGCATGTGCCTAACCACATATATACAAATATATACACCCACATATACACATATATACACATACAAAACACATATACACAGACTGGGCCACAGCAATGCATGGCAGGGGACGGCTAGTAATAATAATAATAATAATAATAATAATAATAATAATAATAATAATATACAAAATAGCAGAAACCCCATGGGGCCTTCAACTTCCTTCTGCCATGCAGGAAAAGCATAATCAAAGCACTCCCGACAGATGGCCACCCAGCCTTTGTAATAATAATAATAATAGATAGATAGATAGATAGATAGATAGATAGCAGAAACCCCATGGGGCCTTCCAGTCCAACCTCCTTCTGCCATGCAGGAAAAGCATAATCAAAGCACCCCCAACAGATGGCCACCCAGCCTTTGTAATACTAATAATAATATTAATAATAATAATAATAAATAGCAGAAACCCCATGGGGCCTTCCAGTCCAACCTCCTTCTGCCATGCAGGAAAAGCATAATCAAAGCACCCCTGTTTTTTTAACAACAACAACAACAACAACAACAGCAGTGAATGCCAGCCAAAGTTAATGAATAAAACCTATGCGTACCGGGTGCTGCCGAGGCTGCTGCTCCTGGTGGTGATGCCTGTGCCGAAGCCTCAGGGTCACTTGTGCAGAGTGCTTCTTCCCAGCCGTGTCCCATCCATGAACAGAGAAGCTGTGCTGGTGGCCCCGGAGGCTAAAGTGGCGCTTGACCGCCAGGGTGCCGTCCAGCCGAAGCCTAAAGCGCGTGTCATCCGAGAACAATGGGAGCTGCGTCCGGTCAGTGCAGTCCTCAAAGGTCACTGGGGAAGGGAGAGACAACATCAATGGGAAGAGCTGCAATACTAAGGGCTGGACTAGATGACCTTTGGGGGTCCCTTCCAAATTCTATTATTTGGACTACTTCATTAAAGCTAAAGTTGGAGTTCTATGTCACAGGAATATGCTTTAGATGTAGATCTCCTGCAAATCCAAAGGGGTTGGAATAGATAACCTTTGGGATCCCTTCCATTTCCATGTCTTTACTATTATGCATTGGAAGGCAGGCGATGGACTATTTCACTTAAAGTAGGAATGGAAAATGTAATTCATAGCCATGGGGTGGCCTAAATGACCATTTAGTGCCCTTCAATTTAATTTTTGTTTCATGTATGTGTCGAAACATGTTTTCAAATATGTTTTCATTTAATTTATTTTAATCTTCTAAGTGCACTGACAAGCACTTCCCACAGGAGGGCGCCATTGCTCCATCACACTGGAAGCAAAAGCAACAACTATTGTTGTCCAAGGCTTTCAGGGTCTGAATCACTGGGTTGCTGTGAGTTTTCCGGGCTGTATGGCCATGGTCCACAAGCATTTTCTCCTGATGTTTCGCCAATGACAGGCAACATCAGAGGTTAGCATTTAAGCTTCAAAGCCTGGGTGCTTCCTGCCTGGGGCGGAAATCCTTTGTTTGGAGGTGTTAGCTGGCCCTGATTGATTCTTCCGTCTGGAATTCGAAATAAAATTCCTTTATTTCGGACCTCACTACCTCTGAGGATGCTTGCCATAGATGCAGGCGAAACGTCAGGAGAGAATGCCTCTAGACCATGGCCATATAGCCCGAAAAAACCTACAACAGCCTAAAATTGCTTTATTATGCTCCATGCAGTCATGCTGGCCACACAGCCTTGGAGGTGTCTATGGACAACGCCGGCTCTTCAGCTTAGAAATGGAGAGGAGCACTACACCCCAGAGTCAGACATGACTGAATATCAGGGGACAACCTTTACCTTTATGCTGTGGAATCCTGGGAATAGTAGTTTTCCAAGGTCTTGGCCCTGCTCTGCCAAAGAGTGCCAAGCTACAACTCCCAGGATTGCATAGCATTGAGACGTGGCAGTTAAAGCAATACTAAACTACATTGAGTCTACAGTGTAGATGCATCCTAGTTTGGCTTTTTTCCTGGTTTTCCATGTTTTTCTGGATTTAATCTGAATTATATTTAATACTATTGATGTTTAATTGATGTTTAATGCTGTTTAATATTTGTATATTTGTGAAATTGCATGCTGATGTTTTTATGTTAAGACGCTTTGAGTCTCCTGCGGGAGAGAGAAAGCAAGGCATTAATAAATATAATAAAGGGTTGCTGTGAGTTTTCCAGGCTGCCTGGCTATGTTCCAGAAGCATTCTCTCCTGACGTTTTGCCCACATCTACGGCAGGCATCCTCAGAGGTTGTGAGGTCTGTTGGAAACTAGGAAAATTGGGTTTACATATCTGTGGAATAATGTCCAAGGTGGGAGAAAGAACTCTTGTCTGTTGGAGGCAAGTGTGAATGTTGCAATTGGCCAGCTTGATTAGCATTGCAAAGCCTTTCAGCTTAAATGCCTGGCTGATTCCTGCCTGGGGGAATCCTTTGTTGGGAGGGGTCGTAGCTGTCCTTGATTGTTTCCTTCCTGGAATTTTTTTTGAGTGTTGTTCTTTATTTACCATCCTAATTTTAGAATTTTTTTAAATACTGGTAGCCAGATTTTGTTCATTTTCATGGTTTCCTCCTTTCTGTTGACATTGTCCACATGCTTCTTGTGAATTTCAATGGCTCCTTTGTGTTGTCTGACATGGTAGTTGTCAGAGTGGTCCACCATTTCTGTATTCTCAAAGGACAGGAGGGATCTTCTCACCTCTGCAAGAGTCTATCGTATCCCATGCAGTCTACATAGGGACCCCCAAACGCAGCAGCATTGCCCAGGCACGAATCAAGGAACATGAACGGCACTGCAGACTGATTCCACCAGAGGAGTCAGCCATAGACTTGATGAACCAACCTGGACACAGCATATTATTGGAGAACACAGAAATGCTGGACCACTCTGACAACCACCATGTTGGTCTACACAGAGAAGCCATGGACAATGTCAACAGAAAGAGCGAAACAATGAAAATGAACAAAATCTGGATACCAGTATTTTAAAAACTCTAAAATAAAAAACAACACTCGGAAAACAGGGGAATTCCAGACAAGAATCAATCAGGGCCAGCTAATCACCTCCAACAAAGGATTCCCCCAGGCAGGAATCGGCCAGACCTTGAAGCTGAAAGGCTTTCCAATGCTAATCAAGGTGATTAACTGCAACATTCACACTTGCCTCCAACAGACAAGAGTTCTTTCTCCCACCCTGGACATCATTCCACAGATATGTAAACCTCACTTGCCTAGTTTCCAACAGACCTCCCAACCTCTGAGGGGTCATGCCGTAGACGTGGGCGAAACGTCAGGAGAGAATGCTTCTGGAACATGGCCAGACAGCTCAGAAAACTCACAGCAACCCAATAATTTCAGCTATGAAATCCTTCAACATTATTATTATTATTATTATTATTATTCACTGACACAAAGCCACAGGATGTCACAGCAAACGAGACCTATATGCTGGATTTTGTATCACAAAATCACAAGTTGAACACTTCCCAAGCATCTAGGACTGTGTGATATTATTATTATTATTATTATTATTATTATTATTATTATTACTATTAGAAACACAACAAGATGAGTCCACAGCAGACACTCTGATGGCTGTTGTATTGGATCACAAGTTGAACACTTCCCAAGTGTGATGTATCGGCGAATAATGCGTGCAGATCCCAGTAAGGTAGCCTTTTGCAGCTGGCAGATGGTAATTTTGTCAGCGCCGATTGTGTTTAAGTGTAGGTCAAGGTCTGGAGGCACTGCACCCAGTGTGCCGATCACCGCTGGGACCACTTTGACTGGCTTGTGCCAGAGTCTTTGCCGTTCGATCTTTAAATCCTCATATTGTGTCAGCTTTTCCAGTTGTTTCTCTTTAATAATAATAATAATAATAATAATAATAATAATAATAATAATAATGCTCTTCTTTCCTTTCTCTGCCAAGAGTCCAGGATTACAGGTGAGGCTTGCTCACCTGAAACTTTCACCTGCTATTCTGGGCAATAAAGGTCCTCTTGTGCAAAGAAAGGAAAGGCACTCTAATCCTGGCAAAAAAACACCTTTTTTCCAAAAGCGCTTCTTGTTCAGGTGACTCTACCTGCAGGCCATTTCTCAACCTTTTTGGGCCTCCTTTTCTCCTATTTCCATCACAAAAGGTGTGGCTCCTGGAAAACCAGGTATCACTCCTTTTCCTGAGTGCTGGAGTTCCCAAAAATGTAACTTTTCCAGGGCTCCAGGCGGAAGAATGCATGGCCCAAGCCTGTTGGGTGTCACATAGCTTTCTACCTGGCGTCAGGAAAGGGAGCGCCAAACAAACCCGGCCAAACCGGTTGCTCAGGTTGGCCTACCTGGAAGGGGCAGCGCGTAACGTGTTCCTGCTTCAGCAAGATGTGACAAATCCCTTTCCCTTCGGAGAAAGAACCCTTTGCGGAGGCCGAGAAAGCATTTCCCAACCTTTCCCCCCTTTTCTTTCAATTTCCATTCCAAAGCAATTGGAACCTGCAAGAGGTCCCAGGGTTCAATTCCTGCTCTATTTCCTTGCAAAAATTAAGAATTCCATGGAAACCACACCTCTGGTTTTGCCTTATAGTATTTCTGGTATGGGGTGCAAGGATGGAGATAGTTAAAAGAATGGGGAAAATTAGAGAATAATACAGAACAGGATAAACGGAATCTGGGCCATCGATTTATCTGACAAGTTGGCATTAGAAAGAGCAGAAAATAAAAAAAATCAGCCTAATAATAATAATAATAATAACAACAATAATACAGTTTGTCTACATCCCTTGTATTGCTTAGGTCTTGGTTTCTATAGACAAAAGTCAGACAATTATGATGATGAATCCAGTCTTCATCCTTTATACCACTTGGGTCTCAGTTTTCAAATGATGATGATGATGATAATAATAATAATAAATTCTCCCAACATCCCTTGTATTGCTTATGTCTTGGTTTCCATAAACAAAAGCCAGGTAGTGATGATGATGATATATTCACTTTATGTCCCTTATACCACCTGAGTTTTGGTTTTCAGATCATCATCATAATGATGATGATGATTATTATTATTATTTCACATCCCTTGTATTATTTATGTCTTTGTTTCCATAGACAAAAGCAGATAATGATGATGATGTCTCCTGTCTACAACCCTTATACCACTTGGGTATCGGTTTCCAGATAATAATGATAATAATAATAATAGTCAGTGACAGATCCCAAATGTAGACTCAGCGAAGAAGCAGATGAAACAATAGATCACATCCTCAGCTGCTGCAAGAAGATCACGCAGACAGACTACAAGCAGAGGCATAACACCGTTGCTCAGATGATTCATTGGAACTTGTGCCACAAATCTCATCTGCCTGCGACAAAGAACTGGTGGGATCACAAGCTGGAAAAAGTTACGGAAAATAAACACGTCAAACTCCTCTGGGACTTCCGAATTCAGACAGACAGAGTTTTGGAGCCCATTACTCCTGACCTCACAATCGTGTTAAAAAACAAAGTATGGATTGTCGATGTTGCAATCCCAGGTGACAGCACGATTGAAGAAAAACAACAAGAAAAGCTGACACAATATGAAGATTTAAATATCGGACTGCAAAGACTCTGGCACAAGCCAGTAAAGGTGGTCCCAGTGGTGACTGGCACACTTGGTGCAGTGCCTAAAGACCTTGGCCTGCACTTAAACACAATCATCACTGACAAGATTACCATCTGTCAGCTGCAGAAAGCTACCTTACTGGGATCTGCGCACATTATTCGCCGATACATCACATAGTCCTAGACACTTGGGAAGTGTTTGATGTGTGATCCAATGCAACAGCCAGCAGAGTGATCTTGTCTGC